CTGCACTAAATAAACGTAGCCATTTTGGCCAGTAGCCATGCAACAGTGGAAGTAGCCTCTGACAGCTACTGACCAATCTCCTCCATATATTTGCCAAGCCTTTTGCTATTTAAACCAAGCGGCAAATTTCCACATTTCTTCTCAGCGCTGCACCAGTTGAACTTCTGCCTGCGGCGCAGCTGTTTAGAGTTTGCTTCTTTAACTGCAAGAGAGAGAAAAGCTCAATGCCTTATTATTTTATATTTTTGTAAACAGCTTCCTCAACCTCGGCCCTCCAGATGTTTTGAGACTACAATTCCCAGCATCCCTGACCACTGGTCCTGCTAGCTAGGGATCATGGGAGTTGTAGTCCCAAAACATCAGGAGGGCCGAGGATGAGGAAGCCTGGTTAGAGGGCTTGGTAATTGTTTCTTGCTTTTATAATCAACCAGCAAATAAAGTGTTATAATAATATAATTGAATAATTATTCAATAATAATTTTTGAAGCATGTCTGTCTGATTCTGCTTTAAGTTTGCAGACCGGCATGCAGAGGAGGTGAGGTTTAGGGAAGGCTGGCCTAGTAGGTAGAGCTTATGCAAGAAGTGTCCAGTTCAGGGTAAGGCCCTCATGAAAAAGGCAAAGGCTGCAGTCCTAACCTGGGAGCAAGCCATGGCAGGCAGAAATACTACTGGTGCAGCTCCCACTGCCAATTTAATACAGAGCTCTCAACTGTCTTGGTGTGGTTTTTCCTGCGGATCTTTCTTCCCAACCAGGAAAAAGGCGAGTTTTCTAAATGCAAAAAAAAAGAAAGAAAACAAAACAGATGAAAAGCATTGGTCTTCCCGCAAAAAAAGGGAGCCATTCTTGCAACAGTGACAGGAGAAAAGTCTTTTAAATTGGGAATATAAAGTTGGGGGGGGATTTTAAACAACGGGCAACAGGAGGAGGAGATTCTTCTCAATGCAAAAATCAAATATAAATTCGGGACATTTTAAACGCTTGACAACAGGGAGAGGGGATTCTTTAAATGCAAAGCAACCATATGAACTTGAGTGTTTTGAAAAGATGGAACGAGTGGGATTCTTTCAATTGCATATGAAATGCAAAACGCTCCAGGAACTAAGAGCCTTATAAGAGAGAGAGGAGGAGAAGTTTTGAAATGAAAAAATAAAATAAAATAAAAAATAAAATAAAATAAAATAAAATAAAATAAAATAAAATAAAATAAAATAAAATAAAATAAAAAGGAAGCAAGCCTCCGGACGCCCATGCCCGGCTCCACGTGACGGGTGGGGAAGGGGTGGGCGGGGCGGGGCGGCGGGGGATGATGGACAGGGCGAGTCACGCGGCCTCGGCGTGGCTGCCTGCGCGGCTGTTTACCGCGCGGAGTTTGGCGAGGCGCTGCTGGCCCCGATCCAGCGCCCGGGCTGGAATGACACGGAGCAAGAGCTCGTTGTGTAATGTGGCAGAGCAAAGCCCAGCCCCGGCTAATCGAGTGCTGCTGGTCGGAGCCGCTGGGTACCAGCCGGGCTCTATCTCTGTGTCTCTTTTTTAGTGGAAAAGGGCCAAAAGCCGTGGGTTTGGGCATGCTGCCCCGGTTGGATTTCGGCCTGTCAAGGCAGATGTTAAAGAGGGGGAGGCAGTTCGGCCGCGAAGGGGGATTGCAAGTGGCACCCGCTGGGAAATGGTTGGCCAGTGGGGTTGCGCGCTCGTGGGGAGCTGCACCGGTTGTGTTTCTGCCTGTCAAGGAATGAGATGTGCCGAGAAAAGGGAACACAAATGCAAAAAAGAGGGTGGGGTCATTTCGTAGGGTTAGGGTCCCCGTGCCTCACAGGGGAGCTGTACCGGTTGTGTTTCTGCCTGTCAAGGAATGAGATGTGCCGAGAAACCCAAATGCAAAAAAAAAGAGGGGGGTTATTTCGTAGGGTTAGGGTTCCCGTGCCTCACAGGGGAGCTGCACCGGTTGTATCGCTGCCTGTTGAGCCAGCTGTCAGAGGAAGGCGAGCGGGCGGCCAGAACGGGACGTTGGTCGGATAACAGAATGGGAAGGGGTGCCCCAAAGGTCATCTACTCCAACCCACGAGTATGCAGTGATCACAACTGGAAGAATCCCTGACAGATTCAACCTCTGCTTTTCCCCCCTGCCCGTTAATGCAGCAATTATAGGAAGATGCCGCAGGGAAAGGTGGCGCCCCCTGCAAATGTTTTGGTATGGAGGGTGGGGTGGTGGAGCTCTACCAGTTGAATTCCTGCCTGCCCCCGTTAAAGTGCCGAGGGGTTTGAGGAGAAGAGGTGATAACCCAAGTACTGTTGGGAGGAGAGGCGCTCCGGTTGCATTTGTGCCTGAGAGAGAGATGGGGAATTGGGGGTGGGAGAGGCAGCCAAAGACCAGATGGGGAGAAATTGTGGGGCTGGGGGACAGGAGCGGGAACTGCGTGCGCAGGGCGCTGTACCAGTTGCATTTCTGCCAGCTATGCAACTGTTACGCATAAACAAGAGGAGGAGAATGGCAACCGCTGGGCAATTCTTTGTGAGGATGTGAGATCTGTATGCCTAGAAAACTGCTTTTGTTGTACTTCTGCCTGTCAAAGAAGGCGTTTAAGGAAGCAGACATCTGCAGGACACATCAAAAAATACTGCAGGGGCAGGCGGCGTTTCATACCCAGACAGCTGCACCAGTTGTCTTTCTGCCTGTCCGGCAGTAGCTAAACCCACCACAGCCTCACCAAGAAAAAAAGAAAATAAAAGGTTGCAGGTTTCTAGTGGAAAGTACGTTTTCGGGGTAGGGATGTCGAAGAACAGCACCAGTTGGATTTCTGCCTGCCGTGGGACATTTCAGTGAGCAGGAGACGAGAGTGTGGCCACTTTGGGGGAAATACGGGCTGGGGCTGTGTGGCTTTCCTTCATTTCTTCGCAAAATGATTCCTATCCGAAACTTTGCCCCCCAAAATGTAATACGCTGCAATTCTATAAAAAGATTGTTTTAACAAATGCCTATGAAAATGCAGCTGCTCTGTTTATAAACTAGATATAATAACAACCTACACAATCCAATAGAGGGGGAGATTGTATATACGGGATTTAATGTCCGTATAAAAACTTTTACGAATAGGAAATCATGTTATTTATTTATTTTGCAGACATAACCCCAGTTAATTTGCAGGGGAGTCTATTATGGGAAGGGGGGCGTGATTTTTTGCCTTCCTCCAAAGCGTGTAGGAAATAGTTTGGCAAATGCACGTTAAAAACACTGATTCCGGTTTTTAGGGGGACACACCACCTGTTGAGTTTCTGTCTGATGTGCAAGCTATTACGCGGGTGTTAAACGCAAAAGAGCCGGCCTAGCTGGGACAGGCGGAGCGAGCAGATAAAGCTCTTTGCTATCCAACAGGTGGGGTAGGGCCGCCCGAGAAGCAGAAAAACAGCTGGCAGTGTCTTTTCTTCCAAGTAGGTGAGGTGCTAGTTGCAGGAAAAGCTTCACCTGTTTAATTATGGCCTTGCTGCGATGTTGGTAGGGATAGAGGCCTCATCGGGGCGGGGTGGCAGTCTTATATAACGAGGCAGGGAGGGGCCGAGGGTGGGGCGAGCTGGCTGCGTGGCCAGCAGAAATGCAACTGGTGATGTTGTTTAGGGAAAAGCTTCGTTGGTTTAATGGCAAAGGGTCAGAATAGGGAATGCGGCAGACAGAAATTCAACAGGTAATGCCCCCCTAGATTATTATTTTTTAGTGTGGGATTACTGTTCAGTGCTTAAAGGCACAGGTGTCTTATGAGAGAGGGAGAGTGGGGGAAAGCCTTCCTTGCCAAGATAAAGGCGGTAGAGCAACAAGTGAGGTTTCTTCAAGTTTGGGAGAAGGATAAGAGGAAGCTTCACCTGTTTAATGACAGCCCATTGTGCAGTTCTTAAATATCTAAGCTTTAGAGCTGCGGCAGAGCAAGCGTTTGCGGGACACACAAAAATCCAACTGGTGACACCTTCTGATTCACCTGTTTAATTAAAACCTGTTGCCGCAGTTATTAAAAGCTTCAGACGCCTTGTAAGAGAGGGGCCGCTAACATAACCCTCTCCCTAAGAATAACAACAATAACTATGGAACACCTGGCACAAAACAAGCGCCACGAAGCAGACAGGAATGCAACAGGTGCTGTGCGTGCGTTTCCCCGACCCAAGGTGGTTAGGAAAGCTTCACCAGTTTAACGACAGCCAGTTTTCCAGTTGTTAAACATTAAAAAAAAAACTTCAAGCGGCGGTTTGAGTGACGCAAGCAGAAAATTAATAGATTATTTTTTCCCCAAGGGGGGAGCATTAATCAGAGAGGGAACGCTTGACCGGTTTAATTGCTGCCTGTTGCACGGGGTGAAGGGAGCGAGTGTCTGGTTAAGCATAGGCGAAAAGTCTACGGGTGACAAATCTTTTCCAACGAGGAGGGAGGAGCATTAATCAGAGAGGGGACGCTTGACCAGTCTAATTGCTGCCTGTTGCACGGGGGACGAGAGTTTAGTTAAGCACAGGCAGGGGAGAAGAAAAAAATATATACGGGTGACGAATCTTTTCCAACGCGGCGCTGGCGAGTGGGGGAGGGGGAGCATTAATCAGGGCGGGTAAGCTTGACCAGACGAACTTCTGCCTGCTGCCCAGGCGGGAGGTGTTTGTTGGCGAGAGTTTGGTTAGGCAGAGAGGCAGAAAGCGCAGGGCCCGTCGCGTGATTTTCCAGCCGGGAGAGTGCCGCGGTCCGGGCGGGGAAGCTGAACCGGTTTAATTGCCGCCTGTTGCGCAGGCAGGCCGCGCGGGGAGGAGCCGGACCGCGTCGGTGCGCCCCTGGCGGCCGCGCGCGGCCGGTGCAAGCGCGCCGCCGCCGGTTCGGAGCGCCACTGCTCTCCCCTGCTCCGCCGGAGCCGCGTCTGCCTCTAGCCAAGTCAGCCCAGCAGGGTCCTCCCGGAGCGCCGGCGGCTGCGCGCTCTTTCCGCGGCCGGAGCCAGCTGGAGAGGCGCAGGGCGGCGCAAACTCCGCGCCGGCTCCATGGACTTCAACGCCAGCCTCGGCAGCCCCGCGGGAGCCAAGCGGGGTAGAGAAGCCGCCGCCGCCGTCGTCGCCAGAGGTAAGCGCGCAACGCTGCCCGCGAGTGCGCCCCTGTGCGCCCTGGTGCGTCCTGGAGACGCGCTCTGCCCCGCTGGGATCCAGGCGGTGGGGAGCAGAAGACCCCCAAAGGGAGGGGGCGCGGGGCTTTTTCCGGTGTTGGGATGGAGAGAAGGAAAGCTGTTTCCTTCCCCGATGGGAGGGACAAAAAGTGAAAAGGGGGTCGTCAAAGACGGAGAGGGGGAAGGCGGGGTGAACGCGAGGTGGATTCCGAGGCGAGGTAAGTTTGTCAAGTGGGTATCCAGTTCGGAAAAGTGGGTGGCTCAGGGAGGGGGGGATTGGCGTTGGACACACCCACCCTCCGCGATCCAGAGGCAGGAGGGTTATTTGGGGAAAGGCATAGTTATTCCGGGAAGGGGGGTATCAAAAGAGAATTAAGTTGGGAGGGGGCTATTTGGGTGGGTGGAGAAAGGGGTGGTTGCGTCTCAGCGAGGGGCTTCAGTGACTCCGGTGAGGACGGCGATATCTGGCAGAAATAAGGGGGGGGGGGGCCGCAAAGTAGGGCTCTTTTCCCACCCACTTTTAAGCAACCCTATTTAGAGAGTATCACTGTGGGGACTCAGCTTTCCCAAAAATTGGGGGGGGGTAGCCAGAGGGGTTTCTAACCCTTTTGCAATCACTTCGAGATCGTGGAGCACCAGTGCATGTCCTCTTCTGCTGCTGTTCCCCCCCCCCAAAAAAAAACCACTCCCCTTAAAATTTCCATGGTTTTCCACTATGCTTTGCAAAAATCAGATTTGTTCTGTTGCTTTTTCAGTGAGAGTGATTTGCAGTTATATTCCCCCCCAACCAAACCGGCGGTGGTTATTCTTTGCCTTCACCTCCTGGAGAATCTCACAAGTGTCATGGATTATTTCCTCAATCTGTTGGGATCAGGCTGTGTCCAGTGTGTTTGTTTGTTTTTTGGGTGGGAGGGAATGTTATATTCTCTCTTCCAGCGCTTTTTGTTTTCTGGGGGAACTCACCGGAACTCAGTTCCGGCCCCTCTCAGGTGTGTGGCATTGCCACGCCAAAAGAAGGAGGGAATTGTTCGTGGTGACTTTGGCACCTCTTCTTTTAAAGAAAACAGCACTGCCCTCTTCCCTCTGTATCAGGCAAGAAAGACATCAGATAGGGCCGCGTGATCTGGCATCCTGTTCCGAACAGTGGGCAAATGCCCCTCAGAACCCAGGAGTGTGGATAGACTGCCGCTGGACCTGGAGGTTCCATCCGAGCCTCAGAGGACAACCACCAGATTCCCCGCTTGGGCTTCCTCAAAACTGGGATTGAGAGTCAAATGTGGCTCCAATAGGGGAGGCTGATCATAGGTGTCATGGCCAGTAGCCCCTGATAGCCCCCGCCCCTGTGAGACGCGAGTGATTGCATTGTTTACAAAAAAATAATAATATTCTGTCCCACATCTTCCCTTGCAAAATGACCTATTGGCCATTGGAACCACCTCTCCAAAATAAGGAGAAGCCACGTTTATGCCTCAATGTCTTTTATTGCTTCCTCCCTTCTCCTCCTCCTCTATTTTTATGGGATTTCAGTTTTGACGTGCTCAGTTTTCTGAACATAAAAAGTCTCTTGGGAGTGGGGCCCATTTCGCAGAGAGGAAAATTGAGGCAGCTCTGTGGGGCAGGTGCAAGCTCCTCTTTACCAGTGTGCGGGAACAGAACTGGGGTTAAAGCAGGTTAAGTGTGTTGGGGAATTGCTGTTCTTGGGGTTGGGGAAGGGGCTTCCCAGTTGTTTCAAAGTTGGGTGGTCCCCGGAACGTCAGCTCGCTCTGCTACCTTTGACAGCCACCCAGTTCTTCCTCTGTCCTGGCTACCATAGAACCAGCTCTGCAGCGACCCTTAGCTGTGATTACGCTCCCCCCTCCCCAAAAAATAAAACTTTGTTGATATCCATGAAAAGGATGCATTGACTGTATGAAGGCATCTCATTTATTCTCATTTAAACCAGGCCTTTGTGCATAACTTAGGTGGACTAGAATCTTAGTCCTGGACCTTGAGTACTGGCCCTCGACAGTCGGGGTTGACAGTCCTGAATTTGAGGGACCGATTCCACATTCCTTCGTTCTTTTGACACCATCTCCTGTTTCTTTCTCAAGAGAGAGAATCTTCACAAAGGCACATTCTCCCCAAATAAGCCCCCAAAGGAAAAGTATCCGAAACGTGCTTGCAAACACCCTTCACTGTTAAGAAAGATAAAGGCATATACTTCATTCTCTAGACATCTGCTTTGCAGGTGGAAGATTGCAGGTTCAAATCCTGGCATCTCCAGGTGAGGTCAGGAATGTGCCCTGCCTGAAAACCAGGAAAACTGTCAGTGTAGACGAGGCTGAGCTGGGCGGATTAACAGTTTCACACGGTACACAGCATTCTGGGGTCAAAGGTGAGGATGGGACATTTCCCCTGCGCATTTTGACACCAACCCCCCAAACCTTTGGGGATTATGTCTCTCTAGCCTGATCACCTGTTGAGGCACCTTCCTGGGGGCATGCCATACATCTGAAGCACATTTTTCCTCACCCCAAGAATCCTGGGAACTGTAGTTTTTGGGGGGTGCTGGGAACTGTACCTCTGTGAGGACTAAACTACAGTTCCCAGGTGCCTTTTATTGGGGGGGGGGTTTGCTTTAATCTATGGTGTGTACACAGGCAAAGGGAGGCCTGGGCTGAAATCCTGGTAGGATTAATTATTCTAAGGCCCAGATTGCCACCCCTTCGCTGCGGTTTTTTTCTACCCTCTCTCTTTATTTTTATTTTTTTGTCCCCTTTGGGGTTGTTGACAAAACCCGCCTCCCATCTGAGAGAGCGAGAGAGAGAGCGCCCCAATTAAGTCATTTGCATGGTGGTTACGGCACAGCGGCAATCTCGAGTCTTTTTCTCTCTCCGGCAGAGAGAGGAAAAGAGATCGTATCTCTCTCTCTCTGAGGCAGAGAGAGAGAGATGAGTTGTGAACGCGGCTTGGCCAGTTTCAGAGTGAAGCTAGGTTTCGTTCCGCAGCGTCTTCTGCCTCGCTAATGAACACCTTCGCTCTCCTGTTAAAGCCATCTCCTGCCACCCCAGAGGAGACTCCCTTTCTCCATCTCTCTTGGGACTGAGGTGGCCCAGAACCCATTGGATTCCCTGGTACAGAGGGTGCACCCGGCCTCCTCCTCCTCCTCTTCTTCTTCTTCCTCTCCCCCCCCCCACTGCTCCCCAGCCGTCACCTCCAAGAACCGGCGCTGCTCTCATCTCGCCGAAATCTTTTTCAACCTCTCCCCGCAAGAATACTTTCAAAGTTTTCAGCTCAACATCTGGCTTCCGTTTTCACTTTGCAAATTTGACATGTTTTGTCTCCAGGAGTTTGGGGGGGCGTTGTTAGAGGAGAGGGGCTTTTTCTGCTTTTTAAAAAAATTATTTAAATATATATTACTTTGCTTTTCAATTCCCGGACACTCCACGAAGAACCCTCTCCGCTTAGGGCAGAGGCTGAAATTTGCATCTCCCTGTGTGTGAATCAGCATATGCAAATTGGGGTGCAGGTTTATTACTTCATTTATTTAATGAAAACACTTGTGTGCCGTAAAAAAAATATTGAGGCAGTTCGTGGGAATAAAACCATATTCAGGCAACCAAACGGCGGGTTGGACTACATGGCCTCCCGGAGTCCCTTCCAGCCCTACAATTCTTTGATTCTATTTTTCTATTTAAAAATGTTTAAGCATTTGTTTCACAGAGTGAAGCCCTTGAGACTTAAAAAAGCCACAAGTATGTACTGTAGTCCGTCCCTGCCGGCCTCCTTATTCTAGCTCCTTTATTTATTTGGTTTTTCTTCCAGAGGTTGTGTTCCTCATATCAGAGCTTCCTGAATAGCAGGCTGCTTACTATCCCGTGGATTTAAAGCCTGCAACCTTCCCCCCCAACACAAGAATCCTGGGAACTATAGTTTTACCGGCTCACCAAACTACAATTCCCAGCACCCTCTGCAAACTACACTTCTTCCAGAGATTGTGTTCCTCATATCAGAGCTTCCTGAATAGCAGGCTGTTTTCTACCCTGTCCATTTAAAGCCTGCAACCTTCTCCCCCAACACAAGAATCCAGGGAAGTATAGTTTTACCGGCTCGTCAAACTACAATTCCCAGACCCTCTGCAAACTACGCTTCCCATAAATTCTGGGGAGCTGTGCACTTTGAAGATGCGGTGAGCACCCAGCACAGAGTCGACCCATTTCAAATGAATGACCCGTGTTAATCAGTTATTTCCCCTTTCCACTGATTTCTAATAGATTCACAACTTTGACTCCATGCTATAGTAGCCTGTTAGCCCAAATATTTTCCACAAAGTAGCCGGGTTGTTACTAAATTGTAGCCCTGAACCTCTGAAGTCTGATATCTTCTCCCAGCTGACGGCTGCCAAATATTTACATCCGGATCTCGCGTCTTCCCCAATTTTTTATTTCCTTGCAGAACTAGCAGATGAGCATCGTCTTGGGTTGTTTGCCTGGGTGGTCAGTTTGGGGTTTGAAAGCAGAATCCTACCATATTTTCCATCCTGGCTCCACAACCATGATGATTAGGAACATTGGGGGAGAGTGCTTGCATGTCATGTTGCTGGGATTTTTATTCCTAGTTAGGGTAGTGATGCCTAACAGTTAGAGCAGAGGTTTTTTGGCCAATTCTGGAAAGGACGTGTGTAGTCTGCAAATCTCAAAAGCTGAGGACTAGATTCCTTGGAAGTGTGTGCACTGTGGGACAGTGGAAGAGGCACCCCATGGCTTCAGGTAGCTGGCATGGCAGAGCTTCATGCGGCTGCAGTGCTGTTCATTTAACTACAGTGCATCTGTTTCTTTTGTTGACTTGTTCAGGATTGTGAACATGTGTTTGCGTGTAGAGAGTGTTATCACAATGTCCCTTGAGCTCATCTTTTAACCCAGGCACCCCCAAACTCGGCCCTCCAGATGTTTTGGGACTACAACTCCCATCACCCCTGACCACTGGTCCTGTTAGCTAGGGATGATGGGAGTTGTAGTCCCAAAACATCTGGAGGGCCGAGTTTGGGGATGCCTGTTCTAACCCTAATACTCCCCTCTTTGCCAAAATCCTGAATTTGGTCCAGGGGTCAGCAAACTTTTTCAGCAGGGAGCCGGTCCACTGTCCCCCAGACCTTGTGGGGGGCCAGACTATATTTTGAAAAGAAAAGAAAAATAAATGAATTCCTATGCCCCACAAATAACCCAGAGATGCATTTTAAATAAAAGGACACATTCTACTTATGTAAAAACACGCCGATTCCCGGACCGTCCACAGGCCGGATTTAGAAGGCGATTGGGCCAGATCTGGCCCCTGGGCATTAGTTTGCCTACCCATGATTTGGTCTGCTTGGAAGAAAAGCCAGGTGAACTCTGCATCTGCTCAGAGGCACTCTTTCCATCCTTATTAGATGCTCCCGGTGGGCTTCAAGACAAATTTTTTGGGCTCTGGTCCTGAGCTGGGTTGGAGCCCCCATCGAAAGCCCATTCCCCTCCCACCCGAAACAGAATGCTGGGAACTGTAGTATATTCCCCCACCCATAGCTACAGTTCCCAGCACCGAGTATTCTTCCTTTGGATGTATGTATGGGAAAACATGCTTCTGATGTGCTTCGAATGTGCAGCGCGTACTTCGTCTGTGGTCACAGTGCCTCTGAGCATGTACAGAGCGGGGGACCTTTTCAAGCACATCAGTCTAGCAGCTGGGCCATATAGTGTTTAGGGAAGCTTTTGATGTTTGATGCATTACTGTATTTTAATATTTTGTTGGAAGCCTCCCAGAGTGGCTGGGGAAGCCCAGCCAGATGGGTGGGGTATAAATAATAATAATAATTATTATTATTATTATTATTAGGCTCTCCTCGTTTAATCCCCACAAGAGCCCTGTGAGGTACGACAACCTGAGAGCCAACCACTGTCGCCCAAGCCAGCTTCATCTGGCAGAGTGGGGATCCGAACCCTGGTCTCTCCCAGGTCCTAGTCCGCCACTCTAACCACTACACCACCGCTGCCTCTCCCCTAGTGCTATTCCCAGGAGACTCACTGAATTGGTCAACATACCTAACATTTCAGTGAATTTATTCTAAGTGGAATGTAGTTGGAAAGGAAATGACTAAAGGTATCTAAGGACCCTCCGGAGACCTCGCAATTTTCCCAGCTGATTGGCGTCCCAGGAGTTGGACCCGGGTAAACTCTGTTCCCGCTCCCTTCTTGCAAGCAATTGCTTTTATTTTTAACCGCTTAGGATTTCAGCTAATATGTTAATGCGCAGGCAAGGGCTCTTTGCTGGGGGACCAGCTGATCTCCCTCAGACGTGATTCCTAAGCTGCTGGTAATCTCTGCCCCACCTCCCAGCTCCAAAATCACCCCCCCCCCAAACGGGCTGGCATGGCCCCCTCTGGTCAAGCCGGCCGTCAGGTGGGTTTGCTGCATCCTTCAGGGTGGGGAGGGCGCTTTCAAGAAACCGGCTGCCTTTCCCTCGCGAGAAACTTACATTTTCTCCCCTGGGTAGGTGGAGAGACTTTTGCTGCATAAAGCAAAACAGAAAAACCCTCTTTGTTTGAGCTTTGGGGCCTCGGCTCTAGGGAGATGAGGAATTTCAGAAGCTGCCTTGTGCCCAGTTAGACCAATTGCCTCCCTAGCTTAGCACTGCTTACACTGACCGGCAGCAGCGACGCTCCTGGGTTTCAGAAGGGGAAATCTTTCACAGCCTGGCGACAGGGGTGCTCCAGTTCCTTCCGAAGAACCTGTGATGGACATGAAGGGAGGGATTTGACCCACCAGCCCCACCCAGAAGGGCCACTGGTCAGGGGTGCCCCACCCCTGATCTCTCCCCCCAATAGTGAGGCAGCACTTCTCCTTCGGAACTCCCTGCCACTTGACATTAAGTCGGCGTCATCACTGTTCCTTTTAGACCCCCACAGAAGACATCGCTGCTGTAACAGGCTTATATCCAGACATCTAATTTGGTTTACATTTGTGGGTTTTCGTTTTGCTTGCTTTTTAAATTATTTGTCATGCTTAACTGTTTTCTCCGTGTTTCTAACAGTGGTTTAAATGTTATTTTTAATTTAAAAACAAGCAAGCAGGTGCGTTTGCTGCCCAGGGCTCCTCTGGGAGCTGCGTTCGAATGCTACTCACAGGTAAACCTGTGGAAATGAACGGTACTAAATTAGTCGTGCCCACAAACTGCCCAGAGCAGGGCTAGCGTTCAATAAGGAGGCTGAATACAGTGGTACCTTGGTTCTCAAACGCCTTGGAACCCAAACAACTTGGAACCCAAACACTGCAAACCCGGAAGTAAGTGTTCCGGTTTGTGAACCTTTTTTCGGAAGCCGAACATGCTCAGTTTTGAGTTTTCAGCTTCCGATTTGAGTGTTATGCTGAGGTCTGTCTGTTTTTGCTATTTTTTATGTTTTGGTTTTTGCGGCTCTTTTTGTTTTGCTTTTGTGACTGTGTGGAACCCAGTTCAGCTACTGATCGATTGATTGTGTGCCTGCAGTACATTGTTTACTGCTTTCATTTTATGGATCAATGGTCTTGTTAGATAGTGAAATTCATGTTAAATTGCTGTTTTGGTGGTTGCTTGTAAAAGCGTGGAACGGATTAATCCATTTTGCATTCCTTCCTATGGGAAAGCACGCCTTGGTTTTGGAACGCTTTGGTTTTGGAACGGACCTCCGGAACGGATTAAGTTTGAGAACCAAGGTACCGCTGCAAAAGCATTTTAAAAAACGGTTTACTCCTGACCGACAGAGGGTGGAGAATCTCAGGATTGGGGCCCCAAATGCACCCATCTGGTGCACCAGGGAGGGGGATGCAGCGAACTGCTTTTTACCACTGTCGCACCTCGTTCAGCGTTGCCGAGACGGCCCGGCAGGGTTGCTGGAGCTGTGGGAGCCTTTCCCAGCCCTGCTGGTGGATCCCAGGGATTGAACCCGGGATCTGGTGCAGGTGAAGCCAGCACTCTCCCCCCTGAGCCGTATCCTTTCCCCATGGGAGGTGGGAGCCCAGCAACTTCCTGGAGGGGCCACAGATTCTCCGGAGAACGCACCTTCCTGGTGGAAAAGGAACACGAGGAGAGTTGGGGGAGAGAAACTCCAGGCCAATTCAAGAGCCGGAAAAAAAGTTTCACAGCAATTAAGGAGGTTGTGAAGACTTGGAGAGGTGATGGGAGCAGCAGAGCAGAGAGAAGTCCAGGGAGATGGCTAGCCCCCCCCCCCAAGACCCAGCGGTTCATTCTCACCTGCCCAAGGGTGATGCTGATTTTGGAGGTGTGAAATTTAGCAGAGAGAGAACGCCAGGGCAGGATTTTGGTTCAGTAGCTGGCCAGCCCTGCCTTTCCCGCCTCGGTTTCCCCGTCTGTGAAATGGGAGGGATGTTCGGCGGCGCTTTAAGCCGCCAGCCTCTCCGCTCAGAAAGTGGCTATTGAACGTAAAGGCTTTGGAACCCCTCTCTCAATCTGCTTGTTTTATAAAGTACAGGGGTAGCTTGGTTCTCAAACTTAATCCGGTCCAGAAGTCCATTCCGAAACCAAAGCATTCCAAAACCAAGGTGCGCTTTCCCATAGAAGAGAATGCAAAACGGATTAATCCGTTCCAGACAAAACAACCCCTAAAATAGCAATTTAACATGGATTTTACTATCTTACGAGACCATTGATCCTTGACGGGGCTCTTTTTATGGAGCCTCCAGGTCCAGACACAGTCTATCTAGAATTTCTGGGTCCCTGGGGGCGTTTGACCGCTGTACGAACAGGACGCTGGGCTGTGACAGACCATTGGACTGACCTTTCAGGGGGTTTTTCCTCGTGTGCTTGTTATAAACAGTAAAAACCACACGGAAAAAGAATTCAGAACATCAGCTAGTGCTTTGTGTAGGGGTGTCAACCTTGAACCAATAGGGACCCCCTTGTTCACCTGTCTTGTGAGGCCGCCACACATTTCCAAGCACTTGCAGTTCCTTAATCCGTTCACCCAGCTAACATTTGTCGTGGGTTGATTTGTCAGGAAAGAGGATGTTGTTTTTTTCCTTGTTGGTTAAAGGTATTCCACAGAGAAAACCATAGGTAAAGGTAAAGGACCCCTGACCGTTAAGTCCAGTCGTGGCCGACTCTGGGGTGGCGGCCCTCATCTCGCTTTATTGGCCAAGGGAGCCGGCGTACAGCTTCCGGGTCATGTGGCCAGCAGGACTAAACCGCTTCTGGCGAACCAGAGCAGCGCATGGAAATGCCGTTGACCTTCCTGCCAGAGCGGTACCTATTTATCTACTTGCACTTTGACGTGCTTTCGAACTGCTAGGTTGGCAGGAGCAGGGACCGAGCAACGGGAGCTCACCCCGTTGCGGGGATTCGAACCGCCAACCTTCCGATTGGCAAGTCCTAGGCTCTGTGGTTTAACCCACAGCGCCACCGGCGTCCCTAGACCCTTACAATCCCTTTTCCATCTTCCTGGATGAACTCTTCCAGCTCCAGGCAGTAAAATGAGAAGAGGTCAAAGATTTGATGCGTTCAACTAAGTCCGTTTCGGACTTAGGGATGGGCAGATACGTCCAATTTCAGTTTTTCCAGTATCAAACTCAGTTCTCCATATTTCCACATCAGCTTGTCTTTTAAAGTCCTTCAGCGTTCAAGTGCAAATCCCTCCCAATATACCCGTGTCTGTATGCATTTTTGCCTAAGGCACCCATTTTTAACAATGCGGTTCCCGATATTTTCACTCAAATATTTACCTTTTGCACTAAACGTGAGAACGCTTTGCACTCTTGTTTTTAAATGTTTTGTGTCTGTTCTGTCCTGGGCTCCTTTTGGGGAGGAAGAGGCGGGTGCGAATATAACAAATAAATACCCTGGTATGTGCAATTTTTGGCGACACGTTACTGAACTGGGGAATTTTGCATTGCAACATCTGGAGAAGTGCGTATTTCAAATGAAACGACTTTGTTTTTGATTGTCTACTCCTCCTCCATCCCTACTCAGACCCAGCAAAATCAATGGGTTCAGAGAATCAGTGGGGTTCGGTAGCTGCGATTCCTCTATTCCATTAATTTCTGTGGTTCTGTCCTGCATTGGACTTGGTTGGGTTCTGCTGGCGCTTTCGGCCGCTCCAGAGGGCATGGCTTGTAGCGACAAAAGAAAGGCACATTTCCTTTTTTATATATATATAATTTTTTATTAGTTTTTCAACATATCATTTTCAACAATAATTAAACGTACTTTTACATCATATACAATTTTTTGACTTCCATCAATCACATCTGAAAATTTTTCAATCTATTCACTTAATTTACGTTTCTTATTTTAATAATAATAATAATAATAATAATAATAATAATATTTTTATATCCCGCCCTCCCCAGTCGAAGCCGGGCGGCTAACAACAATAAAATATTACAACATTCTAAAATCATTTAATTATAAAATTAATTCAAATCAAATTGATGGCAACCATTGGGCTAGAGTTCTGTGAAGATTGCCAAAGGAGGGAGTCAGGCTGTGCCCTGGCCAAAGGCCTGGTGGAACAGCTCCGTCTTGCAGGCCCTGCGGAAAGATGTCAAGTCCCACAGGGCCCTGGTCTCTTGGGACAGAGCGTTCCACCAGATCGGAGCTTTCACTTTTAAATCTCATAGCTAATATCTCTTTTCTTTCTCTTCTTTGCAAAATTTCATATATTTCTCCTTACAAAACTTATTGTAGTCCTGCTAGCGTAATTTGTTGATTACAGTTGCTCTTCAAATAGTTCGTATATTTCTTCCAATCTTCTGTGAATCTCTGGTCCCGCAGGTTTTGAATCCTTCCTGTCATTTTATCCAATTCTGCGTAGTCCATTAATTTTGTCTGTCATTTTTCTTTCGTTGGTATTTCTTCTTGCTTCCATTTCTGAGCTAACAATACACTTGCCGCTGTTGTTGCATATAAAAACAATTTCGCATCCTGTCTATTAATATCCTCACCTATAACGCCCAGTAAAAATGCTTCTGGTTTTTTTTAGAAATGTATATTTCAACATCTTTTTCATCTCATTATATATCATTTCCCAGAAGTTTTTTACTGTCTTACATTCCCACCACATATGATAAAATGTTAAGAAAGGCACATTTCCGTTCAACATTAGGAGAAAAATATGGGTAGTGGGAACAGTTTGACAGTCTAGCGCAGGCAGGTTTGACTAGAAGGCCTTACGATGTCTCATTCAGTTTTATAATTCTGTAAACGGACCAATGCAGGGGTACATTAGAAGCGTATCATTTGTGGGTCTTCATTTCCTGCCTCTGCTGATTCCCTTGACCAACACACCATCCCTTTATTTATTGATTATTCGTTTCATAAAATTTGCACAACGCTTGTTCGTTTGCTTGCATAAAAACCCCTCAAAGCAGTTTGCAAAAAGGCGAAAGCGTTAAAATCAAGGGGAAACGTTTACGTTAAAACACGCGCAGGAAGTTAAAATGTTAAAACAAGATTAAACTTGCCCATCGCGTTTCTGAGCATCTGGGTAGACTGGTCTGATTGCTCCTAGCGTCAGGGACTGAAAAGGAAAGGCCCCCTGCCTTGGCCTCAATAGGCGGGGAGTTCCAAAGGTGCTGCCGCAGTAAACGCTGGCGTTCTTACGAATGCGGGTGTCACGTGGCGGCTGTGTGTAGCGCCAGTCCTGCCAATCAAAGCAGAGTTTGCTACCACCCCTTCCCGTACACGGGACGGCTCCGGCGATGCTTAGCAGACGGCGTTCGTGCCTCAGAAAGGGATTTACCCAAGCAAATCTGTGGCGGTTGCCCACCTGCCTTTAAGCGCTTCATCCTTGCCTTCCTGCTCTTCCCTTGTCAGGCTGCAGTTATAATAATAATAATAATAATATTTTTTTATTTATACCCCGCCCTTCCCGGTTCGAAAACTGGGCTCAGGGCAGCTAACAACAAATTTAAAACACTTAATTGTAAAAGCAGCATAAAATACAGTATAAAATCATGCATAACAATAAAATTCAAAGTTCAGAAATCAATTTAGGGGAAATCCATCTAATAAGTATTAGATAGTCATGAGGGCTAGCTGGCTGAATTGGTCCTACTTGGGCCAGCGAGGAGGCCAGGGGAGAATTAGCTGGGGGGTCTCAGAGCGGGTGATCTTCATAAAAGGGGAGGGGGAGGGAAGAGAAGGGAAATAAAAGATCAGGCTGAATTCAAATTAAAGGCCAGGCGGAATAGCTCTGTCTTACAGGCACGACGGAAGGAGGTTAAATCCTGCAGGGCCCTGGTCTCATGGGACAGAGCATTCCTCCAGGTTGGAGCCACCACTGAGAAGGCCCTGGTGGAGGATAGTCTGGCTTCCTTAGGACCTGGGACCTCTAAACTATGGTTATTCATGGACCTTAAGGTCCTCTGCAGGGCAGACCAGGAGAGGCAGTCCCATAAATACGAGGGCCCTAAGCCACAAAGTTAGCCTGGCCCCCTGTTGGCAGCCATGCAAACTACAACGTGACGCTTGCAAAAATATAACATGGGAGAGACGTTCCCGGTCTGAAATGTGGTGTTTGAGAGAGAGTGGCCCAGGCTGCAGTTTGAGCCTGAAATACAGAGGGCATCTTTCAGACTGGTTTTCTATATAATATACTCAGGGGGCTCCTGCCTGATAGGGGCATCCTCTGGTCTCCGGTGAAAGCGCTGGACCGCTACGGTTCACGGCACCTTTGACACTACAGTTCCCAAGATTCTTTGGTGGGGGGAGCCATGTCCATTGAAATGGCAGGAGTCGTGCCAACGGTCAACATCCGCATGCCCCTTTTAATGCCCACGAAGAATCACGGGAACCATAGTTTACCCCCTTGCCGTGCTACGCTTCCCAGCACCTCCAACAATCTACAGTTCAGGTGCTTTAAGTGAGTGTTGTGGGAGTGAGGCCAATTTCCCAGAAAGCTGTTTCTGCTTTCCTTCCTCCCCCACCCACCCACCCCCAGTTTCTAGAGGTGTGTATGGGGGCACGTCCCATCAATTAAAGCGTCATCAACGAGAAACTGAGTCACTGGTGAAACTGATACGGCTTTCTCTTGACCTGACTAACAGCTGACACAACAGAAGTTTATAAATCTATATTCTAAGTGTGGCTGCACCATAGATTTTTATAACGCCATTAGGATCTTGGCAGTTTTGCTTCCAAGTCCTTTCCTAACGATCGCTGGGCTCTTTTTTTTTTTACAGCTGCCATACACTGGTTCAGCATTCTGTTGTTTTTGTTTTATATATATATATATAGTTTTTTTAATTGATTTTCCATTTAAACGTATATAGTAACATCGTTATTATTCACTTTCCTTCCTTGGCTCTTTAGAGCCTGTCAACTTCCTTCCCTCCCAACCCCTTGGCTTTCAAAAGTAATCACAATATTTTATATATTTTCCAATTCTAATATAACTCGTTACAAAATACCTCATAATATAAATAAATATAGAAAGGGGGGGAATTCTCATTACTAGTCTTCGGATAACCCTACTAGTGTTGTTAGTTGCTTACAACGATCTTTTAAATATTGTGTAAATTTACTCCAGTCTTTTTGGTTGTGCTGGTTTCGGATTTTTCCCATCAGCTTCACCAGTTCTGCAAAGTCCACTATCTTCATCTGCCACTCTTCTTTCATTGTGGTTCAGCATTTTGTTTTATCTGCCACGACCCCAAGGCCTTCTGTTCAGATGCCATTAGTGTAAAATACGGGTAGGCAAACTAAGGCCATTTGCCTTCTAAATCCGTCCCGCGGATGGTCTGGGAATTGTCATGTTTTTACATGAGTAGAATGTGTCCTTTTATTTAAAATGCATCTCTGGGTTATTTGTGGGGCATAGGAATTTGTTCATATTTTTTCTTCAAAATATAGTCCGGCCCCCCACAAGGTCTGAGGGACAGTGGACCGGCCCCCTGCTGAAAAAGTTTGATGACCCCTGGTGTAAAACAACGGCAGTCAAAATGATGAACGGGGTGAAGCAACTCTGTGAGGAAAGGTGGCGGCGTTTGGGACTTCTTAGTTTAGAGAAAAGTCAAATAGGAAGTGACCTACTAGAAGTTTATGAAATGATAAAGAAAGTGGATAGAGGGGGGAAGTAGTTTTTCTTTCTGTCTCATAGCACAGGGACTTGTGGACTTCCAAGGGAGTATGAGGTTTGGGAGATTTGGGACAGATGGAAGAAAGTCCTTTGTGCAGTGCAGTTAAACTGTGGAACTCCTTGCCACAAGAGAGCGGGATGGCCCCCAGCTTAAAGGTAAAGGTAAAGGGACCCCTAACCATTAGGTCCAGTCGTGGCCAACTCTGGGGTTGCTGCGCTCATCTCACTTTACTGGCCGAGGGAGCCGGCGTACAGCTTCCGGGTCATGTGGCCAGCAGGACTAAGCCGCTTCTGGAGAACCAGAGCAGCACACAGAAACGCTGTCTACCTTCCCGCCGGAGCGGGACCTATTTATCTACTTGCACTATGACGTGCTTTCAAACTGCTAGGTTGGCAGGAGCAGGGACCGAGCAACGGGAGCTCACCCCGTCACGGGGATTCGAACCGCCGACCTTCCGATCGGCAAGCAATTCTTCTGAATATGAGTTGCTAGAAACCGCAGGAGGGGGGACAATTGCTCTTGCGTTTGGGTCTCGTTTTGGGGTTTCCAATCGGGGCATCTGGTTGGCCACTGTAAGGACTAGATGAGCCACTGGTCTGACCCTGCCGGTCATCAGAGGAGCCCAAAATTGTCACTTTTTTTAAAAAAGGTAGTTGTATAATAAGGTGATCAAAATATAAAGCTCAGCAACTAAGAATCACAAATCTACGTAATAAAATTACGTTGCCGTTTAGGGTTTCTTTCTTGAAAGCGTCTTCGCCTCTCTTCTCTTTATTGAAACGGCAGCAATGACAACCGCTCGAGGTGCGGCTTATCAAAATAACCGAGTACGAAAAGACTGAAATTGAAGTTTTGAAAGGAAATGTGGCAACCACAGCAGAAATTCGGCAGATTGAAAGTTAAGGCCGTTGAGAGTGGCAGCTGTCGGTGGGGCAGAGCCCTTCTTGGAAGGGAAGGTTTGAGCGGACTTTGAGAAGGCGGAGCAAGACATTTGGGGAGAGTTGTAGCATGTGCCTTGCATGCAGAAGGTCCCCGATTCCGTCCCCTGTCTGAATCCCCGGAGGTCCACTGCTGCTGCCAGTCAGTGCTGGCGATCCCAAACTACTGGCTCTGCAGAAGGCATCTTTCTTTCAACCTTTCTGCTCCCAGACTCTCGAACTCGCTCCCTGGAGAAGCCAGCCGGGCTCCAGCCTTGCTGGCGGAAACCTTCTTGTTCCAACAGAACATCTGGGACCTGACTGCTTTTAATGAAAGGGCTGGTGCCGTGATGTTTTTATTATAATTATCGGTATGGTTTTAATAGATTTGTGTGTGTGTGTGCACGTGTGCGTGTAGTTTTAATTCTCTTAATGCTTTGTTGTTGTTTTAATTATTGCTTTCCCCCGCCCGTGTTTTTAGCTGGACTCATTTCACCTGTAACCTACCTTGAGTGTCCGTCAGGAAAGAAGGCGGGTTAATATTATCATTATCATTATTATTTCCTAGAATGCAATGGGTGCCTTCCTCAGGAGGGTGGCCTGGGGTTCAGCCATTGTCATGGAGAAGGTTGCATCGCTGGTCGTACTGAAGAGCCCCTGCAGACTGGGGTTTTTTTGGGGGGTGGGGGGTTGTGATTTGCACAATGATAATGCACCAGTGAGATCTGGACCATAAAGAACGCTGATTGCTGAAGAATGGATGCTTTTGAATTCTGGTGCTGGAGGAGACTCTTGAGAGTCCCATGGACTGCAAGAAGATCAAACCTCTCCATTCTGAAGGAAATCAGCCCTGAGTGCTCACTGGAAGGACAGATCCTGAAGCTGAGGCTCCAAGACTTTGGCCACCTCATGAGAAGAGAAGACTCCTTGGAAAAGACCCTGATGTTGGGAAAGATGGAGGGCACAAGGAGAAGGGGAAGACAGAGGACGAGATGGTGGGACAGTGTTCTCGAAGCTACCAGCATGAGTTTGACCAAACTGCGGGAGGCAGTGGAAGACTGGAGGGCCTGGCGTGCTCTGGTCCAGGGGGTCACAAAGAGGCGGACACGACTAAATGATTAAACAACAACAAATGCACCAGTGATTGGTTGATACCAGACTGTCCGCACTTTATCCTGCTTTTGTAGCTGCCTGGGAAGAGGATTTGATTGCTAAACCACTCTGGAGAATATAGCTCTGGGAAGGGAATCTCCCAGTGACTCTCATAACAAACTGCAACTCCCAGGATTCTTTGGGGGAAGCCAGGAGTGTTTAAAGTGTTTTCATGGTGCTTTAAAATAATAATAATAATAATAATAATAATAATAATAATAATAATATTTATACATCCGGCTGGGTTTCCCCAGCCACTCTGGGCAGCTCCCAACAGAATATTAAAAACAGAATCAAACATTTAAAAATCCCCTGAACAGGGCTGCCTTCAGATGTCTTCTAAAAGTCAGAGAGTTGTTTATTTCCTTGACATCTGATGCTTTCAACCTGTGCTGTGATCTTGGTCTAAATCTGGACCTATATCCTAAAGCTGTATTGTTTTTAACACTCGACTGGGAGCCGCCCAGAGTGGCTGGGGAAACTCAGCCAGATGGGCAGGGTATAAATAATAAATTATTATTATTAATTATTATAAAGCCCCCATTGTCCTTTGGGGGCGGGGTGATTCAATTCAGTTTGAGTGGAAAAGCTAGCTTAACCTCATTCGTCTGTGTTCTGTAAGACGTTCAGGCAAGGTTATATCCCAGACGGTTGTCCTTTTTTTATTTTTGATGGTGAAGATATATTTTTATATTTCATTTTGTGCTGCATTCTGTATGTATAAGGCGGAGGGGACAGTTGGATAGCAACTGATGGAAATAAAACAGCTTTAAGCAGGATCCAGTATGGTTTCAAATTGGATGGGGAGCCCCATGTTATTACTGGGATGTGAGTTCCAGCCTTGCCAGGTGTGCTGACGGTTATAGCTGTCAACATTTTCCTTTTTTTAAGGGAAATTCCCTTATTCCAAATAGGATTCCTCGCAAGAAAAGGGAAAAGTTGGCAGCTATGCTGATGGTTGATCCTGGACTTTAAATCACAGAACCTTAGGAGTTGGAAGGGGGATCAGACAAAGTTTAAAAAAGGGGAGTGGTTTTTTATGTCAAAGAAAAATGGAACCCTAAGTTGTTGTTTAAGGATGAGGAAGGAAGATACATTGCCGTGGAAATTACAGCACAAGGCGATAAATATCTTTTATTGGGAATTTATGCACCAAATGATGGGAAAGTAGAATTTTTCAGAAATTTGGATTCTAAACTTAATGACTACGTGGAATACAAAATAATATTAATGGGAGATTTGAATGGAGTAGTCTCCACATTTACGGATAAATCACAAGAGCAGAAAGTGCAAAATGCAGCCAGACTTCCAAAATTGTTTTTTGATATGGTAGACAAATATGACCTGTCAGATATATGAAGACTACCTTAATAGTTGGAAGGGGGACCTCAGGCAACATCTAGTCGAACCCCCTGCAAGGCAGGAACATTATTGAGCCATGCTATGCGGACTTTTTTGGGAAGGGGGAGGGGATGGCAACTTGAAGCATCAATCTGGAGAACCGAATTCTTTTTTAAAAAGAGGGAGAGAAACCGGCACGTTTTCATTTGCGCTTTGGTACTGGGGAGTCGGCTGCCTTTCAGAGCTCCCTGCTTCTCCCAGTGGCAAAATGCGCCTGATTCTGGGGTGGAGCGATGGGTAATTCAGGCACTCGGGAGAGAAAAAGGAGCTGGAACAACAGCAGGAGAAGGAGGAGGAGGGCAGGATTTGGGAGGGGTGCGTCTCTTGGGGCGAAGCTCTTGGAGCAGATCAGGGAGAACAGGCTATATGTGTGTGTGTCTTCACGTATGTGTGCGTTTCAGAGAGAGAGAGAGATCGGATCAGCCAGCTCAGCGCTGAGGAATTCTAGGAAGGTGCCACGGAAATCTTGGCTTTCGAACCTTCCTTGCTTCCGGAGGCCTGGGCGAAAAGCTTTGGGGACATTCCTCCCCGCTCCCCTTATATTCCGGAAGGCAGCAGCTGGAAGGCAGTAACGTCAACAGCTGCCTTTGCACCGAATCCATCTAGCGCAGTATTTCTGGCACTGGCTGGCAGCAGCTCTCCAAAGGGGAGATATTTCCACAGCAGCCCTGAGATGGAGTTGCCGGGGTTTCCTAGATGACTTGCAGAGTTAGAAGGGGCCTTGAGAATCATCTAGTTCAGGCACGTCCAAAATCCGCCTTTGATTGATTTAATCCGGTCCCTGTGGCAGTATATGTCCTGGTGTAAAATCCTAACTATATGTGTGTGTGTGTGTGTGTGTGTGTGTGTGTGGTGGTGTTGTTGTTGTTGTTTAGTCGTTTAGTCGTGTCCAACTCTTCGTGACCCCATGGACCAGAGCACGCCAGGCCCTCGTGTCTTCCACTGCCTCCCGCCGTTTGGTCAAACTCATGCTGGTAGCTTCGAGAACACTGTCCCACCATCTCGCCCTCTGTCGTCCCCTTCTCCTCGTGCCCTCCATCTTTCCCAACATCAGGGTCTTTTCCAGGGAGTCTTCTCTTCTCCTGAGGTGGCCAAAGTCTTGGAGCCTCAGCTTCAGGATCTGTCCTTCCAGTCAGCACTCTAATTGGAGAACAGCAACCTTGGCCTTGTCTGAGCTATCCGAGGCCTTCCTGCATTTGAAGCCAGTGCTCTGCTCGCTGAGCTGTGTGGCCTTTGCTCTCATAAAATAAAGCAAGCTTCCAGTCCTCATGACTCTGCATGGAACTGATTTCAGGAGGAGCCTAGGAAGTGGCCCAGGCAGACCCTCGGCCCGTCTCGCTCAGGAGCTGCCTGCCTGGAGATGTTGGAGGCTGAGCCAAACTGCGTGGCTTGTCACCCAGGGTTAGCCCTTCCCTTCCAAATAAACCAAGGAGGCAGTCCTCATGGTTCTAGATAGAAGGTAAAAGGTAAAGGGACCCCTGACCATTAGGTCCAGTCGTGACCGACTCTGGGGTTGCGGCGCTCATCTCGCTTTATTGGCCGAGGGAGCCGGCGTACAGCTTCCGGGTCATGTGGCCAACAGGACTAAGCCGCTTCTGGCGAACCAGAGCAGCACATGGAAACGCTGCTTACCTTCCTGCTGGAGCAGTACCTGTTTATCTACTTGTACTCAGACGTGCTTTCGAACTGCTAGGTTGGCAGGAGCAGGGACCGAGCAACGGGAGCTCACCCCGTCACGGGGATTCGAACCGCCGACCTTCTGATTGGCAAGCCAGGAACTTAGAAAACTGCCTTGTATACCCAGTCCGCCCATCAGCCTCTCCAGATTGCGGCTGCCTACTCTAACAGGCAGTTACTCTCCAGGGTTTAAGGCAGGGGAGCCTACCTGCAGAGGCCGGGATCCGAACCTGGGACCGTTTGCATTCAAAGCAGGCACTCTGTAGCTACCAAGACACAGCCATGCTTCCGGCAGGTGCCAGGAACCATGCAAAGTGAGAGCCCCACTTACGGGGGTTTTTGGAGGTGCCTGGTTGGGCGCTGTAAGAAGGCGGCCCCCAGGACTCCCTGCCTGGCCCTCGGGGTTCCACACTGCCCCCCACAGGTGCTTTTGCCTGGCTGGAATTTGCCCCTGAACTTAGGCAACGCCTCTTGCATTCCTGGGAGGAGGAGACCCCCCGCAGATGCTCGATTACTGTACAAAATGTTGGGCGGTCTGTGTGTTGCTCCGCCGACTTCTGCCTCTCTTGCCCCACTGGGTCCCTGGAGATTTCACATAAAGGGTTTCCCCTGCTTTCAAGGGGAGTTTTTCTCCCCGGCCACCTTGATCTCCCCTGAGGCAAATGTCCTCTGCCTGTCTGAACCCTGGAATGGTAAGTCCCTGATATAACATCCTAGATTTCAGGGACCGTCCTGTTTCCCTTTGTGCAAAACACAGCTGGATCTTCCTTCCGCTTCTGGGAGACGTAGCTTGGAAGAAAAGGAAGGAGTTTATTGCTCTCGCCTTTCCATCCTTTCGGATCTTCTCTTCCAGATTTCAGAAGCTGGTTCAGGAAACCTAGAATCCCTCCCCGACTGTCTGCTCTCGTGGGACATTTCAGAGAGAGAATTTGCAAAGAAGACATTTTGCAGGGGGTGGACTAGATAACTCTTCGGGTCCCTTCAGGATCTGTGATTGTGATGGGTTTGGGGAGGGCTTTTTCTGTTGTGTGTGTGTGTGTGTGTGTGTGTGTGCTTCGAAGTGTTTCTGAAGCAGCCGCCTGTGTTGCATTTTAGAAACCTCTCCTTGACAATATATTCCGAAATGTCCTTCCTTTGAACGTGATTTTCCGCCATAAAAAAAAACCCAAGCAGCTCGGTGGTTGTTTAATTTTGCATTTTTAAAAGCTTTCTTGTAGATTGCTTTTGGATTTTTAAGCGGGAGCCGACTTCCAGATTTAATAAACCTCACCGTGATGGATTTATACTAAGAGCTGGGTGGTTCTGACCCAATCTCGTTTTACTAGTATTGAGCTGCCTTGGGTATCAGCAACCTGCGTTGATCTGAACTGCTTGTGTCTTGTCAGATTGGTGGGGTGTAAATAAAATAATAATAATAATAATAATAATAATAATAATTTTATAAAACTTATGCTCCACTTGATTGTAAAAGAAAGAAAAGAAACAACTACTTGAAAGAAGCTTACAAAAGAAGTTGAAACAATAAAATTATCCATAAGAAAGACTAACAATAATAGAAGACTTTCAAAAGTTAAAATATCAAGAGACTAAAAACTGATTGAAACTCATATCAACTTTCTAAACATCTGGGTAGGCTTGTCTAAATAAGAATGTTTTCAGTCGGCTCCAAAAAGAGCACAGAGAAGGCGCCTGCCGGATATTCAAGTGGCAGGGAGTTCCAAAGTTCAGGTGCTGCCACACTAAAAGACTAGAGTTCTTACAACTGTGGAACGGGTTAGGGTTTTAGATACCCAAGTAGTTAGAATTGAGCTTTCCTTGATACAGAACTTTAAGAAGAAAATAACCGCAAAATTCAAAGGTGTCTGTTTTTTTAATGAACGGCTTGTCTTCATGGGATTTAGGCATTGTAAGGTCCCTTCCCAGCGCCCTTAACTGGCCTTTCCTGAGGCCTGTGGAGAAAGCACAGCTATTTATAAAGGCGGATTATTAGCCGAGAGCCGATTTGCTCCGTCTTAACAGAGCCCCTTTCCCCACTTTCGACTCTCTGGCTTTGCGGGAAAGAAATTAGCTCAGAGAAAGGAGTTTACTCGGATTTGAGGTGGGGGGGAGGGAGAAAGGAGATAAACGCACTCCCCAGAAATGTTCCCTCAGGTGAGAGATTTAGATTTTCTGTTGACGTGCGTCAGGCAGGGTTTTCGTTTGAGTTTTTAAGTAAGGACGAAGCCGTCTTGCAAGGTTTTGCTCCCAGGATATGCTTCTGCGTTTAGGCTTTTCAGGGGCTGAGTTAATGTATTGTGCAGAAGCCCCTCCCCTCACAGGCAGAGTCCCCGCCCCTTGAGCTGAAGCCACACCCCCTCCAAAGAGGGCGGGGCTTAACGAGCAGCTCCTTAAAGTTGCCAACGTTCTGCAGCCAAAAAAAAGGAAGTAAAGGGACAGAGTTATGCAAAAAAGTTGGGATGCGAGGACAGGGTGGTAGAGCTATAGGGCTCTTCTGATATCCTTATGGAGCCTCCATGTTCAAAGGCAGTCTATCCATAAGCTTAGGGTCATTGGGCCCCTGCAAGAACGAGATGCTGGACTCAGTGGGCCTAGGGTTGCCATATTTCAAATAGTGAAAACAGGCAAACTACTGCCAGTGTCCTGGAAGAAGCAAAGATCGCCAGTGTTGAAGCAATGATTCTTCAACGTCAATTTCGTTGGACTGGTCATGTTATGAGGAGGCCTGATGATCGTCTCTTAAAGCAACTGCTCTATTCTGAACTTAAAAATGGAAAGCGTAATGCTGGTGGTCCACAAAAGAGGTTTAAAGACTCTCTCAAGGCAAATATGAAAAAATGTAGTATAAACACCAACAACTGGGAAACACTGGCCTGCGAGTGCTCCAGTTGGAGAACAGCCTTTCCCAAAGGTGTCATGGGCTTTGAAGACACTCGAACTCAGGACGCAAGGGAGAAACGTGCTAAGAGGAAGGCACGCTTGGCAAATCCACACCGTGATCAACTCCCGCCTGGAAACCAATGTCCCCACTGTGGAAGGAAGTGGGGATCCAGAATTGGCCTCCACAGTCACTTACGGACTCATTGTTAAAACCGTGTTTATGGAAGACAATCTTACTCGGCTACGAGGGATCGTTGAAGAAGAAGAAACTGGACTAGAGTGGCCTAGGCTTCCATATTTCAAACAGTGAAAATCCGGACATAAAAGTTGTTGAGCTTTGGCTAAGTTGGGGGGCAAAATCTCCCCAAAAAGAGAAGTTTTTGAGCTATTCTTTCAGGTAGTCCGACGAAACCTACACATCCAACATGGGTTGCCATACGTCCGGATTTCCCCCGACATTTAAGCGGGGATTTTCCCTGGACACTGTTTTCAGTTCCAGGCATATGGCAGCCCTAGATGGGCCACCTTTGCCTCACCCAGCAACCCAGCTCTTCTGACGGGAACATGGCGTTGTGAGTTGTCGTCCCAACCCAGAGTCCACCTTTGGGACTGGCTTGAGCTGCCGGCTGCCTCTGGAACTCCTTGCCCCGTGTTGTGCACAGAAGCGCGCCCCGAAAATTCCCGGAAGCGCCACTGGGTCCACGTGCCCGGGCGCCTACTTGGGCGACGGCCTCTCCGACAACAGCTGGCCGAGCACCCGAAGGCGGATCACCTAATTGTCGCCTGCTGAGTGCCCGGGGGCCGTAGCCAGGATGAAGTAAGCAGATCTGGCAGGGTGCGTGACTTGGGCGGAGGCGCATGCCTCGCATCGGGGCGTTACATAATCTCCTTGCACAGGGGAGGGCGTGCCGCCTGGCGTTGGCACACCTGGGCGCGTCCGTGCCAAAGCCCAAACCGTCTCCACGGATGGAATGTGTTTGTGTGTGTGTGATGCCCTTGTTGTGAGCTGCGGGTGGGGCGATAGATTGCCGCAATGCTCTCTACGTGGGGCTTCCCCCGCGCCCGATCTGAGAAGCTGCAGCTGGCGCAGAATGTTGCAGCGCAATTGCTGGCGGGTGTGAGGCCGGGTTTGCGTATCTCACCTGCGCTCCGAGGTCTGCGCTGGTTCCCAGTTTGTTACTGGGCCAGGTACTATTAGACCAAGCTTCTTCAAACACAGCCCTCCAGATGTTTGTTTGTTTTTCAAAAAGGTTTATTAATTTTCCGCATTTCTAACAAATATAGGGATGCGGGTGGCGCTGTGGGTTAAACCACAGAGCCTAGGACTTGCCAATCAGAAGATCGGCGGTTTGAATCTCTGCGAGGGGGTGAGCTCCCGTTGCTCAGTCCCTGCTCCTGCCAACCTAGCAGTTCGAAAGCATGTCAAAGTGCAAGTAGATAAATAGGTACCACTCCAGCGGGAAGGTAAACGGTGTTTCCGTGCGCTGCTCTGGTTCGCCAGAAGCGGTTTAGTCCTGTTGGCCACATGACCCGGAAGCTGTACGCCGGCTCCTTCGGCCAATAAAGCGAGATGAGCGCCGCAACCCCAGAGTCGGCCATGACTGGACCTAATGGTCAGGGGTCCCTTTATATATTTATGTTCTATTTATAACAAATAAAACATATAAAAGACACAAAACAGAACACATCACAATACTAAAAATAAAAAACAAAAACACTTATTACTTCTAAAATCCAAATTAACTTTCTTTGTTATCTGACTTCCTCAAATGCCCCCTAACTGAATTTCATTGTGACACCTTTGTGACAGTTCTCCAGGATTATCTTTCTAATACAATTAACTCTTTCCATTTACTATCTTCATCTCTTTTCTTACTAGTTGAAATCCATATTACTATACAACATTCTTATTCTAATCCTAGACCTGTTTGGTACTTTCAAGTACCTTCTAATTATCCAGCCCTCCAGATGTTTTGAGGCTACAATTCCCATCATCCCTGACCACTGGTCCTGCTAGCTAGGGATCATGGGAGTTGTAGGCCAAAAACATCTGGCGGGCCGAGGTTGAGGAAGCCTGTATTAGACTATAAAGCCCTCGACAGCTTGGGACCTACGAGATTGCCTCACCCCATAAACACCCACTCGACTCCTTCAGTCAGTTGAATTGGCATGCCCTCAGGTCTCACGTAATGCCTGTTCCATATTTGAAAGAAATGGATCTTTTAACGTGGCTGCACTTTGGAACTCCCTGCCAATTGATACCAAGCAGTTGTTTTTGTTGTATTCCTTTCAGCGCCTGCTAAAAACATCCTTGTTTAGGCAAGCCTACCCAGAGGCTTGGAAATGCTGGTGGGAATTTTAATCTCCTGCAGTATATTGATTTTTTTGTATGTTTTAAAGCAGGCAGCCCCAAACTTAGCCCTCCAGATGCTTCGGGACTACAATTCCCATCATCCCTGACCACTGGTCCTATTAGCTAGGGATGTTGGGAGTTGTAGTCCCAAAATATCTGGAGGGACGAGTTTGGGGCTGCCTGTTTCAAAGGATTGTAATATGTGTCTTGAAAGTCTAGGAAATTGGCAAGAGTTTAAATCTGTGTTCGGTCTGTTATTGCTTTAACCTTTCCGACATCTTAAATTGTTTTCCTTGGTGATAATTTTACCTCTTTTTGAGGGGTTTCCCTTTCTCCAAACTAGCAGTGTATAGGGTAAAGGTACCCCTGCCCGTACGGGCCAGTCGTGTCCGACTCTAGGGTTGTGCGCCCATCTCACTTAAGAGGCCGGGGGCCAGCGCTGTCCGGAGACACTTCCGGGTCACGTGGCCAGCGTGACGAAGCTGCTCTGGCGAGCCGGCACCAGCGCAGCGCACGGAAACGCCGTTTACCTTCCCGCTAGAAAGTGGTACCTATTTATCTACTTGCACTTAAGCGTGCTTTCGAACTGCTAGGTGGGCAGGAGCTGGGACCGAAAGACGGGAGCTCACCCCACCGCGGGGATTCGAACCGCCGACCATGCGATCGGCAAGCCCTAGGCGCTGAGGTTTTACCCACAGCGCCACCCACGTCCCTCACCCGCATCCCTAGCAGTGTATAAATATATATAATAAAAATAAGGTAAGAGCATTGGACTGCAACCTGACAGTCCAGGGTTCGAATCCTTGCTCATCCACATGCAGCGCACTGGGTGTTAACTTGGGCCAGTCATTGCTTCTTGGCTTAACCTACCTCACAGGGTTGCTGTGAGGATAAAAGGGGGAGTTGGAGGAACCACGTGTCCCCCCTTGAGTGCCTTTCTTCTAGGAAAAGTGATATATAAATTCAATAAAGAAATAACACACACACACCAGCCACAGAAGGCAGAATATTCAGTTGCACCAGATCCAGCGAATCTGGATGTTGGAAGAGTCAGGAAGATTCAGGGTCGATGTTGCTGGACTACAACTCCCATCATCCTTGACCATTGGCCATGCTGGCAGGGCCTGATGGGAGTTGGAGTCCAGCCACCTGCTTCTGTACTGACTGCCGGTTGGTCAGAGTGCTTGTGGAACATTCCATGAGGTCACATCAGCTCAGCCAATGGGAAGGAGAGAACAGAAGCTTCCAGCACCTGGAGTACAAGACAGGTTCCCTTAGTCCTTAGCTGGAAGGGTTTCCAGGCCAATGGGGTGATGTTTCTCTGCCTATCAAAGGAGCATCTATAGGTCTCCGAGCCACTGATTTTTACAGTGGTACCTTGGTTCTCAAACTTAATCCTTTCCGGAAGTCCATTCCAAAACCAAAGCATTCCAAAACCAAGGCCCGCTTTCCCAAAGAAAGTAATGCAAAATAGATTAATCCATTCCAGACTTTTAAAAACAACCCCCAAAATGGCAATTTAACATGAATTTTACTATCTAATGAGAATATTGATCCATAAAATGAAAGCAATAAACAATGTACTGCAGTCACACAATCAATCGATCGATCAGTAGCTGAACTGGGTTCCACACAGTCACAAAAACAAAAGAAAAAGAGCCACAAAAACGCAAAATAAATCGCAAAAACAGACAGACCTCAGCGTAACACTCAAAACGGAAGTGCGGCACTCAAAACGGAGCACATTCGACTTCCGGAAAAAGTTCGCAAACCGGAACACTTACAGTGGACGCTCGGGTTGCGAACATGATCTGTGCGTGATCTGGGCTATGTACCCATGATCTGAACATGCAAGTTCGCAACCCGCAGCGCCGCGTCTGCACACGCGCAGGTAACGATTTGGCGCTTCTGCGCATGCGCAAAGCGCAATTTAGTGCTTCTGTGCATGTGCGAGCACCGAAACCCAGAAGTAACCTGTTCCGGTACTTCCAGGTTTCAGCGCACCCATAACCCGAAAACGCGCAACCTGAAGCGGCTGTAACCCAAGGTATGACTGTACTTTCGGGTTTGCAGTGTTTGGGTTCCAAGGCGTTTGAGAACCAAGGCACCCCTGTACTTATTTTTACGTGGAGGGAGAACAGCAAATAAAGTTTCTGGAAGGAAGGAGCGTTGAAGGAAGTGGAAACTTTTAGAAGAGGAGGGGAAATAAAACGGGAATTAGGGGGAGAGGAAGGGGAAAACCCCATGGAATGATTTCTGCGTCCCCACGAAATCCTGATGTGGTAACTCCAGGAAACTCCAAACCTGGGAGCGGGGAGATGGGTGGGGTGGTTGCATCTGTTTGGGAATCTCTGTATCGCTTCGGGGCGAGGGGGGAAATACTAGGAATATTCCCGATTCCTGCCCGCCCTCGCCTCAATAAATTCCACAAAATGTCCTGCTTTGTTTCTGGATGTATTCAGAACATAATAATAATAGATTTTTATTTATACCCTGCCCTTCCCGGTTCAGAAAACCGGGCTCAGGGCAGCTAACAACAAATTTAAAACACTTAATTGATGCAACAAAAAAGCAGCATAAATACAGTATAAAACGTGAATAATAAATTCAGAATTCAAAAACCAATTTAGAGGGGGAAATCCATCCAATAAACATTAGATGGTACCAGGGCTAAATGAGTCCTATTTGGGCCAGCGAGGAGACCAGGGGAGAATTAGCTGTGGGATCCCAGAGCGGGTGGTCTTCATAAAAAGGGGAGGGGGAGGGAAGGAAGGGGAATAAAAGATCAGGCTGAATTCAAATTAAAGGCCAGGCGGAATAGCTCTGTCTTACAGGCCCGACGGAAGGAGGTTCAATCCTGCAGGGCCCTGGTCTCCTAGGACAGAGCATTCACCAGGTTGGAGCCACCACTGAGAAGGCCCTGGCCGTGGTTGAGGATAATCTAACTTCCTTAGGGCCTTAGGGAGGAGGTGGCTCTTACGGCACGGTTTGCTTTGGAAAAGAGGGGAAATACAATGCAGAGGGAGAGCAGACTCCCCCCAGGCTTTGGGAAAGGGTTTGGGGCTGTGTGCGGGGTGCTCAAGGCCATGTGCAGAGTGCTGCCCCCACCAGGAGAGGACAGCATAATCCGGGAGCAAAAGCAGAACACATTACAAGGAAAGTATGACACCCCTGGAAATTAACTAGATGGCTGAACTTTACCTTGGAGGCAAAGAAAATCCTCTTCTAAAAAGAATTTTTTTTTGGCAATTTGTAAGAGCAAAGTAGCAATGGGGGAGGAATTATTATTATTATTATTATTATTATTATTATTATTATTTGTGCCCTACTATGAGTGGCTTCCAGCAGATACAAAAACATTAGACATAAAAAACTGCTTTCAGATGTTTTCTATAGGAGCTTAACCCTTCCCCTGCCGAGTGGTTTTCTGCAGCAAACTTGTCCCAGCCCCATTCGTTTCTCCCTTCAGCAAGTGGCAAAGAGGGCTAAGGGATTTCTGATGGAGAAGTCTGACCGGAGAGGGTCCCCCGCCCAGTTGTGTCCCGTCCTGTCCAGCCCCTTTGCAACTCTACTCCCCAAGCTCCTTTCTCCCTTGCAAGCAGGAATGGCGCCATGCGAGTCAACCTAGCCGGGCATCAGTCATGGGCCCACATCTCCCGTCTCCCTGGACCTGTCCCTCCTCTCCAACATGGCGACCTGCTTGCTTCCTCACCCGCCTCTCGCTCTGGCCCAAACAGTGGTGGTGGGGGAGAGGAAGATGGAGTAGTAGATGCCATGTCTATTTCTTCAGCGGCTGCTTGCCTTCCAAGAAAATGGGTACATAGCCAAGAGGAGGAGCTGGTGATGGTGGCAGGAAGCAGGAACACTCACCTAGGGAAGGGGGCTTGCGGGTGGGGGTCTTGCTCAAGAGATTCCCAAACCTGGAACAGACAATGTCTCTGGGGCTCAAAAAAGAGCGTGAAGAGGAGCTCAGGGGAGGGTTGCGACGGAAAAGCGACAGGCGGGGAGAGGGTTAAGCAGGCTTCTCCCTGCTGCTTCTCTAGTCTAGATCACCCCAAGCTGCTTTTCCTCCTACAATTACAGTGGTATCTCGGGATTGGAAAGGGATCCGTTCCGGAGCCCTGTTCGCATCCAGAAGCAAATGTAAATAGAGACGGCACGTCTGCGCATGCACACGTTGCTTTTTGCTGCTTCTGCGCATGCACGTGACGTCATTTTGAGCGTCTGCGCATGCGCGAGCGGCAAAACCCGGAAGTAAGGCTCTCTGTTACTTCCGGGTTGCCACGGAGCGCAACTTGAACGTGCTCAACATTAAGCATATTCAACCCGAGGTAGGACTGTACAGTGGACCCTCCGGATATGAATTAAATTCCTTCCAGGGGTCCGTACTTAACCTGAAAAGTCCGTAACTGGAGGTGCCGCTTCTGCACACATGCGCGGCATGATAGAGCACTTCTGTGCATGCATGCGTGGTGAAACCCAGAAGTACAGTGGTACCTCTGGATGTGAACGGGATCCATTCCGGAGCCCCGTTCGCATCCTGAGTAGAACGTAACAAGTGACTGTGCTTCTGCGCATGCGCCGTTTCGCCGCTTCCACGCATGCTTGACATTATTTTGAACATCTGCACATGCGCGAGCGGCAAAACCCGGAAGTAACCCGTTCCGTTATTTCTGGGTCGCTGTGGAGCGTAACCTGAAAACGCTCAACCTGAAGCATATTTAACCCAAGGTATGACTGTAAATAGCTACCGCTCCAGTGGGAAGGTAAACGGCGTTTCCGTGCACTGCTCTGGTTCGCCAGAAGCGGCTTAGTCCTGCTGGCCACATGACCCAGAAGCTGTACACCGGCTCCCTCGGCCTATAAAGCGAGATGAGTGCCACAACCCCAGAGTCGGTCACGACTGGACCTAACAGTCAGGGGTCCCTTTACCTTTACCTATGACTGTATACACTTCCGGGTTTGCTGCGTTCGCAACCTGAAAGTTGTGTATCCAGAGGGGTATGTAACTCGAGGGTCCACTGTATCAACTGTCCTGGCGGAATGCTCTGTCCCATGAGACCATGTTTCTGCCTTCCCCTCCTCTTTTATGAAGATCTGAGACCCCACAGTTAATTCTCCCCTGACCTCCTCACTGGCCCAAGTAGGACCAATTCAGCCAGCTAGCCCTGGGGATTATGTAATTGATATTTTTGATTTTTGAATTGTTATTGTTATTCATGTTTTTATACTGTATTTTATGCTGCTTTTATAATTAAGTGTTTCAAATTTGTTGTTAGCCGCCCTGAGCCCGGTTTTTGAACCAAGAAGGGCGGGGTATAAATTAAAAAATATATATTTTTATTATTATTATTCCCCTCTGCCGACTCTCCCAAATTTAGCGCAGGTTTACGGGTGCCTATCCCTCCCATCCCTCCTCGCTTCCAAATGTATAAATGGAAACTGCTGCTCCACTCCAGAACCGGCCACAGGTCCGTGCCAGGCGATCGATTCCCGTTTGCCCCACCTGCCCCACTTCGGGGCCTGAGTCAGTGGCGTCTGTTGCCACGCTTGAGAGCTGGGTGTTTGGAGTGCTGCACTGTGAAACCCTTCTGGGGAGGGGAGAGAGAGATTTGGAGAGGCGGTAGGGAGAGTGTGGTTGTTGTTTTTCTGTGCGTGATTTTAATAAGAATAATAATGATAATTGATTTATACCCCGCCCTCCCCAGCCGAAGCTGGGCTCAGAGCGGCTAACAACAGTAAAAATAACACAATTTACACAAAATCACAATCAATTAATTGAATTGCATTCTAAAATCAATTCATTCTAAAATCAATTCAGAGTCAGATTAATGGCAACCATTGGGCTAGAGTTCTGTGAGGATTGCCAAAGGATGGGGTCAGACTGTGCCTTGGCCAAAGGCCTGGTGGAACAGCTCCATCTTGCAGGCCCTGCGGAAAGATGTCAAGTCCTGCAGGGCCCTAGTCTCTTGGGACAGAGCGTTCCGCCAGATTGGGGCCACGGCCGAAAAAGCCCTGGCTCTGGTTGAGGCCACCCTAACCTCTCTGTGGCCTGGGACCTTCAGGATGTTTTTGTTTGAAGACCGTAAGGTCCTCCGCGGGGCATACCAGGAGAGGCGGTCCCAAAGGTCTGAGGGTCCTAGGCTGTATAGGGCTTTAAAGGTCAAAACCAGCACCTTGAACCTGATTCTGTACTCCACCGGGAGCCAGTGCAGCTGGTATAGCACTGGGTGAATGTGATCCCGTGGCGAGGACCCCGTAAGGAGTCTTGCCGCAGCATTCTGCACCCACTGGAGTTTCTGGGTCAGCTTCAAGGGCAGCCCCACATAGAGCGAGTTGCAATAATTGAGTCGGGAGGTGACTGTTTCACATAGCTGTCAACCTTCCCTTTTTTTGCAGGAAATTCCCTTATTCCAGCGCTGCTTCCAGCTGCTATCCCAGATTGTTAGATATCCCGTAGACTGTCCCTGGGACAGGTGAGGCTGCTGATCCCTTCTTTTCAAATCTGAAAGTTGACCGCTATGCTGTTGCACGGATCACAGGGGCTAGGTCCCTTATCCTTGCCACCTCTTTTTGCAGCCGTTTCTCGACAGCCTCCCCCTTCTCCCTCTCCCCTTCCTGGCCTGTGCAGGGCTGCAAGCGGGGTGGAGAAGGCGAGAGGCACTCCCCAGCTGGCGTTGGCTCGGCTCGGCTTGCTGGAGAAGCTTCCACCCGCTGGGGCCTGGCTGCTTGCCAAGGCTTGGTAGCTGAGTTATGTAACGGCCGGGTTCGCGTGAGGACAGCTCTCTCATCTGCCTGCAGGCTCCCCTAGCGACCGGCTCACTTCCTTATTTAAACCTCATCCGTGGAAAGAGAGGGAGAGGGATTTGGCGGAGGGGAAGGAACGGGGACTCGCTTTTCGCTCTCGGATCCGTGCGGTTCCTCTTTTCCCCTCCCTCCCCTCCTCTCTTTCTGCTTTGATTTTCCTTCCTCCGTTTCTTTCTATTAAATGATTTCAATATACGACAACAACACTATGCGGATCAATGCTTAAACCCAGAAGTTGGGTGTTTAGGCAGTGCGCATATTCTTCCCGTCTCCTCCTGCTTTGATTTTCCTTCCTCCATTTCTTTCTATTAAATTATTTCAACATGCAACAACACCGTGCAGATCACTCCTCAAACCCAGACGTTGGGTGTTTAGGCAGTGCTTGCAAAATGACCATCTTCGCCCTCAGATCTGTAGAGTTCCTTTTTTCCTCCTCCTCCTCTTCTTCCCGTCTCCTTCTGGTTTGATTTTCCTCCCCACCCTCCCTCTCTATAAAATTATTTCAACGTATCGCAACAGCATACGTTTAAATAATGGAATATCCCACCCCAGCCGGGACGTTTAGGCAATACGTGCAAAATAACACAGCAAGTTCTTGTCGCAGGCTGCTCTTTGTAGAGAAGGCAAATCTTTAGCCGTTTTATAACATGAGAGGTTGTCCTTTATTTTCATTTTTCTTTTTTAATCATGTGCTTTATAAAGCTCTGCCGTTCGGTTGCAAAAGAGTCTTCGTGCTTCGGCCTTGTGCCAATCCTTTTTTTATATATTTAAATGTTTCCACAAGGGCTGTGTTTGCTATACTTCGTGGTACCAGTTTGTCAGAGAAGGACCTTCGAAGTTCTGGCAGCGTTTTAGTTATTATGAAAGCTGGCTGCTAGGAGAAGAGAACTCCTCTCCACCCAAAAACTGATGGATTTTGCAGTTTCTTCAAAGAAATCGAAGTTCAGGGGCAAAGGAAGCAAACAGAAACGAAAGGCAAACAAACCTTTGCTGTCTTTCTTATGAAAAATAAAAAGTTCAGATGGGGAGAAACAGAATGCTAGAACATGCCAGATGTGTTTAATTTATTTATCTTACGAGATGTGGCGATAAAACCTCAAAGCGGTTGATGGAAAGAATAACATGGTTAAATTACAGTCATACCTTGGAAGCCGAACGCCTTGGGAATCGAACGTTTCGGCTCCCGAACGCCGCCAATCGGTTGCAGCCAATCGGAAGCCGCGCTTTGGTTTCCGAACGTTTTGGAAGTCAAACGGACCTCCGGAACGAATTCCGCTCGGCTTCCGAGGTACGACTGTATTGGCAAAAGAAACCCCAGTTCAAAGCAGCCGGCGGTGGTGTAGTGTTCAGAGAACCCTGGGAAAGACGCGGGTTCAAATCCCGCTGGGTGTGCGACTTTGAACTCGCAGGGTTATCGTGAGGATAAAAGGGGGAGGAGGATAAGTCCGTACACTGCCTGGAACTCCTCGGAGAATTTTTTTTGGGGGGCGGATCCTGTTTCATTTCCAGTGGTTTCCCGGCCTGTAACCTGCTGAAATCCTGTATCTTTTTATATCACAAATCTTCCAGTTTAAATCTCTTGCGCTAGAGTGAAAGAGTGCCCCTTTTGGACAGCAAAAATGTGTTGCTGTTGGGAAAACACCTCAGAACAACTAAGAAATTAGAAAGATGTGTGGACAGTCCATTATCTGTGTACAGTCGTACCTTGGAAGTCGAATGGAGTCCGTTCCGGAAGTCCGTTTGACTTCCAAAACATTTGGAAACCAAGCTGGACATTTGGCTTCTGAAAATAGTTTGCAAACCGGAACAGTTCAGGAGCCAAAACGTTCGGGAACTAAGCTGTTCGAAAACCAAAGTACAGTGGTACCTCGGGTTAAGTACTTAATTGATTCTGGAGGTCCGTTCTAAACCTGAAACTGTTCTTAACCTGAAGCACCGCTTTAGCTAATGGGGCCTCCTGCTGCCACTGCGCCGCCAGAGCATGATTTCTGTTCTCATCCTGAAGCAAAGTTCTTAACCTGAAGCACTATTTCTGGATTAGCAGAGTCTGTAACCTGAAGTGTATGTAACCCGAGGTACCACTGTACAGCTGTACCACTAATGCGCTGAGATTGTGGCAATGAGATCTTACAGAATACACTGGCAGAAGACCAACACCAGTTTGCAGTGACCCTAAGGTTTGAAAAGCGAGTTTCCCGTTCTCATGGTTATGACCAGAGGACTGGCTCGCTATCCATTCTACACTTGTGACTCGTATTATGGTTATTGACCGTAATTAAGGGATTGATTGATTTTTTGACTAGAGGAGAGGAAGGGGTGTCTTTAAACAGTCTGGGTTTTTGTGCGACTGTGCTGTTGTTTTTCAGATCTTTTTAAACCGCTGCCCCACAGGCAGAAAATTGGGATAAATAAATACAAAGGAAAAGGTCCAAAGGATGCAGGAATTGCATTCCCACCCCTGTCAGTCCTGCGTCTCTCTCCCCCCCCAGCCAGCCGCCGCTGCAAAACGCCCCTGAGACTTCGGTGGGTCCTGTCCTTGCAAAGCGGTCACAAGGACTAGAACCACGGAGGCCTCTGCTTCTTTTCTGAAAATGAAACCTGGCTAAGTTTCTCAGGAAGGCTAGTTCTGTGCCAGATCGCGGGTGCATGATGTCCTGCTCCCCCAGTTTTTTATTAAAATTTTTATATTATTATTTGTATGGGCCTACGGCCGTAATAAATTATTATTATTATTATTATTATTATATTATTATTATTATTATTAAGGCCGCAGAGAGGTTAGGGTGGCCTCAACCAGAGCCAGGGCTTTTCGGCTGTGGCTCCGATCTGGTGGAAGGCTCTGTCCCAAGAGACCAGGGCCCTGCGGGACTTGACATCTTTCCGCAGGGCCTGCAAGACAGAGCTGTTCCACCAGGCCTTTGGTCAGGGCACAGCCTGACTCCCTCCATTGGTAATCCTCACAGAACTCTAGCCCAATGGTTGCCATCAATTTGATTTGAATTAATTTTATAATGGAATGATTTTAGAATGTTGTATTATTTTATTGTTGTTAGCCACCCTGAGCCTGGCTTCGGCTGGGGAGGGCGGGATATAAATAAAAATATATTATTATTATTATTATTATTCTGTTTGCGGAATAGCTCTGCACCCTTAAGGACTAGCGACTTGCTCAAAAAAATAAAATAAAGTGGGAGAGCTGAGTTTCTCGGAGGCTGAGTGGGGTGGGAGAGTGGTGCTCCTGTTTTGCAATGTGCAGAGTGCATCCTGGCCCAATTATAAATAGACCCAGAGATAAAGGAGTGAAGATGAAGAACAGAAAGGGTAAAGCGGCTTAGACGTGGCTTAGCTACCGCAGAGGATCTTCCAATTAGCTCATCAACGGTACGGGGATTTCACTGCCACACGTACGCAGCGCGGCTTTGAAAGAAAGGGCGGCCGAAGTGATCGAGGGGTTGCAGCCAGCCCCCTATAGGGAATAGCGACAACCTTCGGGGCAGCTTAGTCGTGGGGCACCTTTGTCCCCACCCCCAGTTGCTGCAGGACTCCCAAGTCCCATTGTCCTTGTTGACAGTGGTGATCTGCAGGCCTGATGGGAGTTGGAGTCCGGCAGCCTCTGGCAGTCCACAGGTGTTCGCCACTGATGGAGTTAAGAAAAGGTGAGTAACGTGGAAGAGGTGTACAAAACCGTGGAAAGCGATTGCAAGAATTGCAAGGACAGACTTTTTCAGAGCGGGGCATAACAGATACTGTATTTTTTGCTCCATGAGACACACTTTTTCCTGCCTAAAAAGTAAGGGGAAATGTGTGTGCATCTTATGGAGCGAATGCAGGCAGGAGGCAGGCGGGAAAAGCCTGCAAGAGCCGCACACACGCTCCACGCGGCTCGTGAAAGGGAGCGCTGAGCAGAGCCTGGGATGCATATAGGCTCTGCTCAGCACTCCCTTTAAAAATATTTTTTTTCTTGAATTCCCCCTCTAAAAACTAGGTGCGTCTTATGGAGCAAAAAATACGGTAATCTGCGGAACTCCCTGCTGCTGCCTGGATGGCTTTGAAAGAGGATTATTTGTTAGATTTCTGTACCGCCCTTCGTCAGAAGCAGAGAGTGGCTACTAGCCACAATGGCTATGTTTTCCTCCACGGTCGGAGGCAGTGCAACTCAAAAGAGTACCAGTTGTTGGGAGTCGCAATAAGGAGCGTTGCTGCTCCCCTCGGGTTCTGCTTGCGAGCTTCCCTTGAGCTCTTCTAAAGTTCTCTTGAACCTCCAGGTTCAAGGGCAGTCTATCTAGATTCCGAGAGCCAGGTGGCTGGACTACACGGACTTTTACAATTTGAATTCCAGTTTTCCCTGTGAACTATAATAAACGGCTTCGCCCCAGTATACCTGAAGGAGCGTCTCCACCCCCATCGTGCCCATCTTGTACATTATAGTTTATTGCATTGCAGTACGGAGTCTGCGGATGACCTGGGGCCGGTCTTGCTCTCTCAACCTGGCCTGCCTCACAGGGTGGTTGTTAGGATGCGGCGGAAAAGGGGGCGAATTCTGTACACCACCCTGAGCTCCTTGGAGGAAAAGCCGGGGTGCAAACGTTGTGGAAGTAGCAAAAATAATTAATAATCCATACCCTTCCAGCTCTGCGATTCTGTGATTCTGTGAATAGTAAATCTTAAAACTGGAATTCAAATTGTAATGCAATATAATAAATAATAAATAAAAGGAGCAATAAGGAATGCAATTGAAAAATCACACCACGTATAGCACAGAGAATTAAAATTCCTGCACCTGGCAGGAAAATTATTTAACTGATCCAGCAAAACTCTCAACAATTTTCAATTGGTCTGTGCCGGGGGGTGGGGGAGCGTTTGAGAACCGTTGCTCCAATGCGAAGGACAAAGCGTGTTGCAGCGAAACTCCAGGGTTTTATCAAAAAGCAATTGATCGGTTTGATTCTCTCGATCGAAGAAGTTACTTTAACTCTCCTCACCACCAGGTTGTTTGGGCGCTCCCTCTTGTGGCCAAAGTGCAAAACTGCAACACTTTTTGAGAATGTTTACTGTCAAATAGAAATCCAGATGTTTGCTGGGAATTCATCCTGATTTGCTTGAGGGGTGTCAGACAGCTTCCCATTAGGGATGGGAGGAAAAATTGATTCAGTTTGCATTTAACATCGAATTTATGAAATTTGCAAATTTCAGAAACGGTATAACCTCAAAGCAGACATCCGCTGAAATTCGTGCTAATCTGAATTTTGCAGTGGAGTTCTTCGGTCAGAGTTTGCAAAAATGCACGCATGGGGGGTGAAAGGAATATAACTGTGAGGATAACATTTTAAAAATGCCTTGTATTAGTGGGAAGTTCATAAAACGAATACGTCTGTGGAAATAATAGGGGGGAATGCATTGTATTAGGAGAAATTGCTTGCAAAAATGTGTCCGTTTGTCAAGACAGTGTGTAAAAATCTGTGCATTGGGGGGAGATTCGCACTAAAATGCTGAAGAATTTTCATTAGGATTTTTTAAGAAAAAGAAGTCACAAACTGATTTGGGAATGTGGAGAAGGGAATTTAAAAAACTGCAACAACTGAAACAGACAAATCCTACCATCCCAACTTTCTGTTAATCAGTTTCCCACCTCACACTTTTCGGGGCTATGCCCTAAAAGGGATTTGTTGTGCTAAGACAACAAAGCACTTGAACCCAATCTGAATTATACCATCCTAACTTTCCCATCTGCCCTTAGATCAGTGGAGGCTGCTCCCATCTTGCAAACTAGTGGTTATATGGAGCCTAAGGTAAAGGTAAAGGGACCCCTGACCATTAGGTCCAGTCGTGGCCGATTCTGGGGTTGCGGCACTCATCTCGCTTTATTGGCCGAGGGAGCCGGCGTACAGCTTCCGGGTCATGTGGCCAGCATGACTAAGCCGCTTCTGGCGAACCAGAGCAGCTCACGGAAATGCCATTTACCTTCCCACCGGAGCGGTACCTATTTATCTACTTGCACTTTGACGTGCTTTCGAACTGCTAGGTGGGCAGGAGCAGGGACCGAGCAACGGGCGCTCACCCCGTCGCGGGGATTCGAACCGCCGACCTTCTGATCGGCAAGTCCTAGGCAAGTCCCACACCCGCGTCCCTAATATGGAGCCTAAAAAACTGGTATTTTCTGCTCCCTGAAAAAGCAATTTTGATACATCAAAATACCAAACTCTTGACTTCCCTCTTCCACAGACCTCTGCCCTTTTCTGTCCTTACCTCTTGGTTTCTCGGCCACTTTGCCTCTTTGCTGCTACCCCCTAGCTCTGCTTCCTCCTTAATATCTGGGCACTGGACTTCACCTGACCATGCCCCTCTCTCCCTCCTTTCCACCACCCCGTCTTGTTTCCCTTTGGCAAAGGTCTTTCCAGCCAAACTTTCCCAGTCGCTCTGAGCAGGTGGAGTGTTTGCTTTAATTCCGTAGCCAACCTTTTCATGGCTTGCCGAACATTCCGTGACATCACAGCAGCTTGACCAATAGCAGGCCAGGGCTGCGGGTGAAGATATTTCACCAGGCAAGCAGGCAGGCAGCTTACACTGCTTTGGACCATTGGTTTGTGTTTGGTCTCATTTACTTATTTCTTGAAAACGAATGAACCCATCTTAACTCGCCCTCTTCTTGATTCGCAGGGTCAGCAGCAATGAAGAAGACGCACACGTGTGAGTAGGATTTCATTATTTGTTGGGTTTGGTAGGAGAACGGTAGCTTTTTTGAAAAAGGAAAGTCCATGAAATTACCAGATTTTTCCTGCCCCTCAGCTCACCCCGATCTCTGAGCAAGTGCAAAGTACCCACTACTCAACATCAGGTTAACTACAGCGGAGAACGTAAGCACTTAGAAATGTGCCCTGTATCTTCCTGCCAGCTGCTAAGCACTTTGCAACAACTGGTGGGCTCCTTTGCGAGTTAATGATCGGCAGCTGCAAATGCAACGCTCAAATGCTTTAAAAAGAACAGCGTCCTGGGATAATAATAAGAATTATTGTTTCCCCAGCCACTCTGGGCAGCTTCCAACAAAACACTAAAATATAAAAACCTATTAAACATTAAAAGCTTCCCTAAACAGGGCTGCCTTCAGATGTCTTCTAAAAGTTTGGTAGCTATTTTTTCCCTTTGACATCTGGTGGGAGGGCTTTCCACAGGGCGGGCGCCACCACCAAGAAGGCCCTCTGCCTGCTTCCCTGTAACTTGGCTTCTCACAGCGAGGGAACCACCAGAAGGCCCTTGGAGCTGGAACTCAGTGTCTGGGCAGAACGAAGGGGGTGGAGACGCTCCTTCAGGTATGCTGGACCGAGGCCGTTTAGGGCTTTAAAGGTCAGCACCTTTAAAGGATCTCGCAAGCAGGTCTTGAAATCCATTAGTGACACAGAGAGATGTCTCACACCAAGCCAAGGCCATTGTCCCATCTAGATCAGGACTCCCTACACTGACAGGCAGAGGCTTTCCAGTATTTCAGACCCGGATGTCCCCTGCCTGGAAGTGCCAGGGACCGGCCTTCAGTAACTGGCCTTTGCAGGTAAAGTGTCACTGCACATGGAGGCTCCATTCAGCTGTCGTGGCTTGGCGACCATCTATGGCCCATTCCTCTGTGTATTTGTCAAATAGGTTAGGGTGCAGCCTTCCCAAACCTATGGTCCTCCAGCTATTGCTGAACTACAGCTCCCAATATCCTTGAGAGTTGGCCAGAATGTCTGGGGCTGATGGGAGCTGGAGTCCACAAACATCATAGAACTACAACGCCCATCATCCCTGCCTGTTGGCCACGCCGACTGAAGCTGATGGGAGATGTAGTTCAATGGCGTTCTTTGACTCCAACTCCCATCGGCCGCTGCAAACATGGCCAGCGAGGATGGTCGGACCACCAATGTTCTTGGACTCCAGTTCCCATCAGCCCTAGCCAACATGGCCAGGAGTACTAACTTGGCCCCACGACTGTGGGTTCCCAGGGCCGTGGGTACTGCGAACCTGGCACCGAGTTGAGTTGATAAAACTTTATTTGCATTAGCCAATGGCCATAGCAACAGTAAAACATTACAGTATACGCAGAAAACGAAATTTGATAAAAGAGCACAATTTAAAGTCCTGAATCAGCCATCAGTTAGTGGCCCTTATTCTGATCGCTATGAACCTCGCAACCTTTGCTGTTATCTGCTCATTTTGATCTGATAGAAGAAAGGACATTGTGGCAGTGGTTGAGCGCCCTGGGATGGTTAGTACGAGTGGGGTGATGATCTCGTTCCTCAGGTCTTTGTAGAGAGTGCAAGACAGGAGGACGTGTGCCGCTGTTTCGGTGCTACCATCTCCACAGGGGCAAAGACGTTTCTCAGGTGGGATCTTTTGGAATCGACCCTCAAGTACTGCAGACGGCAAAACATCCAGTCTTGCAAGTGTAAAAGCGCGTCTGTATTTTGGGATAATACATTTGTGCAGATATGAGGCCAGAGAATCAAAATGGAGAGGTGGAAACTGAACATACCAAGGGCAGAATTTCCTTATAGTGGCCTGGTTGTTCTGATGCTCGATATCTTTTAGACATTGACCAGTTAGACTGTTTGCTTTAGTGGGGCCCATAGTGAGTAGATGCTGTGGGGACAGGCCACAAGAGTGAAGTTTTTGATAGACTGTTTTAAGCCAGGCACTTTTATGGGAGTCTTGAAGTACTAGGGATAGTAAACAAGGGGGATTTGAGTTTAGGCAGGGCCAGAAGTTAAGAGTTCTTTGCCAAGTCCGTACTTCTACTGAAGGGAGACTTGCCTCCAGTTTCAATGATGCATTTGGGATGCATGGCGGTACAGAAAAAATAAAAGTTAGGAACTTTGATTGAACAGCTTCCAAAGTGCTAAGGTGGTTACCAGTCCAAATCTGAGCCCCGTATAGTAGCTGTGCTAGGGGTTTAGCTTGGAAGACTTCTAGGGCTGATGGTATATGTTTGCCACCCTTTTTCATGGAAAAAGCGAGTCAAAGTCTTGGCACTTTGGGATGCTTTTTCTTTTGCCCATTTTTGGTGTGCTGCCCATGACCCCGTGGACTGGAAGATAAGGCCCAAATATTTGAAAGCTTTGACCTGTTCGATTGGCTGATTGTTCATGTGCCAACTGTGGGGCTTCTATTTTCTTGAGAAAACCATAACTTTGGTTTTCTGATAGTTTACGGCCAGGTGTTCTCCCTGGCGATACACTGAGAATTCTCTTATCAATCTTTTTAGGCCTCTTTTTGTTTAGGATAAGAGGACCGCATCATACAGAGATTGATTTTGAGGCCAGTTTAGGGGCATGGATATTTGTGGGTGCCTGGACCCTTCATGGGGAATTTGTGGATGCTCAGTGTCAGGTGCTGTTGCGGTTACTCGAGAGTAACCAGGCAGGACTCCGACCTGTCTTTTACAAGCTTTATTTTGGTGCAAACTATTTACAGTAAAGAGCCCCAAAGCTCATGTCTGGCTCAATCGCTAGCAGAATCCAGGAGTGGTCTTTTTTTGGACCTCCCCCAACATAAGAGTTTTGTTACCCCCAGCTGTCTCCTCCCCTCTCTGTGCCCCAAACTACTGCGCAGGATGGGCGATGGCAAGGGCGTGTTTCCCTCCTGTCCGCCTTGCCCAGGAGCGGAGTTAAGGCTCCCAGCAGCATCCTCTGGTCCTTGCCTCTGTTCCCCACTGGAGGTAGGGCTTTCCTCCTCCCCGGAAGAGGAACTGCTTCGCAAGATTTTCGGAGGCTCCCTGTAACACACCTGCCCTTCTATTTCTCGCCTCTGAGCCGATGGCAGTTCCCTGACACACGGGCACCCAGGGTGCCAAGGAGTTGGCACCTATGAACATGGCCAAAGGTCAAGGATGATGGGAATTTGAGTCCATTGGCTCGTCTAGCTTGGAACTGTCTATTCAGACCACTAGTCCTGCTGGTTGCCAGGAGCCAGAGTCCAGCCACCTCCAACAAGGTCGTGCCAGTGGGCCCTTGTCGTACCTCATTCTATTGCGGTGCCTTGTGCTCAGTTGCTTTTCTCTTGACGCCCCAGGACCTACTTTCTTTCCACCTCCGGTGCCTCTGTGGGTTGGGGCTGGTAGGGGAGAGAAATGGGGACATTGGCGTATTTCCCCCTCTTATTTGGTGCCTGGAACAAGATCTGTGTGGTGGGCCCCTTCCTGTCGCTGTGGGACGCAGATCAGCACCACGGTTCTCTGCACGACGGGATGCGGTTGGGCTCGCCCAAGCTCTGAGCGGGGCTCCATCTCGGGAAACAGAGGGCGTCCCTTCCTGACGTCGTGCTTTGTGGTGGGAGGGGGGTGTTTGACCTCGATAAACAGGGAGGGCGAGGTGGGTCGGCCACGTCAGATGTGTCAAAACAAGGGTTCAGGCCTTGAGTTTGGAGGCCCACCTTGTCTAGCCTCTTGTTCTCACCATGGCCAAATGTAGCCATGGCTGCCATGTTGGGTGGATGGACAAACTTGTGGAGGAGAGGGCTTTGTTGTCGTTTAGTCATGTCCGACTCTTCGTGACCCCCTGGACCAGAGCATGCCAGGCCCTCCTGTCTTCCACTGCCTCCCGCAGTTGGGTGAAACTCATGCTGGTCGCTTTGAGAACACTGTCCCACCACCATCTCGTCCTCTGTCATCCCCTTCTCCTTGCACCCTCCATCTTTCCCAATATCAGGGTCTTTTCCAGGGAGTCTTCTCTTCTCATGAGGTGGCCAAAGTCTTGGAGCCTCAGCTTCAGGATCTGTCCTTCCAGTGAGCACTCAGGGCTGATTTCCTTCAGAATGGAGAGGTTGGATCTTCTTGCAGTCCATGGGACTCTCCAGAGTCTCCTCCAGCACCAGAATTCAAAAGCATCCATTCTTCGGCGATCAGCCTTCTTTATGGTCCAGCTCTCACTTCCATACATCACTACTGGGAAAACCATAGCTTGAACTATACGGACCTTAGTCGGCAAGGTGATGTCTCTGCTTTTTCAGATGCTGTCTAGGTTTGTCATCGCTTTTCTCCCAAGAAGGAGGCGTCTTTTAATTTCGTGGCTGCTGTCACCATCTGCAGTGATCATGGAGCCCAAGAAAGTAAAATCTCTCACTGCCTCCATTTCTTCCCCTTCTATTTGCCAGGAGGTGATGGGCCCAGTGGCCATGATCCTCGTTTTTTTGATGTTGAGCTTCAGACCACATTTTGCGCTCTCCTCTTTCACCCTCACCGATGGCTATTAGCCACAATTTCTATGTTCTGCCCTCACAGGTGGAGGCAGTCATGCTTATGGAAACCGCATGAGGGGAGAGGACCTCTTGTACTCAAATCCCAGTGCGGGTTTTGCATAATGGGCATCTGGTCGGCCACTGTGAGCACAGGACGCTGGACTAGATGGGCCACCGCTTGATCCAGCAGAGCTCTTCACATGTTCAGGTGCCCCAAAGAACCAAGGAATGGAGATAGACTTCCTCTGGACCTGGAGGTTCCATAAGAACCTCAGAAGATCCTGCAGGCCAGAGGGGACCCATCTAGTCCAGCATCCCTGAATCTCGCAACTTCCATTGCGTGTTCTTTCACCTTTTTTTTTTAATAGTAAATTTTATTAGTATTTTCCACACAACAACAACACTAAAAATATCGAAAAATAACAATACACAAAACACAAAAACCAGCGCACAAAAAACCCTAATCCATACCTTACAAGTTAATAATATAAACACTAAAAGGAAAAACAAACATTGACTTCCACCAATCCCACAGCACCTCCTTTATCTCTCATTGTGTCTTCCTGTTTTCCTGATCATCTCTATCCTAGCATCTAGATATAAATCCCTCTTTCTTATCCTTTCACTTCACAAGGTTATTCCAGACTTGGCCAGATTTCTGTCCTCGAACCTTGGCTTTTAAGGTATTCATTTAGACACCCCCATTCCTTTTTCACTTCACTTTTTAGTTTTTGTCTTGTTATATCTGTCAATTTGGCTAATTCTAAATATTCTGAAAGCTTACACAACCATTCTCCCCTAGTGGGTAACTGATTCCTTTCCAATACTTAGCCACCAGGATTCTTGCTGCAGACGTCGTGTCTAAGAAAAATTTAGTTTTGTCTTTTTGAATATCATCATTTAAAATTCCTAAAAGGAATGCCTATGGGCTTTTACTATATGATATTCTTAGTATTTTCTTTATTTCCTCGTGATCATGCTCCAAAATTTCCCAATTTCGGGGCATGTCCACCACATATGGTAGAAGGTTCCTTTTTGTTTCTTACATCTCCAGCACTTATTATTATATGTTTTATTCATTTTTACCGGCCTTTCTGGCACCGGGTACCACCTGTGATCCATTGCGTGTTCATGAGTGTCATGAGGGAGGGAGAAAAACTGGCACCACCAGTAACATTTTCCTTTCTGATCTGAGTTCTGGACAGGTGCACAATTGGGGTGCTATTTGTGGGGAGAAATCTCCCTAAATGGGCAGCCACACACTTCCTTTCTCCTTCTTCTCCTTCTCCTTCTTTGCTTCCATATTTGGAGTCCTTTCTGGACACTCCAGAAAAGGCTGTACGCTGCGCATCCGGAATGCTTGGTTTTAGCCACATCAACTGTGCGCACGCTGTCAGTGGTGTCCAAAGGGGTCCCAGGTCTGAAGACCTCTTGCTCAAAACTGCAGGAGCGAGGAGAGTTCTGCCATTGCGCTCGAGTCCTGCTTGCAAGCTTCTCTTTGGGGGCCACCGTGTTAAGTCACTGTGGGAATGAGGTGCTGGAGCAATGCATCTCTGGCCTGATCCAGCCTTTGGAACCAGGCATTTTGGGCCATATCACGCCGATTCTGCTCCGATTTTTGCCAGTTGCTTACTTGTTTCCAGGCCCAAATCTGGGCACTGATTTTTAACCCTTAAACATCCTGAGGCAGAGTGTGGTACCTTTGGCCATTCCAGGGACGACGTTGCCATCACGGCCAACCCTTGACGTGACTTTCCCCTTGAAACAGAAAGCCACATTCCAGCCTCAGAGTTTTCTGTGCTCGCCATCTCCCGCCTCAGACCCTCTCATCCATCCACGTTTCCCCCCCCCAACGGAAACTTTTCTTGTGGCTTTTTATCTTCTCTCTGCCTTTCTCTTTGGCCTTTTGTGGGTTTGGAACTTTCCAACTCACTGCTGTCTCTTGCTCTCTTATCCCCCCCCCAAAAAAAATTACAACTGGAGTTTCTGATTGGCCGTTGGGAGCGCCAGTCTGTGGGGTGCTGCGTCACCTGTCAGTCTGCTGATGATGCTGCCTTTTTTAAAAAAGGAAATCTGACTCCACACACACACACACACACACACTCCCCAAAAGCGCTTCTCGCTCGTTGCAGCTGATGCCCAGAGACGAACAGGTGTTGCAGAACCAAACCGCTGCCAGTCCCCTTCCCCACAAGCCGTCTTCACCATGCGAGGTATGTGGGGAGAGGTTGGGGGAGGCGAAGCGACTGCTTGGGGCCACCTGTTGGCTTACAGCCGGCGCCCGAGCAATGGGGTGTTTGATGAGACCCCCAGAAACCCATAACTGAGCGGAGGCAAGGCTGCAAGATGCCACCTGTGGCTTTAAAGCCAGCTCCAGAGCCCAGAACAATCGGGCTGTGTGTGTGTGTGTGTGTGTGTGTGTATTTGCACTGAATTTTTCAAACGTTTTCACGGTAACCTTCAAATCAAATGCATTGTTTCCTAAGTTGACTTTCTCACCTTCACCTCCACAGTGTTTTTCCTCACACCTTTTCTACTGCATTATATCTTTGTCTAGCACAAAAAATGTTTCTCTATTGAAGTTGTTATTTTATCATTTTTCCTCCCTGCTTTTATCTCAAATACTGCCAACGATTTGACTGTCTCTCTCTCTCTCTCTCTCTCTCTCTCTCTATATATATAGTGGTACCTCGGGTTACATACGCTTCAGGTTACAGACTCCGCTAACCCAGAAATAGTACCTCGGGTTAAGAACTTTGCTTCAGGATGAGAACAGAAATCGTGCAGTGGCGGCAAGAGGCCCCATTAGCTAAAGTGGTGCTTCAGGTTAAGAACTGTTAGAGGTTAAGAACGGACCTCCAGAACGAATTAAGTACTTAACTTGAGGTACCACTGTATATATATATATGTGTATATTTATATATAGAGTCATTTAGTTGTGTCCGACTCTTCCTGACCCCCTGGACCAGAGCACGCCAGGCCCTCCTGTCTTCCACTGCCTCCCGCAGTTTGGTCAAACTCACGCTGGCAGCTTCGAGAACACTGTCCCACCATCTCGTCCTCTGTCGTCCCCTTCTCCTTGTGCCCTCCATCTTTCCCAGCATTAGGGTCTTTTCCAGGGAGTCTTCTCTTCTCATGAGGTGGCCAAAGTCTTGGAGCCTCAGCTTCAGGATCTGTCCTTCCAGTGAGCACTCAGGGCTGATTTCCTTCAGAATGGATAGGTTGGATCTTCTTGTAATCCATGGGACTCTCAAGAGTCTCCTCCAGCACCATAATTCAAAAGCATCAATTCTTCAGCCTTATATAGTCCATGAAAGTCCTCTATGAAGAATTGGTCATTTTGATCTCTAAATTTCGCTGTTTCTGCATAGTCCATTGCTTTCAAAAACCACTCTTCCTTGGTTGGAACTGCCTCTTCTTCCCATTTCTGTGCATATAATATTCTAGCTGCCGTTGTCACAGACATAAATAGTTTGGTCACCCTCTTTGAGACAGCTATCCCTATTATACATGTAAGGAAAAGGTCTGGTCTTTTGGAAATACCCATTTAAACAGGTTCTTCATTATATTATATTTTTCCCCAAACTTTTTGGTTATGTACATATCCACCACATGGAACAATCATGTTTTATTATGGGACCCCCAAAGGCCCAATCCCGGAGCAGGGCCAAAGTTGTGGCTTTCCTAATTTAAGGGCTGTGTTGCTCAAGGAACCCCCTTCAAAACAATAATAATGCTAATATTGCTGGTGAGCTGATAACGGTGTGCAATGCTGAATTTCTTGCCTACGTTCCTGGAGGCTGTAGAGTAGGGATTTGGCGAGAAATTTGAATTGTATTTATAGCTTATATATAAACCGTGTTTTACATTTGTCTGATCCTGTTTGGCTGCAACCTGTTTTTGGTTGCCTTGTTAATCAGATTGAATTCAAACTGGTTCACATGGAAAGGTGATCCGGACCTAATTTATACTTTCCTAGCCGAAACTTCGCCGTCCTTTGAAATTCGCACACTTGCGAATTTTGCAGTCTGGTTCTCCAGCCATCATTGCATCAAAAAGAAAAAAAAAGGCATATGCACATTGGTAAAAATGAGATATGCACCCCCAAAACGTGTCATTTTAGGGAATACAGGGAAACGGCTTTGCCAAAATGTGCGTTGGGAAAAATATTTGCCCGTGTGTCTGTTAGGAGAAATTTGCACAAGAAGGCTAGTGAATTTTCATGAGGACATTTCATTTTATTTTACATCCTAGATTGATGGATTTAATGGTCCTTGGTTGTAATTTTAGCTCTGGAATTTATGGGTGCAGATTATAGATCCTTACAGTGAAAGAAAATGCAACCTCAGAGCCCTGTCTATTGCAGGGATGGGGCCGTAGGGTTTTTCTTGGCTTTGCAAGAAGGTGAGACTGTAATGGGCTTAAGTTACGGGGGGGGGGGGGAGAGATTTTGGCTGAAAGTTTTCAGCAGTTCAGAGCAATTCAGCAATCGCCAAAAAGGGTTATGGTGAACTCTCTCTCTCTTACCAGAGCTCTTCCAGATGGGCAGCCGTCAGTCAGGGAGGACCTCACTCTCGATATCTGGCATTGAGCAGTTGGTTTGACTAGATGGCTTTACAAGGACCCCTTCTCTGGCACTGCCAGTATTTAAAAAGCAAAAGCAAATACTAAAAGTGATCATCACTTTTATTTAGCCTTCAGGATACCTTTCGATGTATCTTGGTCATACAGTCACTGAAAGTCAGTGCAAGTTTGCTCTTACTCTCTCCATTTTACGGATGAAAGGAAACAATGGTAGTTTAATTTGTGACCTCTTCACATATCTGTGCTGCGTCAAGATTTGCAATGGGAGTTTGCCTGTTTCTTGCTAGTACTCGGCATTCGACACAGTCGAAAATGACAGGGGGAATTTAAAACCGTTTCCTTCTAGTAATGAATCACAGGTTGTTTCTCTACACACCCCAGTTAAAATATTCTCACCCTCATAAAATGCAGGTATATTTAATTCAAATCAGGCTCATGCATATTCTGTTCTTTCTGGGGGGGTTGCTGAGTCGTGTTACAACATGTTGATTTTCCTGGGTTGGGGAGCAAATATATTTTTCTTTCTCCATGGTCTGGCCATCAAGATGTCTCTTGAGTCAGCCTCTCCCCAGATCTCCTCCTTTCGCAAAGACAACCTGAGTTTTTCAGGGTTAAATGGAGCACCCCCAGTCGGTCAGGTGTGAAACTCTTGTTGGGTAGAATCATGGTTTTAATGCTGTTAGTGGACTACCATTGATCTGCACTTGACAAAGGAGAAAGGAGGGACCTGGTCTTCTGCCCCCCAAGGACCTGTAAAAAATGGATGCCAGGGAGACGGCAGAAAGAGCCGAAGGTGAACAGAACAAGCTTCTGTGTCTGATTAACATGGACTTAAGGTTAGGGTCAGTAGGAGGGTGCCTGCCGTTACAATTTGCCCTTTCGAAAATGGTAGGCAAACTGAAACTTGGCCATCCTTTATCATTTGCATTTCTCTGAATTTTGCAGTGCAGTCTTCCCTCCATGCAATTCTCCAAAGAGGCATATAACTGGGGCTACGGGTGTGTGAAAATGCATGTTTGCGACAGTAGCTTACAAAAACGCATTAAAATTAGGGGAAATCGCTTTGCAAGCATTTGCATATTGGACAAATTGCAACAGTGTATACGAGGCGAAATCTGCAGATGGCTGTAATTGAGGGCTTCTTTCAAAAATTGTCAAACTGATATGGAAATGCAGGAAAATGAACTTGAGACTGGGGGAAAATGAGAAACCGAGAGGAGCCAAAATGGACAGATTTGCCCATCCCCAGTTTTGAGTATGTCTTAGTAAGAACTGCCCTACCTTACAAAATTATTGTTAGATCCATGCAAAGCTTTCAATACTCTTAAAATCAGTATATAACTTCTTTCCAAAAGGTGGTCAGGATCGAGCCCATCCACTTAATTTATAGCCACACTTTTCTGAATTTCAGTAGAATATGTATTTCTGATATCCAGCACTGTCTTATGTAACTGAAGCTATTCATATTTTCTTAACTCTGCCACACTCCCACATGCTTTAATCTTCTTGCATCTGGTCCACAAATATTTCTCTGTGTTGCTGTTTTTTAAAAAAATGTGTCATCTTTAAAGCTAATTGTTTGAATTAACTACTAATTCGACGTGTTTCTCTGCGCTCTGAAAGTCATTCTTAAACTATTTTTATTATTGTCGGCCTCTTCAAAAGGGCTCTTATGAAACAGTTCTATGTTTAGGCAACTTTTTTAAAAAAAGAAATCTAAAATTAAAATATTTGGTTCTAGTCCTCAAGGTGTTTTAGCGGGGGGGGGGGCTCAGATTCAATATAAAGCGGTCTGTATGATTTTGTGGAGTTTAGCAAATGTCCAGGCACGTATCTACAGGCAGGAACTGAAACTTGAATCTTGAAACTGGTTGCCGCTAGTCCTGATGGCGAGGTGACAAATTCAGAAGAAAGCGGGATTTTTTCATTTTGTCATACTTAGTAATAGCAGTTAGTCAGGAGCTCTGATAACCTTGAATGAATGGGTTATTTGTTGTGGTCGCTGAGCGATAGAAGTGAACACACACTTAAAGTATGCAGCTGGTTATAACAAGACGCAAATATAATGGTGATGTATCTTCACGAGGACTTGGGGAAAGAAAAGAAAAGAAAACAATCCCTAACTGATGCATAAATGTTGGGAACTGAACTCAAGACAAAAAAATGAGGTAGTCCTCAACACCTATTTCAGCCTTAAAAACGAGCAATGTTGTTTCAAAACATGAAATCACACAAATCAGCATTGTGAATCTTCCAAAATCAACAGCACCCAGGAACTGAGTGTCAGCAAAATACCGATGGTTTCATCCAGCGAAGTCCCACTCAGAGTTGCACCCATTGAAATTAAGAAGCCTAACTTAGTCGTGTATATGAACTTCAGTGGGTCTACCCAGCGTAGGACTAGCATCGAATACCACCTGTACATTCCACCCCACTAGGAACTGACCAGAAAAATTGTCCAGATCTGAATGTATTTTGCAGCCGTCTCAGTAATATGGGAAGAAGTTTTCCTTAACCAAAAATATACCCAATCTATAGAAAGGAGCTCTTAAATCAGGCATCCCCAAACTCCGCCCTCCAGATGTTTTGGGGACTACAACTCCCATCATCCCTAGCTAGCAGGACCAGTGGTCAGGGATGATGGGAACTGTAGTCCCAAAAAATCTGGAGGGCTGATTTTGGGGGTGCCTGTCTTAAATAGAGGGAAAATCAACCTCTCTCTCTTTCTGCACTCCCTATACAAGTTATGATGCAAAAGGACTTGATCGGCAGCCTGTTGCTCCAGCTCCACTCAGACAAAAGCATCTCTTAACTCGGGTCTTCTCAAATCATCCATTTATACAGGAAGCTGCGTTCTAGTGGGTCAGACCACTGGTCTATCTACTTCAGTATTGTCTACACTGACTGGCAGCGACCCTCCCAAGATTTCAGGCAGGAGATTTCGCCCAGCCCTACCAGAAGATGCTAGGGAGTGAACTGGGAACCTTCTGCGTGCAAAGCAGATGTTCACTCAACTACAACCCTTAAATTATCAATTTCAGAAGGCAACGCATTGTGACGAGTGAGCACAGACGCACTCCTGTGTTTTGGAGATGGTTAATGTATGCTACTATGAAGCTCTAAAGGTAAAGGTAAAGGGACCCCTGACCATTAGGTCCAGTCATGGCCGACTCTGGGGTTGCGGCGCTCATCTCGCTTTATTGGCTGAGGGAGCCGGCGTACAGCTTCTGGGTCATGTGGCCAGCATGACTGAGCCGCTTCTGGCAAACCAGAGCAGCGCACGGAAACGCCGTTTACCTTCCCATCGGAGCGGTACCTATTTATCTACTTGCGCTTTGAGGTGCTTTCAAACTGCTAGGTTGGCAGGAGCAGGGACCGAGCAACGGGAGCTCACCCCGTCGCGGGGATTCGAACCGCCGACCTTCTGATCGGCAAGTCCTAGGCTCTGTGGTTTAACCCACAGCGCCACCCGCGTCCCACTATGAAGCTCTACTGATCCCATAATTCAGGGATTCCTCAGCTTCAGTGATGCTGCAGATTGTAAGTTTTCTAACTTTCACAGGCCGGGAGTATTGGGCCCTGTCTTGAAACCATGATTTCCCAACACATCTGGAGAGAGGAGACTCTCCTCCATCTCTTTTTCATCCATTGACGGAAGTGTTGAGAACCTCCTTTGCTAGGAGGTCAAAGAGCAAAGCCAAGCCCAGGAACATTGCAAAAGGAGAATTATAACCCAAATAGTTTGGGAGAAAGGCAGGATATAAATGCATTAAATAAATAAAAATAAATTGGATCAGCGGGAGAGTATTATTGGGTGTTGATTATGGTTTTTATTTTTGCTGCAACATTTTGGGTTGCATTATTTTTTTAAAAAACACAGACATTTGGAAAACAGAATGGGAATGTATGTTTCCTCCCCCGCCTGAAGAACTATTTTTCTCCACAAATTCCTCCAGGTTCTTTGAGATCTGTTAGAGAAGCATTGATAACTTTCCCATATATAACATCTGGAAGGATGAGTCCCTTAATATCACAAGCATGAAAATGTTCAGCCCATTATGGCCTCTGCTTTAAAAGCAGCTTCTAATTTTTGTTGTTGCTGGGGCCACTGTGGTTGGGCAAAAGTGTCAATTTCAGTTTCTCTCTTTTTTTCCCTTCATTTTTCCACTGCAAAGTTCAGTTCTGCACATTCCCACAACAGTCTGTGATCGTTATTTTTCAAAAAGAAAAGGTCCCACTGAATATTCGTCAGCGTTTTTGCGAAAGTTTCTTCTAATATCCACAAATTTGTGTGGCACTTTGCCAATGCATCCATTTTTCCCCAAAAACACAGCACAACTTTGTGTGCCATTTTCACATTCATATGGCTTTCTATGCACATTTTATTCTAGCAACTTCCTTTTTGTATACAAAAAGATCTGCTTTACAAAACTCTGAGAAGGGCGAATTTTGGAGGATGGATTTATTTTGAATTTCTGCATCATTTTGCAAAGTTCAGCGTAGGCCGGTCCACTTTTAGGTGTGAAATAGATTGCATTTCTCCCCTCACTCCTACATACAACATACAACATACGACCCAAGTTTTACGTCATTCTGATCTTTGCCTTTTTATTTTATTCCTACCTTTGCTCTTTAAGAGTGTTTTGCTTTCGTGATTTAGCGGTGCAGGGTTGCATTAAATGGGGGTCCTACCGAGAGTTAATGAGCGCAGCTACCGTAGGTTCGTTAATTTCAGAAGTTAAATGCTGAGCAATTGGACACAACACTGATAAATTTGTGTATAATGATGATGATGCTACAAAAAAATGCATCATTGTACGCCATAGGAATTCACCTAGGCCAGGGATGAAGAATCTAGGGGTCTCTATACATTGCTAAGGGATGCGGGTAGCGCTGTGGTTAAACCACAGAGCCTAGGACTTGCCGATCAGAAGGTCAGCAGTTCGAATCCCTGCGACGGAATGAGCTCCCGTTGCTCAGTCCCTGCTCCTGCCAACCTAGCAGTTCGAAAGCACGTCAAAGTGCAAGTAGGTACTGCTCCAGTGGGAAGGTAAACGGCGTTTCCGTGCGCTGCTCTGGTTCGCCAGAAGCGGCTTAGTCATGCTGGCCACATGACCCGGAAGCTATACGCCGGCTCCCTCGGCCAATAAAGCGAGATGAGCGCCGCAACCCCAGAGTCATCCACGACTGGACCTAACGGTGAGGGGTCCCTTTACCTTTTACTGAGAGTTAATGAGCACAACTACTGTAGGTTCATTAATTTCAGTAGTTATATGCTGAGCAATTGGACACTACACTGATAAATTTGTGTATGATGATGATGATACAGAAGATTGCATCATTGTACGTCATAGAAATTCACCTAGGCCAGGGATGAGGAATCGATACATTGCTAAGCTTTCATAATCCCTGACTGCTAGCTATGCAAACTGATGGGTCTTAGAGTCTAACAACATCTGTCCCCACCAACATCACCACTTGTCTAAGCCCACATTTAAATCTCTGCTGAGATTTCCAAAACCTTCGCTTTGACTCAGTGGTACCCTCTTTCCCTTGCCCTGTCCGCATGTTTGTTGCGCTTTTTTTTAACCCTGTCAGTTTAAGCAACAAAGAGGGTCCCTTCCGCACTCAACTTGCCCCAGAGGTTTCTCAAGGAAACACTTTGTGCTCAACTTAACAGCTTCTTTCCTGCTCCCCACAACTTAAATTTTCGGCAGGCGCCCAGAAGCCAGAAAAGCCGTTCCTCTGGCAATCTCCCCGAAGGGAGATCACTGCTCACGCTGCTTAAAATCTTTTCCTTGCGCAAAACACCTCTCTCCGGGGTTTTGAAAAGGGTGTGAAGACTACAAAATTAGTTGCCACCTTCCGTTTTTCTGCATGTGGTGAAATAGGCAGCGGGGTTTTTAAGGCTCCCCCTCCTCTTGCTTTCCTTCTCACCCCCCCTACCCACACCTTCCTTCCCACTCTCTGTTCTGAGAAATATATGCCTTTCGTCTGTGTCAGATAAAAATCTGCTAGGCTGATCTGTCACAGTCTATCTGATGGGAGGTAGGGGATCCCAAGGTTTGCAAAAGGTCATGGCCAAATTTAATTTCAGTGTGTGTGGTTTTAATTTTATATTGCTGATTGCAATATAAAATTAGTTGTTCCCTTTACCTTCCTGCGCAATTTACAATTGCTAGCTGGGACTGGTGAGAGCACAGTGACCCCTGGTGGCCTAAAGGTTCTTCGCAACGGGTGGCCCTGATCCCAAGATCTTCCGCTTTGCATTTGGACGGGGCAGGGGCGAGGGCATAGCTGTCAACTGTCCCTTATTTGGGAGGAAACTCCCTTATCCCAGCGCCGTGTCCCGCTGCTGTCCCTTATTGACAATGTCCCTTAAATTTCCTGGGTTTCAAAGGAAGCAGCTCCTCCCCCTCCCTCCCTGCCGCCCAGGGAGGAGGGAGGCTCCAACTGTGTTGCTTGACTGCCCGGCCCACCCCCCTCCGGCCTCCTCTCACCAGCCTTGGCCCCCGGGAGCCCCTCCCCACCGGGACTGGCGGGAGCCTCTGGCCCTTCCGCCGCCATCCTCCTTGCTGCCGCCGAACTGAGCATCTCTGCTTGGGGTAGCATCTTTGTAGCTTGGACTTCGTTTTGCGCGAAAAGTGGTTGCTGATTGTAGTTATTTAATTGCAATGTTTCATCAGCTTGAGCAGCAACCTCTGGAAACAAAGGGCTAAAAACCGGTGCTGCTCTCCAAAATTATCTGGTCTCTTTTAAGTTTGTATTTCAGGTGGTTGACTAAAATCCCTTATTTGGGCTGCTGATCCCTTATTTTCGAGGCTGCTGGTCCCTTATTTTCAAATCTGTAAGTTGACAGCTATGGGCAAGGGAGAAGGTCTTCCATGGGCACATGGGAACCCGGATGCTTCCGATTCAGTAGGGCAGCTTTCTTGTGCCCCTGTTTAAATCTGTCTTCCATTCAGAGCCATGAGGACTGGAATCTTAATGGGGGAAAAGGGCAGGTAGCTCAGACAGTAGAGCACTTGCAGCACGTAATAATAATAATAATAATAAATTTATTTATACCCCGCCCTCTCTAGCCAGAGCCAGGCTCAGGGCGGCTAACACCAATAAAATCACAGTCAAAACATAATAAGCGAAAAAGGGGGGGGGAACCAATTTAAAATAAATACAGGTTAAAATGCAGCCTCATTTTAAAGTAGCTGATAAATCAAGACCAAAAGGGGAAGGAAGACATAAGGGTCAGACTGAGTCCAAACCAAAGGCCAGGCGGAACAGCTCTGTCTTGCAGGCCCTGCGGAAAGATGTCAAGTCCCGCAGGGCCCTGGTCTCTTGTGATAGAGCGTTCCACAAAGTCGGGGCCAGTACTGAAAAGGCCCTGGCCCTAGTTGAGACCAATCTAACCTCCTTGAGGCTCGGGACCTCCAAAGTGTTGTCATTCGTGGACCTTAAGGTCCACTGCGGGGCATACAGAAAGTTTCAGGTTCAATTGGGAATCTCCCCGATTCTGGATTGAGATTGATAGCCACAACACACACCTGGTTGGATAAATGTTTTGGGGGCTGCTTGGTCTGACTGCATCTCTCAAGGAAAAACTGAGGCTGGATTCTGGGTTTATATTGTGTTAATTTTCCCCGTTAGAATGCCCAGAGCTTCTGCGCCATTTTAAAACATTCCTTTCACACGGCGGCGGCACCTGTTGTGCTATGGAACTGTGGCTTTTCGGCCGATAGATCCATACGTCACACTAAATTTCATTTGTGTCAATGGGTGTGTGGGGGCAACAACAAACGTCATTGAACAATGCGGCTCTTCCCGCATCTTTTCTGCGCATGCTGCCTTCGGTTCGCCTGCAAATTCCCCCATAAAGTTGGCAGGAGAAAATGTTTTGCTGATACAGTCATATCTCATGTTACGTCCGCTTCATGTTACGTTCTTTCAGGTTACGTCTCGCGGAAAGGGTTACTTCTGGGTTTCACCGCATGCACAGAGGCACAAAATGACGTCACACGCATGCGCAGAAGCAGCGGATCGCAACCCGCGCAGGCGCACAGATGCGCCACTGCGGGTTGCGCTCTTTTCATGTTGCGAACGGGCCTCCGGAACGGATCCCGTTCGCAACCAGAGGTACCACTGTATAGCGCCCCAAAGTTTGTCACTTTATGCCTGCAGTTTTCCAGGTTCCGGGGGCTGCAAACTCTCCCCCCCCCCCCAGAATCAAATAACATGCGAGTAAGTGCTAAACCTACGTTATAGTCCATTATGTTTGTGGAAGTGGCTTTTGTGGCATGTGAAAGCTCAAATATCATGCAGAATTAAAACAGGGAAACACATTCTTTATGGAGTCGAAAAACACTGAATTGTATAATTGTAGAGTCGTAAGGGACCCCAGGGTCATCTAGTCCAACCCCCCCAATGCAGCCATCTCAACTGGAAGCATTCATGACAGATGGCCACCCAACCTCTGCTTAAAAACCTCCAAGGAAGGAGAGACCACAACTTCCCAAGGGAGTCCATTCCACAGTCAAACAGCCCTTACTGTCAGAAATTCCCCCCTGATGTTTAGGCATGTGTTGTAGTCCATTAGTTTCCTAGCATTAGTTTCTCTGCAGTGTGGAAGCTCAGATATAATGCAGAAACCACTGGTTAAGGAAATGTTGGGGAGATGGAATAAACTGCCCTGGGGGTTGCACCCGGAACCGGTCCGGGAGCCGCCCATGGGCTCCTTTCAGAGAAGGTTTTTCCCGTCCTCAGGGGGCTGAAAAGAAGGGATGTGGGGAGAAAGCCTTGAGTAGGTTGATGGAACTCGGATGTGGGTTGACGCCATGCGCCGGCAGACCGAAATGTTAGAGCAGCCGGAGGAAATTGAGGGGGGAGGCTTGTTTTCAAGGCCTGCCGGAGGAACCAGCGAGCTCCTCTTTGAAGCGTCAGCTCTGTGGCTTAAGCTTCGCATGCAAACCTTCCTCCTCCGTTCCTCTTGGCAGTTTTGCCCCCCACTGCACTGCACTGCCGCCGCTTGTAGCACCCGTCGGAGACCCCCTCAAGTTGCGGCCGGCACCCCCTTTTAAAGCACGCACCTGCCTGCGGAGAGTTTTGCAGCACCTCTAGAGTCCGGTGGTTTTGTCGTGGCCACAAGCACCTCTGTAGGTTTTGCAGGCAGCCCTGTTTAGGGAAGTTTTTAACAACTGATTTTGGGGGGAGGGTTCAAAAACAAAATTATTGGTTTTCCACATTTATCACAAAATGACATGACGAAACACACAACAAAGAAAAACACACTACAACACAATAAAATTAAGCACAAAAAGGAATTATTTCTTCTAATACCTAATTCTCTTAACATTGCTAACTGACTTCCTCGAATCCTCTCTAACTGAATTTCATTATATCACATTTATCAGTTCTCCAAGTTCATATTTCTAATAATATTAACTCCTTTCATTTACTAATCTCTTCTCCTTTATTAATATTCTAATCCTTAATGTTTACTACCACATATCCTTATTCTACCCCTAGGCCTATTTGTTACTTCCAAGGATTTTCTGTTTATCTTATTTTACAATATTTAGCTAAATATTATTCCAGTTCTCTTGTGTATCCTCTTCTTTCTGGTTGCAGATTCTTCCAGTCAGGTCGGCCAGCTCCAAAAAATCCAACATCTTCATCTGCCATTCTTCTATTGTTCGTATTTCTTGCGATTTCCAATTTTTGGCTAATTATGACTGTTGTTTTAATGTATTTTTAACCTTCTGTTGGAAGCCGCCCAGAGTCACTGGGGAAACCCAGCCAGATGGGCAGGGTAGAAATATTATATTATTATTTATTATTATTTATTCCCCTTGAGAAATGTTAAGCAGATAGATCAGGGGTCAGGAAGCTTCATCCCTAAATGTCTTTGCCCCCCATCGTCCAGCCTGGACACGGAGGTCCAGCTCCAAGAACCTTCTGGCGGTTCCCTCATTGCGACAAGTGAGGTTATAGGGAACCAGGCAGAGGGCCTTCTTGGTGGTGGCACCTCCCCTGGGGAAGGCCATCCCATCAGATGTCAAGGAACGATCTGACTTTTGGAAGACTTCCGAATGCAGTCCTGTTCAGGGAGGGTTTTAATGTTTGATATTCTTTGTGTTTTAATATTCTGTTGGGAGCTGCCCAGAGTGGCTGGGGCAGCCAGGTCAGATGGGTGTGGGTGAATATTATTATTATTATTATTATTATTATGACTGAGGCCCACACTCCCTTCTTGGCAGGCTTCCTAGGGGCTGCATGCCTGTGATGGACAGGGCCAGAGGTTTAAGTGAGTGGGGTGACACATGCGTTTTCTCCTTTGTAAGGTACTCTAGTTTCCACACACACAAACACACAAAGGCCACATTCCTCCATGTAAAGCACTATGGTGCCACTTTAAGCAGCTTTCCCCGGAGGATTCTTGGAGCTGTAGTTTGTGACGGGTGCCGAGAGTGGTCAGGAGAGCCACTATTTCTCTTGGAGAACTGCAATTCCCAGAGTTCCCCTGAGAAGAGGGGTTGGCTGTTAAACCGCTCTGGCCCCTGCAGGAGGGAGTTCCATAGTTTAACTAAAGAAATACTTTATTTTCTCTGTCCTGAATCTTCCAACATTTGGCTTCATTGGCCGTCCACAAATTCTAGTGTTAGGATAGAAAAAGAGGAAAGCTATTCTCCATCCACCTTCTCCAGCCACCTTCTCCGTGCCACACCTAATTTTATAACCTTCTGTCTTGTGGTCTCTTTTTTACTTTTCTTCAAACGTGTTTCTAAAGCCTGTGTCCCCATTCACTGGCTAGAAATGCCGCCAAATAAGATTTCTATAGAGATGTCCTCTGCCTTGAATAATTTCAGGTTGGCTGCTTGCAATGTTAAACCGCTATATCATTTTGCGTGTTTGATTCGATTCCATTTATGAATCGCCTCCGGTGAAATACCTCAAAGCGATTTCTCCGTTAAAAAACGCAGAGAATAAAAACGATGCACCGAAATACGAGGAAGCGGATACTTTAAAAAGACAGCCGTCAAAACACAGCAAATGAAGAACAAGAAAAATAACGACAGCAGATATCGCAGATACACACACGCGCAAAAAACCATGACCTTTCTAGCGTTTGGTAATGATGCAAACTTCCTAACTTCCTACTCTGCCGAATTAATACCTGTAGTTGTGTGGGAGAGGACTGAGCTTTTGATTGAGTCCGAAACAAATCAGTTCAAAAGTGCTGATCTAATTGAGTTTGGGAGTTTGATGTCATCATCTTACCTGGTTGGCCCCAGTGAAAACAGGATGCTGGACTTTGAAGGGCGTTGGGCCTGATCCAGCTACAGAGCTATAGAACCATGGAAGTATGGAATTGGAAGGGACCCTGCAGATCATCTAGTCCCAACCCTCTGCAATACAAGAATATGCAGGTGTCCCATACAGGAACAGGGCAGCCCTGTTTAGGGAAGCTTTTAATGTTTGATGTATTATAGTATTTTACTATTCTTTTGGAAGCCGCCCAGAGTGGCTGGGGAAGCCCAGCCAGATGGGCGGGGTATAAATAATAAATTATTGTACTTGTTGTTGTTGTTGTTGTATTATGTGCTATGGCCCCAAGGCCTTCCGTTCAGACCCCTTTAGTGTGGGGGGAAAAGGAGGGGCAGCCAAGATGATCAAAGGGGTGGAGCAACTCACCTGTAAGATAAGGGGGCAGCGTTTGGGACTTCTTGGTTTAGAGAAAAGCCAAGAAGGAAGTAACTTGATAGAGGATTATGAAATGATGTTTCTCTTAAGGGTAGGACTCAAACCAGTGGCTTCATGTTACAAGTAAGGAGATTCCCACTAAACATTTGGGGGAAACTTTCTGACGGTAAGAGCTGTTCGACAGTGGAACAGACGCCCACTAGAAGTGGTGGACTCTCCGTCCTTGGAGGTGTTTAAGCAGAGGTTGGATGGCCATCTGTCATGGATGCTTTGGCTGAGATTCCTGCATTCCAGGGGGTTGGACTAGATGACCATTGGGTTCCTTCCAATTTTATGATTCTGTGAAAGTGGATAAAGAAAATGTTTTCCTCCCTGTCGTAACACTAGAACACGTGGACTTCCAAGGAAGCTGAGTGTTGGGAGATTCAGGACAGATGGGGGAAAAGTCCTTAATCCAGTGCATGGTTAGACTGCCGAACTCCTTCCCACAGCAGGCAGAGATGGCCGCCATCTTGGGCGACTGTATTTATCTTTTAATAAATTTTATTAAGGTCTGTAGAGGGGAAATGCAAAACGTAAAATCTTTTGCCTTTTTAAAAAACTGAACCAGGACTTTTATTTAGGTGCAATAAAAACACAAAGGGGCAGGATGGGGAGAAAGAAATAGAGAAGGAGAAAGAAAGAAAGAAAGAAAGAAAGGAGAAAGGTAGAAAAATAAGATTCAGAAACTAAAGAACTTCCGATTCTTCCTCCATCCGCTATGCAGAAACAAAATTCACTTCGTCCAATCCGACATATGACACCTCACAAAGCAACTTTCTATAAACAAACATTAATCTTACATCCTCAAACCAGCATAGGCGTCTTTAAAAGAGGATTAATTGATTGTGATTTTATGTAAACTGTGTTGCTTTTACTGATGTTAGCTGCTCTGAGCTTCGGCTTCGGAGGGCGGGATATAAATAAAATTGTATTATTTTTTATTATTATTATTCGATCAATTCAAAGGCTATCCGTGTCTGGTCGCCATGTTGGCTGGGCTTCCACAGGTGGGCGAAGGACTGATCTAGACTTGGTCGCTGCAACCGTGGCCACTTTGTTTGGGTGCTGAGATCACTGCAGTCGTGTTCCTGTTTTGTGAGTCACGATCAAAGGGATAAACGACTGGCAGCAGAGGAACTTTTGCTTGGGGGCAAATCGCCGTCGGTAAGGGGCGAGGCAGCGAGGCTGAATCATAGAGCTGTAGGAAGACAGTCTCGGGTCAGAGACAGGTTGCGGGGCGAGAAGCAAGGAAATATGAAGACACACATATTTTCCAAAATAATCCTCCCTGCCTTTTTGAAGCCTGTGTTCAAATCGGGTTCATCTTCAGTTTTCGGGTTCCCCATCTGGGTGGCCACTGTGAGAACAGGATTCTGGGCTGATTCAACTGGGGTCTTCTTCAGTCCTTATGGAACCTCCTGGTCCAGAATAGTCTATCTCGATTCTTAGGTTCTTAGGGCGTTTGGCCACTGTGAAAACAGGGTTCTCAGCATCACCTATCAGTAAGTCAGAATATCTCAACCACTTATTCTCCATATTTAACTTTTTTTGCGCCTGAGCTTCCATTGGTGAAATCCATTTGGGTGTTTTTCTTACCAAAAGATCCTGATATCTAATCCATACATTATAAAGCGCCTTCCTGATTATATGGTCTTAAAACCACTATGGGCCTTTACTTTATCATACCAAAGATATGCATGCCATCCAAACCTATTATCCAGTCCCTCCAAGTCCAAAATATCCTCATTTTCTAATTTAATCCAGTCTTTAATCCAGCAGAAGGCCGCTGCTTCAAAATATATCTTCAAATCAGGCAGGGAAAAACCTCCTCTTTCTTTTATGTCCGTAAGCAGCTTATACTTAATTCTCGGTTTTTTCCCCTGCCAAATAAATTATGAGAACAGGGTTCTGGGCTCGATGAGGACCGCTTGTTCTTCATTTCCTCTATTATGTGGGGAATGTTGGTGAAAATCACATTTTTTAAAAATGACAAGATGGAGTGTTGGGGGGGTGAGCAATAAGTATAATGCAGCAATTAATAAGATAAGAATAAAGATAAGAATAAAAACACGAGGGCGCGAGCACCAGGTGAATGTGATCCCGTAGCGAGGACCCCATAAGGAGTCTCGCTGTGGCATTCTGCACCCGCTGGAGTTTCTGGGTCAGTCTCAAGGGCAGCCCCATGTAGAGCGAGTTACAATAATCAAGTCTGGAGGTGGCTGTTGCGTGGATCACAGTGGCGAGGTCAGGGCGAGAGAGACACATTCTCAGAGAGGGCTATCCATGGCTATTAGTCTAGATTGCTATGATCTGCCTTGCCATTGCAATGCTTCTGAACACCAGTTGCCACAGGAGGGGAGAGTTGCTCTTGCGCTCGGTGACTGCTTGCAAATTTCCCATGTTATGCAACAGGATCTTATGTTCTCAAGGTGCTATACATGGTCCCCCCCCCCGTTTAATCCCCACAACAACCCTGTGAGGTAGGTTAGGCTGAGAAGCAGAGATTGACCCACGGTAATCCACTTCCTGAGGGAGGGATTTGAACCGTGGTCTCCCCAAGGTCCGCACTCGAACGGTTACACCACCCTGGCTCCCCTTGAGGTTCTCCGTCCCCAAGCCTCGCAGGGCTCTTTGCGTCCCAGGACCCCTCGGGTCCTGCCACTCTCGGTCACGGCAAAGGGAGTTTGGGGTTGTTTCCCTTGCACCTTCATTCTTGCCAGAGCGCCCGGGCGAACTGAGTAAGACACGCAGAGCGGGTGGGAGTTGGGTTTCCATCTCTCCCGGGGGCGCCTGCTGTGTTGAGCGTCTTTCCTGCTTTGATTCATGTGGCGAGGGTGTCAACGACTCAGCCCTCCTCCACGCTGCTGCTGCGGCTGCCCCTACGCTGCGGGGGGGGGAAGGAAGGGGAGCGGGGCCATGAATCGGCAGCAATAAACACACAGTCATCTCGAATGCCTCTTTGCCTTTCATCCTGCGTTGTGGCTGGGTTTTGTTTTGCTCTCTCTTTTATAACAGGTGCAATTTTTGAGCGAGAGCAGATTTCGATGCGGTGTCGAACGTGCTGGTGGTAGCCTTTCAAACCTAGAGTTGGCCAGGTTCAAAACCCTTTCCTGGCATGTTGTGGACTTCCCAGATACCAAGGGGTGCAGCAGGGACAGGAAGGCAGGCTGTGGTTGGAAAGGTGTGCTCTTCATCTTCCCGGGAGGTCAGGAAGTGGTGTCAGCAGTGGGATCCCCTCTCTGGGGAAGGGAGGGCTCTGAGCGGGAAGGGGCGAACCCAGTGGGAGCCAGTGACTCAGCCATGACCATAACCCCAACATCAGTAAGAGTTTAACACAGGGGCGGGGAGCATCTGTGATGTTTTCCAGGTGCTAGGACTCAGACTCCCATCAGCTGCCACGAACACGAGCAACGGTCAAGGGTAATGGTGCCATTCTTCAGGAACAACTGCGGGAACACATGTCCATTGTTTTTCCCGAAACAATTTGGCTGCTTGCAAGTATAGGTGTCTAGGATCAGAGCGGGTGGCGCTGTGGGTTAAACCACAGAGCCTAGGACTTGCTGATCAGAAGGTCGGTGGTTCGAATCCCCGCCACGGGGTGAGCTCCCGTTGCTCGGTCCCTGCTCCTGCCCACCTAGCAGTTCGACAGCATGTCAAAGTGCAAGTAGATAAATAGGTACCACTCTGGCGGGAAGGTAAACGGCGTTTCCGTGCGCTGCTCTGATTCGCCAAAGCGGCTTAGTCCTGCTGGCCACATGACCCGGAAGCTGTACACCGGCTCCCTCGGCCAGTAAAGTGAGATGAGCGCCACAACCCCAGAGTTGGTCACGACTGGACCTAATGGTCAGGGGTCCCTTTACCTTTTAGGATCAGAGTGTCAGAGAACGGAAAGTGCCGTTAACATCCTCACATTCAGGCCAGCCGCTGGATGGTTCTAACCTGCAAGGAACATCTTGCACACGCAGATGGGCCGTCACAGATTCAAGTGATTACATTTTCAAAAGTCCAGGCTAGAGTTATGGAACATCAGAATGCCACTTATTATTCAACTCTACACATGAACATTAAAAAAAAAAAACTTGCCCCCAAAGGGAAAATCAGGAAAAGGATGGTTTCCCAGGGGCCCCAAGCTCAGGGCTGTTCTGGGTGCCTTGGGAAATGAGGGCAGCAGGGGGCTCAGATTGGTCCAGAGTGGCGCTCTGTAGCGTGTTGGGTGCCTGATGGTTTATTCAGCTCTCTCTGTTTTGTATAGAAGAACTAGGTGAGTTTTCTTTTTTATAATCTCCTACCCACAGTCTGTCACAGCTGGTGCCTGTGCCTTTGTGACCCCAAATACCACAGCTGGGAGTAGAAATGAGCCCCCTTACCGATTACGTTCTCCTCGCCACAGCATCCTCTGATGCTATCAGGACCCTTGGCAGTTCACAAACAGCTATACCACTCCTGCGTCTACTGACATCTTCAGCCCCCCTTAGAAAACACACCAAAAGAAAGAAATAAAAGGTTTAGGGTTTCCTGGAAACCAAACCCACACACCCCAGCCTGGGTCTCTGAAAAGCCAGCAGGCACTTTCTGCCCCACTCACCCGCTGCCGCCCCTCTCGCCTAGTTCACATACCCCTCGGCGCCTCTTCCCAACGACCCCAATCAGGGAGGGGGGAAAGAGTTGTCGGCCCCAAAGGGCAGAGGGTTAAACTGCCTCATCAAACAGATTGTAATCTCGACCGTTTGGGAAACGCTGTGCGGGGAGAGTTGCAAGCAATGGTTTGCTTTGAGCCCCACGCCCAAGCCCTTAGGGTGGCTGCTGATGCGTTCCTTGGTGCAGAGCATTGCGGCGCATGCGCTAGCCAGCAGACAACCGTCCTCTTCTCCCATGTGCAGCTAGGAATGCTCATTTGGCTGCCTCCCCAATCCAGGTCCCTTCGGGTTACTTTCCCCCTTTTAATAACAAAAGGAGACCCTGATGAGTCAGGCCAAAGGAGCCCACCTGGGGCAGCATCCTGTTCTCACAATGGCTAACCAAGTTGCCTGTGGGAAAGTTGCAAGCAGGATCCGAGTGTCACGGTCCGGTCTACGGGCGATCGAAGTCCCGGCTGGGAACATCGGGACCGGGGCAAGATGGCGGGGTGGGAGCAGGAACAAGAGTCAGGAAGCCAGGGGTCCGAGGGTCAGGAAGCAAGGAGTCACAAAGTCAAGGGTCCGAGGGTCAGGAAGCAAGGAGTCATGAAGTCAAGAGTCTGAGGGTCAGGAAGCAAGGAGTCAGGAAGTCAAGGGTCCGAGGGTCAGGAAGCAAGGAGTCACGAGGTCAAGGGTCCGAGGGTCAGGAAGCAAGGAGTCATGAGGTCAAGGGTCCGAGGGTCAGGAAGCAAGGAGTCACGAGGTCAAGGGTCCGAGGGTCAGGAAGCAAGGAGTCAGGAAGTCAAGGGTCCGAGGGTCAGGAAGCAAGGAGTCACGAAGTCAGGGGTCCGAGGGTCAGGAAGCAAGGAGTCACGAAATCAGGGGTCCAAGGGTCGAGAAGCAAGGAGTCACAAAGTCAGGGGTCTGAGGATCAAGAAGCAAGGAGTCACAAAGTCGAGGGTCCGAGGGTCAGGAAGCAAGGAGTCACGAAATCAGGGGTCCGAGGGTCGAGGAGCAGGGAGTCATGAAGTCAAGGGTCCGAGGGTCGAGAAGCAAGGAGTCACAAAGTCAGGGGTCTGAGGATCAAGAAGCAAGGAGTCACAAAGTCAAGGGTTTGAGGGTCGAGAAACGAGTCACAAAGTCAGGGGTCCGAGGATCAAGAAGCAATGAGCTGAGGTCTGAGGCTCAGGAAGCAAGGAGCCAAACGCAGCAAGGCAGGAAGCGTGTTGCTGTGGCAAAGAGCCAAAGCAAAATGCTGACCTTATATCCCTTCCCAGCTCTTGCCACCAGGTGCTGTGAGTTACCAAGCAGCCTCACCTGTGCGGCCTTGCCTTGCCTCTCCAAAACAATCTTAGGATGACCCCAGTCCTGCGAAGCCCTACTGGTCACAGGACCTGGCTCCTGCACACACTCCTGACACCGAGCTCAAGAGCAACTCTCCCCTCCTGCAAATGCTTTTCAGAAGCATTGTAGCCGTCGATGCCCCTCTGCTCCATGAATTTGTCTAATTCTCTTTTGGAAGTTGTCCTAGTTGGTGGCCATGCTGTGGAATCAAAGTCTACAGTTTCTGCACTGCATGAAGAAGGACTTTCTTTTCTCTGTTTTGAATCTTCCAACATTCGGCTTTCACTGAATGTCCACAAGTTCCACCCATTTTCTCTTGGCCAGGCATAATCTTACAGACTTCTATCACATCACCTTTTCCTTTTTCTCTGCACTAAAAAGTCCCAAACATGACAACCTTTCCTCCTTAAGAGAGTTGCTCCTGGAGTGATGCCAATCTATTACAACCTCATTTCGATTTCCCCGTTTTCTCCAGAGAGCTATGCATCCTGCATGCTTTGATGCATCAGGCCATGAACTCCACCCCTCGGGTCTTGGATTTGCAAATGGAAAGGGATAAGAAATGTGGCCAAAAATAGAATCATAGAATCATAGAGTTGGAAGAGACCACAAGGGCCATCGAGTCCAACCCCCTGCCAAGCAGGAAACACCATCAGAGCACTCCTGACATATGGTTGTCAAGCCTCTGCTTAAAGACCTCCAAAGAAGGAGACTCCACCACACTCCTTGGCAGCAAATTCCACTGTCAAACAGCTCTTACTGTCAGGAAGTTCTTCCTAATGTTTAGGTGGAATCTTCTTTCTTGTAGTTTGGATCCATTGCTCCGTGTCCGCTTCTCTGGAGCAGCAGAAAACAACCTTTCTCCCTCCTCTATGTGACATCCTTTTATATATTTGAACATGGCTATCATATCACCCCTTAACCTCCTCTTCTCCAGGCTAAACATGCCCAGCTCTCTTAGCCGTTCCTCATAAGGCATCGTTTCCAGGCCTTTGACCATTTTGGTTGCCCTCCTCTGGACACGTTCCAGTTTGTCAATGTCCTTCTTGAACTGTGGTGCCCAGAACTGGACACTGAGAGAATGATCTCAGTGCCCTCATAGGTTGCATTGTTCGTTCCTATGCTTTGCTTTTCCTGATGCACGAGAGTGCGTGAACACATTGGGAGGACGCCACACGAACAAAGAACCCTGCTGTGACTCCATGTGATGCCCAGATTGTGTCCTTGTTGTGTTTGTCGGTTCAGATGACACCCGACACATACACAATTCACTCATGCCCAAGGGAGCCCATGCTTTCTGTTCGGGGTAAGGCCTTTCAAAGGCACCCTAGTGTGGTGCTCTTAAGAAACGAAGGCAAGATGGTGTCGGGCCCTGTCTGGTTGCTATAGTAACGCAGCCTGGGGTTGCCATCTTCTCCAATTTGCCTTGCGTTCTTGATAGTCGGCAGTTTCACAAGAGGGCAGGGAGTTTTCCTGCAGTTTCTGAGCCTGGAGTCCAACCCAGCGACATTTGTCATCCTTTCTCATTTCTGTAACACCATTTGGCACCCAAAAAATCTGTTTGTTGTTTTCTCTCCACCCTGCTCTTCGATTCCCACTGGCATTGCGTTCAAGATGGTGGCAACTAGGGATGGGCGAACGTGCCCACTTTGATTTCTCATTCTTCAGTTTGACTTCAGTCCTCCGTGTTTCCTCATCAATTTGTGATATGTATTTTTCGTGAAAATTCATCGACGTTTTGGTCCAAAATTTCCCCTGTTGCACACATTTTCATATGCAGTTTTTTAATGCACACATTTCTTTGCAAAACGGTTTCCCCGGCGCATTTTAAGCGTGTTATTTTCACTGAAAAGCATTTATTTCAATGCACACTTTACACTAGTATAGTATTTTCATGCACATGACTGGACTGGAGAATTAGATTGCAAAATTCAGAGCAGTGCAAATTTCAAAGGCTACTTCTCTGAAAGTGCAGAGTTGAGCCACATTCACCCCATACTTTTAAAGCCCTGTTATACCATTTTAAACAGTCATGGCTGCCCCCAGAATTCTTAAATTTGTTAAGGGTGCTGGGAGTAGTTAGGACAGCCCCACAAAACTGCAATTCTCAGAATAGTTTAACAATCAATCCCTCTTCTTTGGGGAATTTTAGCTCTGTGGGAGAAATTGAGGCACCACCTAATAGCTCTCAGCACCCTTAACAAACCACAGCTCCCAGAATCCTTTGGGGGGAGCCGTGATCATTTAAAATGATATTACAGTGCTTTAAATGTATGGTGCGAACACAGCTGAAGTGAAGATTGCTTTTTGCTGCAAACTGAACCGAATCTCTTCCCCTGAAGGACAATGGAGAATTGGGGAGGGGGCTCTGTTTGTCTCAAAAGAGCGGACTTTTAGCACAGCTCTTCGCCCGGAGCGAACGGGGTCCGCCCTCATTCCTTTTTCTGCTGACGCAAGCGCCGTTTCCGATGAGGCAATGGAAGCTGTGACGCGGAGCTTAGACGGGAATTAACTCCCCGTTTGCGAACCGCATCAGCACATATATAAAATACAGATACATATATGAATTTTTTTTGCTTATTTGGTTTGTGTGTTTTTGCTCTCCTCTTCATTTTGCAATCGACCCAATCGTGTGCACCCAGAGCTCTGTTGACCTCGCGTCAGGAGGGCGGATTTACTGGCATCAATCTCTGTATAAAAGTGAGAGTTGTTCTTTACTGGCAGAATCTTCAAGGTGGACGGGCTGACTAATTTAGGGGCTGACTCATGCGGCTTCTTGTGGTTCAGGGAAGAAACCACTGGCCTCCGTGGTTTAATTTTCCTCCCCTTTCTATTATTAATATGACATTACACTTAGGTAGCTGCAGGTGATGCAATGCAAAAAAACTGTCGTTTTGCCTGCCTGTAAAGACCCAGATACTCTCACAAAGCAGAGAGAGTGCCCTGAGGGTCTCCTTGCAACAGCCCGGCAAGGTGGACTAAGGCAGGAATGGACAGATGTCAACTTTTCCAGATTGACTTCATTATTATTTTTTAAACTAGACTTCCGGGGGCTGGCAACTTGAGTCAGGCGCAAACAACTTAGGTTTGTAGCCAGCAGTATAACTCCCTAGTCAGCGTAGAGCCGTTGAAATTAATGAGCGTGTGCCACATGGTGCATCCTCTAGTTATCTCCCACTTGGACTACTGCAATGCGCTCTACGTGGGGCTACCTTTGAAGGTCACCTGGAAACTGCAACTAATCCAGAATGCTGCAGCTAGACTGGCGACTGGGAGCGGCCGCTGAGACCACATAACACCAGTCTTGAAAGACCTACATTGGCTCCCAGTACATTTCCGAGCACAATTCAAAGTGTTGGTGCTGACCTGTAAAGCCCTAAACGGCCTCGGTCCAGTATACCTGAAGGAGCGTCTCCACCCCCATCGTTCTACCTGGATACTGAGGTCCAGCTCCGAGGACCTTCTGGCGGTTCCCTTGCTGTGAGAAGCCAAGCTACAGGGAACCAGGCAGAGGGCCTTCTCGGTGGTGGCGCCAGCCCTGTGGAACGCCCTCCCACCAGATGTCAAAGAGAAAAATAACTACCAAACTTTTAGAAGACATCTAAAGGCAGCCCTGTTTAGGGAAGCTTTTAATGTTTAATAGGTTATTGTATTTTAGTGTTCTGTTGGTAGCCGCCCAGAGTGGCTGGGGAAACCCAGCCAGATAGGCGGGGTATAAATAATAAATTATTATTATTATTATTATTATTATTATTAATTTCAGTGGATCTGTTTGAGTAGGATTGAGATGAGGTGCAGCTCGTAAGACCTAACCCTGCAGCAAAATACACCCACTCCAGATCTAATTTCTACCCACACACTTGAGCTGAGAGGCAAGGCTTGTGTGCACATTACTGTGGACACGGGTGCAAGCCGCCTCTCTGCACATGGGCAAGGGGTCGTGTGAAAGAGTCCCGGATGCTGGACCAGATGGGTCCTTGGGGTCTGATCCAGCAGCCAAGCTCTTCTTAACGCCGTATAAAATGCCGTGACAAAGGGTGGGAAAATAGATTTTCTTGTGCTTCTGTTTCACGTCTCGGGGGTCTTCCGTCTCCCCTTCCCACAGCCACCTGCAGAGGTGTGATGCAGCCCTCTCCCCTTTCATGTGGTTTGTTGTGCCAACATCCCTGCCTCCGCACGGTGGGTTCTCCCCGGTGCCACCCCAGGGTGGTTAAACATTTCTGGTGCGAGAAGCGAGGGGGTCGTTCTGCCTCGAAGCAGCTGCCTCGTTGCTCCCCCTGCCATCACTCGCCGCAGCTGAGCTGCGGTTATTCAGTGGGGAAATGTTCTCTGCACGTGCCTTGGGGCACTGTTGTCGACGACGATTTGCGACTCGCGGCTCGTGGTCCCGGGGCTGCGCGGTGGCTTTGAAAAAGAAGGTTCTGCAGTTGAGAGACTTGGGGAAGGACCCAGGAGTCCTGCGGCAACTGTTAGCGTGATAGCAGAGCAAAGGCAGAACCAGTTCAATTGCAAGCGAAAGACCAAAACGACCCAACAGGGGTTGAGGGGAAGAAATTCACAACTAAAAATGGCGTGTTTTTGGTCGCCGGCATGAAAGCAACAAGAGAGGAACCAACATCTTGGTTCCCAGGGGGTGAGATTTGGAGATATTGGGGTGTATTCCATTTATATTCTCTCACACAATACAGATCCTTTTAGCTCTGCCCCAAACCTGTGTAGGGGATTTTTTGGAAAATATCGAGGCAGCGGCATTGTGTAACTTACGTAAGGCAGGCAGGCAGCCCCAGACTAAGGGCCCTGCTAAAAATCTGTCTTCACGCCATCCTTTCCAGTTTGCAAAAGCACTGAGCTATTTCATTGGTCCTAACAGCAACTCCAGGGACCTAGGCCCACTTTCCTGCAAAACTGAAAGGTAGTGACTTCTCCGTGGTGACTGGTTCAGGCAGGATTCGAACTCAGGTCCCTGTGAAAGGTGGGGAGGTTCCGTTTGGTTCCTAGAAAGTATGAGCAGGAAGTCCTTTCCCTTACCACCTCAAACCCCTACCGAAAACATGTGAGCTGGTAAGGATTTTGAAAGCCGAAAGGGACGGACCCTTCTCATATGCTCAGAAGCTCTCTTGCCGGGTGGTGTTCTGAAAGCCAGCGAGGAAGAATGTAGTGCAAGGGTGCCCCCTAGTGGACCAAGGTCTGTATTGCAGCTGGTGCTTTTTGCCAAAAGGGGACAAAATGTACCTATCTTTCCTAAACAGTCTGGAAAATGACAGAAGAATAACTCTTTCCTGACAAGCCCCATAATGTCACTCACTGGGGTATTGGGCTCCAAAGACGTCCATTTCCTCTCTAACTCTTTTGCCTTATTTCCTGGCAGTAGCAAAAGCCGGGTAGCATCTTTCAAGGGCGACGGGGTACTTTGTGCTCTCAGCAGTGAAGTTTGGAGTTCAAATCAGAACCTGCGAGATCTGGGCCTCGTTTCAGATCCTCACGTGTGGGCCGAAAAAGCAGAGGTTCTTCTTCCATTTAAAGACCAGAGCATGTTATCCACGTTATACTCTATATTTGACTTTTCTTCAGATTGCTTTATTTATGTCTTATGGATTTAATATACTGAAACAGCTTTGAATTTTTTTCTTAAAAATATAAAGCGGTATAGAAATTAAATAAATAAATCCAGATTTAAGTGAGTAACCTGACCTAACAAGCATAAGGAACTGCGGTCTTTCAGGAGGCTTTCAAAGAAGATTAAACAAATTCAGATGCCTTTTAAAAGTCAGATAGTTGCTTATTTCCTTGACATCTGGTAGGAGGGTGTTCCACAAGGCAGGTGCCACTACCGAGAGGGCCCTCTGCCTGGTTCCCTGTAACCTCACATCTCGCAAAGAGGGAACCGCCAGAAGGCCCTCAGCGCTGGACCTCAGTGTCCGGGCTGAACGATGTGGGTGGAGATGCTCTTTCAGGTATACTGGGCCGAGGCCATTTAGGGCATTCAAGGTCAGCACCAACACTTTGAATTGTGCTCGGAAACGTACTGGGAGCCAATGTAGGTCTTTCAAGACCGGTGTTATGTGGTCTCAGCAGCCGCTCCCAGTCACCAGTCTAGCTGCCGCATTCTGGATTAGTTGTAGTTTCCGGGTCACCTTCAAAGGTAGCCCCACGTAGAGCGCATTGCAGTAGTCCAAGCAGGGCTGAGTGAGATCAATACCATTTTAACTAATGAGTGACGAAGTGAACCAAGTTTTAATGACAAAACGAATGCAAGGATGAGTTCCTAACTCCCTATACAGCTCAGAAGCAGGTAAATGGAGAGACCACTTTAGCCCTTATACACCTAGTAAAAAAGGTAAAGGTAAAGGACCCCTGACCATTAGGTCCAGTCGTGGCCGACTCTGGGGTTGCGGCGCTCATCTCGTTTTACTGGCCGAGGGAGCTGGCATACAGCTTCTGGGTCATGTGGCCAGCATGGCTAAGCTGCTTCTGGAGAACCAGAGCAGCACACGGAAACACCGTTTACCTTCCCGCCGGAGCGATACCTATTTATCTACTTGCACTTTGACGTGCTTTCGAACTCCTAGGTTGGCAAGAGCAGGGATCGAGCAACGGGAGCTCACCCCATTGTGGGGATTCGAACCACCGACCTTCTGATCGGCAAGCCCTAAGCTCAGTGGTTTAGACCACAGCGCCACCCACGTGGCATATACACCTAGTAGATTGCTTCAGTCCATGAGAGAGCCTTTCCCGCAAGCTTCAAAGATCTCACAATCCCCCTCCACAGGAACCCAGAGCAGGGCTTTTAGGGTGGCCGTCCCTGTTCTGTGGAACAGCATCCCTGGCGAGAGGCATCAGAAATCACTGAAGACGTTTTTTGTTCCCACAGGCTTACCCAGCTGCACAAATGGGTCTTTGCAACTTGTTAGAGTTTTAGTCTTCTTTTAAACCTATATGTTGCTTTTGTGTTTTTAAAACTGTTCTCGCTTACCTCGTGTGTGTGTGTGTGTGTGTGAATCGCCTTGAGGCTCCGGTTTGGAAAGCGATTAACAAATCAGTTGCAAGAACAAAAACAACCCTAATTTCTGCGAGCTCCTAATGAATGCAAGCGTAAAATGGAAGTTCTTTATTTAAACCAGATTTTGCCTTCTTTGCTTCTTATTTTAACCAGATTTTGCCTTCTTTGTTTCTCCCTCCTCCCTTACTACAGCCCAGATCGAGGTGATCCCCTGCAAGATCTGCGGAGACAAGTCCTCCGGGATCCACTACGGCGTCATCACTTGCGAAGGGTGCAAAGTGAGTCAGAAGAGGCAGCCACAACCTGCTATGGGCATAGCTGACAACCGTCCCTTATTTGGCGGGAAAGTCCCTTATCCCAGTGCCGTGTCCCGCTGCTGTCCCTTACTGATGATGTCCCTTAAATTTCCCCGGTTTCAAAGGAAGCAGTTCCTCTCCCTCCCTCCCTGCCAGCCAGGGAGGAGGGAGGCTCCAACTGTGTTGCTTGGATGCGTTGCTCACCCAATAAGGAGTCATAAGAATGACTGGGGGGTGGAGCTTGCATGCCTTGTGCCGATCAAATCGGCCACGTTGCCTGGGGACTCGCCTTTGCTCAGCGCTTCCCAGCGGAGAGGTGACGGTGGTTTTCCTTGCTGCATCCCCTTTGCCGGGTTGCTGCGCTGTGGGAACCACCGCTTAAGGCTTCGTTTGGCTGCTGGCTGGGCTTTCTGCCTTTGGCTCGGAGGGGCTCAGAAGTTGAACATACCTGTGCTGGGAAAATCCCTTATTTTGGCTGCTGATCCCTCATTTTTGAGGCTGCTGGTCCCTTATTTTCAAATCCGTAAGTTGACAGCTATGGCTATGGGTTCCATGGCACTCACCAGTGCCATAGAAACCCAGATCAGCTAAGGGTGTTATCCTGCAAAGGCCAAACTACAACAATTCAGTGGGAGTTGTGGCCCCAAAACATCTGATTTTATAAATAAACTAGGATTCTGGTAGATCCATTCCAGCTCCATATAAAACATTTTTGGTCTTCTTAAGTAAAAATAGGAGCTTTGGGCAAATTACGAAAACTGAAACGTGGATTTAATTGTGGATGTTGTTTTGGTTGTAGGTTAGGAAAGAAAACCATGACTGCTATAAAGGGGGGGGGGAATAGTGTTATGTATTATGGAATGTTACGTTCAATACAATATTCTTAATTCTGTTTGTTAGTGTTAGCTGTTAGCGTTGTTAGGAGTTCCTCTTTCAGAGAGCAGCAGTTTTCCCAGGGTGGTTTAACAATCGATCCCTTTTCCCAGAGGAACTCTGGGGATTGTCGTTCTGGGAAGACAACACCTCTCAGCATTTTTAACAGTGCCAGATTTACGTATAAGCTAAATAAGCTATAGTTTAGGGCCCCACTCTCTTGGGGGGGGAGCCCAAAAAAATTTAAAGGGAAAAAACAACTGGATGTACATTTCCAAAATATAAGATAAAGAACAAATAAAATAAAACCTACATACAGCAACAGTGTTTTGTGTTGTGTAGGCTCCTAGGATGTAAGTCATGGGCCCCGCCTACTAGCCTGCTCCCTAAAATATCACTGGTTTGCTCCTTTCTATATATCGGGTGCCTATATTCTGCATGGACTGGTTGCATGGCCACATGTACAAATGGCTTGAGATACTTATTAGGTCCATAAATTAGCATATAGCATATATTCAACAACAAAAAACCAGTGACAATTTGATATTGCCTAAGGACAGCTGAAGGGACGTGGGTGGCGCTGTGGGTTAAACCACAGAGCCTAGGACTTGCCAGTCAGAAGGTCAGCGCTTCGAATCCCCGCGATGGGGTGAGCTCCCGTTGCTCGGTCCTGCCTCCTGCCAACCTAGCAGTTCGAAAGCACGTCAAAGTGCAAGTAGATAAATAGGTACCGCTCCAGCGGGAACGTAAACGCCGTTTCCATGCGCTGCTCTGGTTCACCAGAAGCGGCTTAATCATGCTGGCCACATGACCCGGAAGCTGTATGCCGGTTCCCTCGGCCAATAAAGCCAGATGAGCGCTGCAACCCCAGAGTTGGTCACGACTGGACCTAATGGTCAGGGGTCCCTTTACCTTTACCTTTTTAAGGACAGCTGGACCTATAAAGGGCCCCATTACCTTCAGTAGCTCAGGGCCTCATCAGACCTAAATCCGGCCCTGATCCGTAACAAAGTGCAGTTTCCGAGATTCGTTGGAGCAGCAGTTCTCAACCTGTGGGTCCCCAGATGTTGTTGGACTACAACTCCCATCATCCCTGAGCTCTGGCCTTGCTAGCTAGGGGTGATGGGAGTTGTAGTTCAACAACATCTGGGGACCCACGGGTTGAGAATGGCTGCTTTGGAGGAAGCCGCGATGGTTTTAAGTGGGGTGATAGTGCTTTAAATGGGTAGTGCGGATGATGCCCGTATTCTGAGGGGGTCCAACTCTCTCTCTCTCTCTTTCTCGGCCTTCTGCTCTCAGGGTTTCTTCCGGCGGAGCCAGCAAGGGAATGTGACCTACTCTTGCACCCGACAGCAGAACTGCCAAATCGACCGCACCAGCCGAAACCGGTGCCAGCACTGCCGTTTGCAGAAATGTCTCAGCCTCGGCATGTCTCGGGACGGTAAGAGACGGGTTGGTGGCAGGGTGGATAAAAATCAATGATTTAAAAAAAAAAAAATCGGATTTTTATTTTCATTTAAATCGAATTTTTAAAATAAAATGCTTTTGGAGGAAAAAATCTTTCTAAGGGTAGTTTTCTATTTCCAAAGGCTACTCATCAGGAAATAAGGATTTGTTTTAAGTTTTTCATGTGTGCTAAAACTCAGTCTAAGGTGTTTAAAAACAAACTGTTTAACCACATCAGTTAACAAAAATAGATACATATGCTATAATGTTACTGCTTTAGTTAAATAAATTGCTTAAATTTTTATTAAGGAAATGATTATTTTTCTCCTTCCAATAAAGTACAGCAGAAAAGTTGTCCAAATATAAACAGTTAACTTACTGAACCGCACGATAATTTCATGATTATCTGTCAATGTGTTTCTAATTGTATAACCAAATCAGTGTTTTTGATATAACTGTAACAACTACTCTGGAAATTTATTATTCCAAAAATGAAGCCTGCATCTGGTTGTAAAAATATGAGATTGTGCCAGCAAGAATGAGTCTTTCTGTAAAAAAAAAAAAAGATTTAAATCAAGTCTTACTGACTAGTGTGAATGTGGCCTTAATCATGTCAATAATAATAATAATAATACAGTGGTACCTCGGGTTAAGTACTTAATTCGTTCCGGAGGTCCGTACTTAACCTGAAACTGTTCTTAACCTGAAGCACCACTTTAGCTAATGGGGCCTCCTGCTGCTGCCGCACCGCCGGAGCACGATTTCTGTTCTTACCCTGAAGCAAAGTTCTTAACCTGAAGCACTATTTCTGGGTTAGTGGAGTCTGTAACCTGAAGCGTCTGTAACCCGAGGTACCACTGTAATAATAATAATAAATATTCATACCCAGCCACTCTGGGCAGCTCCCAACAGAATATTAAGAACACGATAAAACATCAAACATTAAAAACTTCCCTAAAAAGGGCTGCCTTCCGATGTGTTCTAAGTCAGATACAGTCATACCTCGGGTTACAGACGCTTCAGGTTATGTTTTTTCAGGTTACGGACCTGCCAAAACCCGGAAGTTCCAGAATGGGTTGCTTCTGGGTTTGGGGGGTCGCGCATGTGCAGAAGCGCCGAATTGCAACCCGTGCGTGTGCAGACATGCTGTTGCGGGTTGCGAACGCTGCAAGTTGCGAACGTGCATCCTGCAAGGATCACGTTCGCAACCCAAGCGTCCACCGTAGTTGTTTATCCCCTTGACATCTGATGGGAGGGCGTTCCACAGGGCGGGCGCCACCACCGAGAAGGCCCTCTGCCTGGTTCAGGCAGGAACATCCGACCAATGTGTAACAAACCTCATTTTTCCTCCCCAGCCGTCAAATTTGGCCGGATGTCCAAGAAGCAGCGAGACAGCCTCCACGCTGAAGTCCAGAAGCAGCTGCAGCAGCAGCAGCAGCAGGACGGAGAGGCTTCGCCTTACTCCCTGGGTGTCGCCAACGGGCAGCTGAAGTTGGCTCCCCCGCCGGACCTCCTGGAGGCCTCGGCCTGCTCCACCACCGCCCTCCTGAACGGCCAGGCGCGCCTCAGCCAGTGCCCGGACGAGACGGCCGCCTTGGCTTACTCCAACGGACTTGCCAAGGCCCAGAGCATTCTGGGAGAGGACCTGCGTGCTCCCTTCACCAAAGAGTACAGCCCTGAGCGCATCAAGATGGAGAGCCGGGGCAGCGTCTATTACGCCCTGGGGACGCAGGCATCGCCGGAGCTCTCGCACCCGGACGCCCACGGGGCGAAGCGGCCGGTATGCAGTGAGGGGGAGAGCCTCGACTTCTACACCGCCCCCAGCTTCACCAGCCTCTTGGAGTCCCCAAACTCGTCCCTGACGGAGATCGGTGAGTGGAAGGAAGAGGGTGGACTTTTCTAGCTCGGCAATTTTGAGCCACGGCACCGAGGGGTGAAGCAGTATGGGGTTGTGCTGGCCAGGCAGGTCAAAGGCTTGTTGCTGGTTCTGCAACAAGGTCCCTTTCTCCAACGCCATGGTGTCACGGTCCGGTTCATGGGCAATCGAAGTCCTGGCAGGGGACGTCAGGACCGGGGGCAAGATGGCGGGTGGGAGCAGGGACAGGGATCCAGAAGCCAGGAGTCCGAGGGTCAGAGAGCCGGGAGTCAAGAAGCCAAGGGTCTGAGGGTCTGAGGGTCAGGAAGCAAGGGGTCACAAAGTCAGGGGTCCGAGGATCAAGAAGCAAGGAGTCAAGAAGACAGGGGTTTGAGGGTCAAGAAGCAAGGAGTCACGAAGTCAAGGGTCCGAGGGTTGAGGAGCAAGGAGTCAAGAAGCCTAGGTTCAAGGATCAGGAAGCAAGAAGCCAAACGCAGCAAGGCAGGAAGCGTGTTGCTGTGGCAAAGAGCCGAAGGGAAATGCTGACCTTATATCCCTTCCCAGCTCCTGCCACCAGGTGCTGTGAGTTACCAAGCAGCCTCACCTGTGCGGCTGCGCCTTGCCTCTCCAGGCCAAACTCATGAAGGCCCCGGTCCTGCAAAGCCCTACTGGTCACAGGGCCTGGCTCCTGCACGCACTCCTGACACATGGAGCCCCCTGGCCAGCAAGCAAGGGGAGCTTCCTCTCACCCTTTGGGGCTGATCGGTGCCAGTCAGAGGGAAAGGGGGCGAGTTGGCCACTGAGAATAGGCTCCTGGGATCTCTCTGGAGCAGGAAGAAGGAGGGTTCTTCCATGTACTCCAAAGCTCATATATCTTTCTTTCCATACAGTCATACTTCTTGCTACGTTCAGTTCAGGTTACGTCTTTTCAGGTTGCGTCCTCTCAGTTTGCGAACGGGGCTCTGGAACGGATCCCGTTCGCAACCAGAGGTACCACTGTACAATTTAACAAATTCAATTCCGTTTCCTTGCAAAATTCCCTTAGCGTTTTGACTTACTTCCACCCTTACTTCCATGACGTTTCTGTTCAAATCCTTCTATCTACATACCCTCCAACATTTCTCAGCGTGCCCAGTCTTCTTTGGAGAGCCATCCAAAGATCTGGTGCCCGTTCACTGCGAGAGAGAGAGAGAGAGAGAGAGAGAGAGAGAGTTCACAGCGCAAATAAGTCACCCTCTTTTATCTGCCCCGAATCTTCCAACCGTTCCAAAAACCGAACCGCGGAGAACGGAAGAAAACGGGAAACGGAGAGAATTGGTGGGCGGATGGAAGAACAGGGAATGCGCAGGCTGTGATTTGGGTCGGAAGCACACACAGAGACACCCGCCACTTCCCCTCTTTTCCAGTGGGGCAGGGGGAGGAGCCAGAGGAGGAGGGGGAGTGGCTAGGTGAGTGACCTGTTCACCTCTTCCCCGCCGTTCCCCAGAGCACCTCACACAGAACGTCATCAAGTCCTACCGAGAGACGTGCCAGCTGCGCCTGGAGGACCTCCAGCTGCTGAGATGGGAGACCTTTACCCGGGAGGAAGTGGGGAGCTACCAGAAAAAGGTGAGGGGACTCTCCTCAGTGCCGAAAGGCTCCGCCTCTTTACCGTGTGGGGTATTGTCTGTAAGCTGCCTTCTTATTATTATTTATTGAATTTATCAATCAATCTTTATTACGGTGGAAGGGGACGACCGAGGGTTGGCGCCTGGTAACTCTGGTTTCCACTCAATTGGCGTCACAAGTGTGGTGTAGTGGTTAAGAGCGGTGGACTCGTAATCTGGTGAACCGGGTTCGCGTCTCCGCTCCTCCACATGCAGCTGCTGGGTGACCTGGGCCAGTCACACTTCTCTGAAGTCTCTCAGCCTCACTCACCTCACAAAGTGTTTGTTGTGGGGGAGGAAGGGAAAGGAGATTGTTAGCCGCTTTGAGACTCCTTCGGGTAGTGATAAAGAGGGATATCAAATCCAAACTCTTCTTCTTCTTCTTCTTCTTCTTCTTCTTCTTCTTCTTCTTCTTCTACTGAGCACTCAGTTTTCGAGCAGCTAGCGCTGGGGATCACTTTGCATCTGGAATCCAAGAGTATCGTTCTTGTTTCAGCTTATATCCCACCATATCCAGTGCAAAACAGATCGAGAGCACATGGCGTAAATTCCAGTTTCCTTTAATGGTAAAGGTACCCCTGACCATTAGGTCCAGTCGCGGATGACTCTGGGGTTGCACGCTTTTCTCACTCTATAGGCCGAGGGAGCCGGCGTTTGTCCGCAGACAGCTTCCGGGTCATGTGGCCAGCATGACTAAGCCGCTTCTGGCGAACCAGAGCAGCACACGGAAACGCCGTTTACCTTCCCGCCGGAGCGGTACCTATTTATCTACTTGCACTTTGACGTGCTTTCAAACTGCTAGGTGGGCAGGAGCTGGGACCGAGCAACGGGAGCTCACGCCGTCGCGGGGATTCGAACTGCCAACCTTCTGATCGGCAAGCCCTAGGCTCTGTGGTTTAACCCACAGTGCCACCCGCGGCCCTACAGTTTCCTTTACTCCCTACAAACTAAGTACCCCAGATCACCATTTTACATAATAGGAGATATGAATGCCAGAATAGGCTCAAATGATGATAGCCTGGAAATAAAATTCCCAATATTAAGAGATCTAAAGGAAAATAGTGCCCTCTTTCTAAACCCACCCCCTCGTAGACATTCAAAAGATTCTCAAATCAACTATACTGGCTTCTGCCTGGCTTTTTTACAAATAAGTCTTAACCTTATCATTGTTAATGGAGTGCTCCTCCGAGACAGAGAAGGCGAGTACACATTCATAAATACAAATGGAGCCAGCACAGTAGACTACTGTCTCACTAACAGGGAGGCTTTCGAATCAATTAAAAAATTCAACATCGATATTAGGACTGAAAGCGATCACCTACCTCTAATCGTCTCCACTACTGGCCAAAATTCAATTCAGCGCTCTTAGGTAGAACATGAGGAAATAGATAAAGCAAATGATCCAGCATTGCGCAGAAAAAAATGGCTACACCTGAGATCGCAATTGCAGCTGAGAAGAGATGGAATTCACAAACTGCAGTTAAGACCAGTTATGATTAACAATTTATCAATAGATTAATAAGCCCTGACGGCTTACGAAAATCTCATTGAGTCCTAGCAGGATGTGGTCTCTGTCAACATAAACTCAGCCGGCAAGCCTGTTGCGTGGCGAGTCCCCCTCCCCCTTGTGAAATGAAGACACAGGACACATTATTTAAGGTTAATGGGCGTAAAAGGCCACAACTTTATTGATTACAGGAATTGAGAGGTATTGGCCTTAGGCATTGGTTCCTATTGACTACCCGGCATGGAAGGGTTAACCACCAGCCAGGGGAGTCCTGCTGAAGTACGCCAGCTAGGATCCCACGGGTGTCACCGCTCGGGGGCATGGCTTAGGTTTACACCTCCATAGGCTTCGGACAGAGCAACGCCCCCCAGAGTCCTCTACCGGACTACCCTTCACCTTGGGGGAAGGTGATGGCGCTTCCTTCCCCCCCTTCATTTGCAAAACAATTACCCCTGCCAATGCCTAACTGCCAATACCGGGAAAGTTGTGACGTTTGCTACGAGGTAGGCGAAAAAACCAAATGGCTGGATATTTGCCAAACGGAAAAATTCCTACCAGGCCCCTTGCGGCGACCAACCAGAGTCCATAGCAAGGTCAACGCTGGCTAAACCTAAGGGAGGGTGGGATGGGAAGCAGCAGCAGCTGGAACGGGGAAAAGAGGGCAGTCCCCAGGTGCGCCAGCCTTAAATGTGTTAGGCTACGCCTCCCCGGCCTGTTGATTGGCTGGCCGGGGCGGTGACGCGCCCGAGGATTCCCCTACTCTGGCGGGGGCTGTGAGCCAGCCCCCGCATGCATGGGGAGGGGGTGGACCCGCAACCCCACCTCCTCCCCAGCTCAGAAGTGGCTCTATTGAATTTATATACCACCCTATACTTGGGGTGGTCTCAGGGCGGTTTGCAGAATTAAATCAAGGCTTCTGTGACTGTGCCACTTCTGCAGATTGAACCAGCCGAGTGGGCAAATTGGGGGGCGAGGCGATCTCACAGGTGAACTAGTCCCAAGCCCTTAAGGGCTATTATTTATATACTAATGGTAACACCCCAGACTTGGCGCGATTCCTCTCCCTCGCTGCCAACGCCACCGTGCGTAAGCATTCTGCTGGCGTGCGCTTAATTTGGTGGAATGCCTAAGCCGGTGCGGAATGGGGCGGTTTGGGGCGAGCGAGAAAGCTCCCTTTGATTTCAGCCGCTCCCGTTGAGTAACGAGTGATCCTTTGCTCTGTGTATGCCTTGAATGACTGAACCAGTGACTCAGCCTGGCAGATGGGCCAGGGAGGCGGGCAAGTCACCTCTCAGCACCAGCCTCAGAGAGCCTTGGGATGAATCCCTCTTTTTTGCTTGCTCACTGTGATTTACTGCTGGCTCTTTCCTGTCCCTATAGTGGGTTTTCCCCCCCATCCCAATCTCTCTCTCTCTCTCTCTCCTTCCAGTCCATGGAAGAGATGTGGGAGCGCTGCGCCTGTCGCATCTCCGAGGCCATCCAGTACGTGGTGGAGTTCGCCAAGCGCATGGACAGCTTCATGGACCTGTGCCAAAACGACCAGATCGTGCTCCTCAAAGCGGGTGAGGAACGGAGCTTCTTTGGGCGGGTCGCAGTTAGGCTTCTGTAGTTGCCGGACATTTTATGGAGCGAAATCAGCTGAGAAAGAGAGAGGAGAGTCCATGTGGCTTTGGCCCAGACTATCTGCAAGGTCGTACCTCCTGATAACATACCTGCCCAGGAGCTTAAAATCCTCATCTCTCGTTCCCATCAATATCACACTGACACGGGAGAGCCTTTTCTGTGGCTGCTCCCAGATTGTGGAATCCCCTTCCAAGAGAATCTTTATTTTTTAATACATTTTTATTCATTTTTAAAATATTAATTAACATTCATACGACAGAACTTCTCATCTTATACAATATTTTTTGGACTTCCGTCAACACCTCTGATGATTTTACGTACTTACTATGCATTTCTTAATTTCATATTACCTTTAAATATCTTTAACTAATAATTCTCCTCATTGTCCTTTTTTTTTTTTGCAGTATTTCTAATAATTCACCTTACAAAACTTCTTGCAAACCTACTAGCATAATAATCTGTTCGTCACAATTACTTTTCAAATAGTCCGTAAATTTACTCCAGTCTTATGAGAATCTCTGATCCCACAGGTTTTGAATCCTTCCTGTTAGTTTATCTAATTCTGCATAGTCCGTCATTTTCATCCTCCAATTCTTCTTTCATCGGTAATTCTTCTTTCTTCCTATTTTGTGCCAATAGTATTCTCGCTGCAGGCTTTGCATATAAGAACAACTTCCAATCCTTTCTATTTATATCATCTCCTACAATGCCAAGTAAAAATGCTTCTGGTTATATACATATAAATGTATATTTCAACTTTTTTTCATCTCATTGTAAATCATTTCCCAGAAGCTTTTCCCTCCCAAGAGAATCTAGACTGGCTCCTTTTTGGTTATATTTCTGCCTTCTGGCTAAAACCCGGAGACAGACCTTTGGGAAACGAGAAGGAAGCAGCGAGAGGCAGGGAAAATTCGTTTTCGTTTGGGGAGAGAGCTGAGGATTTAGGCCCAAGTCTGAGATGAGTTTTGAGTTCCTGCTATGGCAACGGTCATAGAATCCTAGAATTGTAGATTAGGAAGGGACCACGAGGGTCATCTAGTCCAACCCCGAGCAATGCAGGAATTTTTCGCCCAACCTGGGATTCGAACCCGCAACCCTAAGATTAAGAGTCTCCTGCTGTACTGACTGAGCCATCCCAGCTCACGTCTGAGGGCTAAGGAGGTGGCGTTTGTGCTTCTTCCAAGTCTCCGCTTTCCCAACTCTCTTTATCTGCCTTTTTAACTGCTGGCACCCAGGGTGGGAGAAATATTCCATTCATTCTGTACACAATCCTACCCAACTCCCAAGAAAATAGCACTTTTACAGCCGCTCTTGGAAATTCGCAGCTCTCTGAATTTTGCAGCGTAGTTAAACAACACACACCTGCACGCCCTGCAAATTAGTGGTCTCCAACACAGTTTTACTCAAGAGTAGACCCACCAAAATGATTGGAACCATGTTCAACGAGCCCACTCTGAAGAGGACAAGTGGTGGGTGCAAACCCAATGTATTGGGGGGAAAGTTTGGATTAAAAATGGGTATATTTGCAAGTGCAGTGTATCGTAGTATTAAATTGCTTGAAAACATATTATGTTGGGCAAGGAGAAAGGCAAACATTAATATGCTGACCTGATTCGGTGAAGATATTTTTTAAAATCTTAAACTACAGACAAGAAAAGCCTCCAAAGATCAGACTTTCCAAGAGCAAATTTTGGAATTTATGAAAGATAATAAGCAGGGTTTGCAGAGTCCTGCAATTGAGGTCAGAGCACTGTCTCCAGGAATTTTAAAAAGACTTTGGAATTTTGCGCAAAGACCTCCAAGAGGTTAAAACAGAAGTTGCAGGTTTGCAAAAAAGGGTATTAGAGATTGAAAATGTTAAAATTGCAGATTTAGAAAGATTACAGGAAGAATCGCAATCTGCAGCAGCTTTTTTACAGCTTAGGGAAGCTGCTTCAGTGAAGATATTTTTTAAAATCTCAAACTGGTGAACGAGGTTGGAGGAATGAAAAACTGGGTGTCCACTAGGGCCACCCTTAGATGATACTTGCTTTGGGGGGGTCTCTTCCCAGTCTAGCCCTGGGAATGAGGTGTTGGAGTCCCCACTATCTCCCCACCCTCCCTGAAAAGGGGTGCCCAGCTTGGCTGCCCCCCACAATCCCACCTCCTTCCAAAGGTGAGGCAGGTTTTGAGAGAAAAGTCTGCACCTTCCTATTTTTGCTTCATCCTTGCCTTTTAAGTCTTTATTTTCGTTTTGCTTCCGCCCCGCCAGGTGCCATGGAAGTAGTTCTGGTGAGGATGTGTCGTGCCTTCAATTCCGAGAACCGGACGGTCTTCTTTGAAGGGAAATACGCCGGCCCAGAGCTCTTCAAATCCCTCGGTACGACGGCGACCGTCATCTCCGGACGATAGACTAAAAAAACGGAATGAGCCCACTATGGGTCCCAAGGCCGATAGTTGTGCCATCGAAAAGAAGTTGAGGAAAGGGGGATAAGTCTTTGGAGGTGGGGGTTTCCAGGGTGTAACAGGCCATGCTTTGAGCTTTCGGCTTGGCCTACCTTGCAGGTTTGTTGCGGGGATTTAATGAGGGGGTAGACAGACCCACGTATTTGCCACCTTGAGCTCCGGGCAGCGAAAAATGAGATATGAATGCCCCCCCCAAGCAAATAGTTTTAAAAAAGGAAATGCCCATTAAAGCTAAGTGAAGCTCTCTGTGAACCAAACAGGCTGATAATTAACTGAGAATGCATCTCTGCTGCTCTCTCATGTGGTGTTTAACTTAGATTACATGTGAGGGTATTCAGCTGCAAATTTCCATTTTGCGGGAGTTGTCTTTGTTATCAAGCCACCTTGTGCTGATGCTTCTCTCTGTGGAGATGCAGGCTGCATGGAGAGAAAGAACTTTGGTTTCAGTTCTGTTTGGAGTAATTTTACATTTCTATGAAGATGTACCTGTGCTTAGACAAGCACATGATTTTGGGCAACTATTTGAACGTATCGCTATTGTTGTAAGTCTGTTTTGAAGAAAGTTCTGCTTTATTAAAGCTTTGGAACCCAAATAAATAGAGATAAAGTAAAGGTAAAAGTACCCCTGACCTTTAGGTCCAGTCGTGGCCAACTCTGGGGTTGCGGCGCTCATCTCACTTTACTGGCCGAGGGAGCCGGCGTACAGCTTCCGGGTCATGTGGCCAACATGACTAAGCCGCTTCTGGCAAACCAGAGCAGCGCACGGAAACGCCGTTTACCTTCCCACCAGAGCAGTACCTATTTATCTACTTGCACTTTTACATGCTTTTGAACTGCTAGGTTGGCAGGAGCAGGGACTGAGCAATGGAAGCTCACCCCGTCGCAGGGATTCGAACCACCGATCTTCTGATCAGCAAGTCCTAGGCTCTGTGGTTTAACCCACAGTGCCACCCGCATCCCTAGAAATAGAGATAGGAACTCACTAATAAATAGGTTGATTACCTTTTTGTTGTTGTCACTGACCCAAGTCTCCCCATCCTCTACCTCCAGGATGCAACGAGTTGATCAACTCCATCTTCGACTTCGCTCACAGTCTCTGCGCTCTGCACTTCTCTGAGAACGAAATGGCCCTCTTCACGGCGCTGGTGCTTATTAACTCAAGTAAGAGGCTGCCGATTCATCCTGCGCCATGTTTGAGGAAGTTGCTGGAGGTGGCAGAGGGCAGGGTCCTTGTGGCTGGGAGGGGCCACCTGACTTCAGCTCCCATCATGCCCCGGTGGAGAAGTCTGTGCTATCACCTTTTTGCTACACTTGCACTTTCTTCCCCTACTTTGCCCCCAGAGGATTCTGGGGGTTGTAGTTTACTTACAATCCTTCCTAGACTGCTCTACGTAGCTGCCTTAAATATACCAGAGAGGTCACTTCCGGTCTGCTGCGGGAGGCTAATGGCGGTGAGCCCCGTGTCGTCCGATTAAAAGATGACACGGTCCCGGCAAAATAGGGCTTGAGGGTGCCTCCAGGGCTCGGCGCACCCCCGAGAAACCCCCCACGGAAGAGTGGGGACTCTAGGGTTCCAGTGGAGTGAAGAAACTCACACACACACACACCTTTAATATACCAGAGACATCAGACCAAGTGGTTTGATCTCAACCCAGTGATTATACTTATCCACAATGGAGAGGGGCACTGAGAAAATCCAGTGGTGGGGGTGGTCTGGGAGAGTCCTGAGGGCCGGGTAAAGAGCCCTGGAGGGCCTCATCCAGCCCCCAGGACTGAGGTTCCTCACCACAAATGTTGATGTTTGCTTTGAAGAGCCAGTTGATCTGCATGTTCGAAAGAGGTCAGGTGTCGCTTGCAGACGGTTCACTGCTCACCCCAGGCGAATTGTAAGCCGGCCAGCTTTCCCAACAGCCGCAATGGACTCTTTCCAAGTTTTTGTCCTTCCTTGCAGATCGTCCCTGGTTGCAAGAGAAGAGCAAGGTGGAGCGTCTGCAGAACAATCTGGAGTTGGCCTTCAGGCACATGTTGCGGAAAAACCACCGGGAAGGCATCCTGGCCAAGGTGCGTATCTGCTGGGGACTTTGCTGGGTGCAAGTGAGAGAGACCCTCCCCCTGTCTTAAGCACCTCCTCTCCCTCCGTTAAACACCTCACCTAGATCACCGGCTACCTGTACTGCTTGCCTGCCTGCTTGCCGGCTATTCTATTATCACGCTGGAGTTGATGCTGCCACCTATTGGCAGCTACACAGACTGCAGCATGACAACAACCTTACGTTTTTATGTCTATAGGAAGATATATCAACCTCTCCCTCCTTGTCTGCTTGCCTGCCTGCCTGCCATTCTGTCGTCATGCTGGAGTTGATGTGGCCACCTTTTGCCAGCTGCGCAGACTGCAGCATGACGACAGCCTTACATTGTTATGTATATAGGAAGATATATGTAACCTCTCTCTCTTCTCGCTTCCGACAGTTGCCCCCCAAAGGGAAGCTTCGAAGCCTCTGCTGCCAGCATGTGGAGAAGCTGCGTTCCTTCCGCCAGATGTACCCCATCATTGTCCACGCCGTCTTCCCGCCCCTGTACAAAGAGCTCTTCAGCGCAGACTACGACCCTCTACAGGGAACAGCAGGGGAATAATCCCCCCGCTCCCAGCAGGGCGAGGACCCTCTCTCTCTCTGCCTTTCTCCAGCTTCTCCTCTGCAACCGGCACCAGAGCGGGAAGAGGCAGGAGATGGTAACCAAGACCAAAACAATCCTGCTGCCATGTTTGCCTGTCCAAAGCGGAGGGGAGCAGCTGGAGTGGAATGCCTGGGTTTTGTGTTCGAAAGATCCCCACTTCTGACACCAGCTTTGGTACGCAACCTTGACCGCATCTCTTCGTCCCTGGATAAGCACGGAGCGAGCCCACACTAACCCCTCACAGGAAACCGCGGGGCTGAGGGACTAGGCAACGTGTGTGCGAACCGCTTTGGAAAGCATTCAGAAGTCTACCGCTGTGGAAGCTTAAAAGTATTAAGTAAGGGGAGGGTCTTGTGGACAAACAGCACTCCTAGCGTGAGGAAGCTCTCGCCGTGACGAAGTCTCCCTGGAGGGGCAAAGTCCAATTAGCTGCCCACGTTGTAACGCCGTGGCCAAAATGGCCGACTTAGGTAGCCAAGAAATACCTCATTTTTGCTGCCTAATGGCACAAGACTCAACCAAGCTGTTCTGTTTTTTGTTTTTTCTTGAAACCAAGTTTTTAAGAAATAATAATATATATATATATATATATATATTGTGGACAAATGTGGTTCTATAAGATAGATCTCTATTTTTCAGTGTCTGTCCGCTTCTGTATTTGATAACGAAAGAGTCTCTTGTCTTTTTCTCTCATTGTGCGTGTGTGTCTCTCACACGCAGACTGACCTCTCGGTTTAGATTCTAACTCACCAGCAACTTCCAAAAACCAACAACGCCCCCCAAACCTCATATCCTGCTGCTTTCGCTTTCTTTTAAAACGGGGGGGGGGGAATATTGGCACATATGCACCAAACCGAAATGCTTTTGGGTAACTTTTGCCCAAGCAGTTTCCCGATGAACCGGAGTAGTTGCCTGGGGTTACCTCACGTCAAATGTCTCACGAAGCCCATGCCACCTTTTGCCACGCTCCTCCTGTGCTTAAAACAAGATTGGGCACAAAACGGTCGACGGAAGGATGTCGACAGGTTGTGCGGTTTCTGTGAGGGAAGTGAGGAGGTCAGGCTGGCTGGGGAGAAACCTCCCGTGTGGCTTAAGCACAGAAGGGGCCGTTGTGTTTGTAGGACAGCAACAAAAATGGAAACTGAGGCTGGATCGGGACTGGTTAGCCCAGGAAGGAGGGGAATAGCTGCCAGACTTGACTTGAATTAACCAAGTCACATTTTTCTGTAGCTTCCACCACCACACACCCCCAAGCAACTGCCAGTCTTGCTTAACCAGCCCTCACAGCTTTCCTTCACCCCAAAACACACCTGCACTTAAAAACCTTTACCAGTCTTGTACCAGTTTAACATTTGCCTCAACAAATTCTGGGAATTGTAATTTGCACAGAAATGGGGGGGTGGGCGTGTGGAAAATTCCTTGTCTCTTCTTCCGGAACGGGGTTGAGAAGGGGGAGACTGTTACCACTGGGTGATGCAAACCTACCTTTTTCTTGTATCTTTTGTTAGGACTGTCTCTCAGTTAAAGTACGCTTAGTCAGTTTGTTTTATGGGTTTGGATCGGCGGATTAAATCCGCCTATGAATTACATGAGAGGTCAGAAAGCAAAAATAAAAGCAAAATAAAAGCACCAGCCTCCCTTTTTTGGCCTCATGTTCCCTTGTTTGATGCGTTCCCTTCATCTGATCTACGGCCCTCCAAATGTTGTTGGACTCTTGGGGGGGGGGTGTCCCAAAACCTCTCTGAATTTTATTTTTAAAAAGTTCTGCTGGTGACAAACATCACAGGGATGCTAAGGCTTATTTCTGAAAAGGGTGTATTTCCATACAACAACAACAACAACAACAACAACAACAATAAATTATTATTATTTATACCCCGCCCTTCTCAGTTCAAAAAACCGGGCTCAGGGCGGCTAACAACAAATTTAAAACACTTAATTGATGCAACAAAAAACAGCATAAAATACAGTATTGAACATGAATAATAATAAATTCAGAATGTGCAAGAGAGTGAGAAGGGTCACATTTACACCACACATTTGAAGGACCACAATGCCGCTTTAAACCTTTGCGGCTTCCCCTAAAGAATTCTGGGAGCTGTAGTTTGTTCAGGTTGCCGAGAGGGGCTAGCGCTACATTCCCCAGAGTCCCCTGTAAAATTGATATTGTACCTCTCTGTCGGGAATAAGGGAGTCTCCTAGCAACTCTCAGCGCCCTTAAAAAAAAAACAACCTACAGCCCCCGGGGTTCTTTGGGGGGCACCATGGCTTTTTAAAGTGGGGTTGTGGCCTAAGTCCCACAGAACCCGATGGAGTTTATTTATTTTGCCATGATTCTAAGCTTCAGGCTGGCAGGAGCCGAATGCAAATTATTGCATAAGACTGTCGGGGGGGGGGTCAGCCCTCCTCCGCTCCCAATTAACCTCCATCTCTGCAAATCATTGCATAGCTTTCTGTGGGATATGCCCTCCACCACAACCACCGCCTCCACTTTCCCAATTAACCTCCGTCTCCTGAGCTCAGTGCTGAGAGGGGCACATCGCCTAGGTCTCAGGTTTGGGTCCTGAAGTCTCAGCGAGTGGGGCGTACCTGGCCTGGCAACCATAATGGGGAAACATCTGTTGGGCTTTCCAGAGGGGCACCAACTTGAATAAAATAAAACGCCGGGGGGGAGGGACCAAGTAAGCCCTGCCACACATCACTGACATGGCGCATACACACATCATTTGAATGGCAATGCACTCAGAATGGGTGACCACACACGTAGGTGATTTTGTCTACCTGGCTTCCACCATAACCAGCAACCTCTCCATCGATGCTGACAGGTGTATTGGCAAGGCAGATACAGCAATGGCTCGCCTCTCCGAAAGGGTCTGGTAGAATGTGATGCTTAGCGGCCAATACTAAGGTGAAGGTCTAGCAGGGCTTGCATGTTGAGCACGCTGCTTTGTGGTCATGAGACATGGGGAACTTGAACCCTCCAAGAGCAACACTTCAACAGCTTCCACATTCACTGTGTCAGGAAGATTTTGGGCATCCCACGGCAGGACAGAGGCTCAAAGAAAGATGCTCTCTGTCATGCCCACATCCCCAGCACGTTCGCACTGCTGCCTCAGCGATGTCTGTGGGAATGTTCAGGGATCCAGGAGAGGATATATTGTTTGATTATAGCCTTTCCAACTTGTGTGAACAAGTTCACAATTTAGCAGAGTAACATTCCCCTTTTTAAACTCACAGCGGATGCGTTTGCTCAGGCTCGCTAAAGCCTCTATAATAACTGTTCTGGTATTTTCCCCTTAAAGGTAAAGGATCCAAGACCATAAGTCACAGTCGTGTCTACTAATGAGTATAAAACGCAGCTTTAGCCGAGTGCGTACAGCTTCGGGTCATGTAGCAGTACTTAATTTGCTCCTGGCGGTCCAGTTCAGTAACACTGAAATGCTGTTACCTTAACGCTAGAGCAGCACCTACTTTATCTGCTCCACTGGGGCCTCCCGCTGCTGCTGCGCCACCAGAGCACAATTTCTGTTCTCATCCTGAAGCACTATTTCTGAGGTACTATTTCTGGGTTAGCGGAATCTGTAACCTGAGGTACTATTTCTGGGTTAGCAGATTCTGTAACCTGAAGCGTATGTAACCTGAAGCGTATGTAACGCGAGGTACCACTGTACTCACATTCTGTTCACAGCTGGATCCCAGAAGGCAGACTTATCTTAGAAAAGTAACATACACCTGGAAACTATCCCATAAAGAGACAGTCCCTATTGTCCTCTCTTTGGCTAAGCAGATGTTGCTTCTTCGATGCATGTCATCAAAAAGAGAGAGATGGCTGCCCTGCCCTGTGCTTTTGTCATTACCTGCACAGGTGAGGCCACGCCCACCTCTAGTCCCATGTAGAGGAAGTCTGTCCCAGCCCAGGAGGAAACAGGAAGTTTACCTGCTGGCTGGACAAACATTCCTCCCCATGTGTAAACAGGTTCATTCTAGGAATGTTGTACTTGACTGCTCTTGTGTTTCACATCCCACTATGTCTACGCTGGCTTGGCCATGTGCACAGAATGGAAGATGGCAGGATCCCCAAGGATTAATTGGATTAATCCAGAATGTGGTGGCTAGACTGGTGACTGGGAGTGGCCACCAGACCACATAACACCGGTCCTGAGAGATCTGCATTGGCTCCCAGTACGTTTCCAAGCACAATTCAAAGTGTTGGTGTTGACTTTTAAAACCCTAAACGGCCTCGGACCAGTGTACCTGAAGGAGCGTCTCCACCCCCATCGTTCAGCCCGGACACTGAGGCCCAGCTCCGAGGGCCTTCTGGTGGTTCCCTCATTGCAGGTGAGGTTACAGGGAACCAGACAGAGGGCCTTCTCTATGGTGGCGCCCGCCCTGTGGAACGCCCTCCCTTCAGATGTGAGGGAAATAAGCAGCTATCTTCTCTTTAAAAGACATCTGAAGGCAGCCCTGTTTAGGGAAGTTTTTATTATTTAATGCTGTATTGTTTTTAACACTCAATTGCAAGCCGCCCAGAGTGGCTGGGGAAACTCAGCCAGATGGGCGGGGTATAAATAATAAATATTATTATTATTATTATTGACGTGCTCTACTTGAAGCTGGCTTCAGGCACCAGACTGGTTGTCGGACCAAATCTGCGCTACAAAGACTTCGGCAACATAAACCCCACTGTGTGGGAATCCCTTGCCTGGAGACAGACAGTCAGGTTGTGCGTCCATAGCAGTGACCACAGGAGGAATGACCGCTGGGAGGAGGGCAGAGAGAAGAAATGCCATGGTGCACCTGCAGCAGCAAACAGGTGCCAGACGCCTTCACCTGCCCCAGCTGCAACAAAACATCTCTCTCCCCTATTGTTCTCTACGGCCACAGCAGGCACTGTAACTCTCCAACAGTCTGATTTCGCCCCCAAAGGCGCCGTTCTGCATTGTCTCCCGAGACAGATGGGTGCCAGCAATTAACTCCCTTTCGCTTCTCCTCTTTTGTCAGGCCACCTTGTCTTGGAACGATGGTGGCTTTGGCTGTTTCGACGCCGCCGTCTGCGCTGAGTTGTTCAGCACAGAGAAGAAACTCTGGGATGGAACATTCCCTTGGCAAAATGACATCCACGTGGCTGGCGGAGGGAGGGGGGAGAGAGAGAGGGAGGTGGCAAAGCGGGGGGGGGGCGGGAGAGAGAGACAGGCAGGGAAAGAGACACACATGAGACATCACTGGGCAGAGAGAAGCCTCCTTGTTGTGTCTCCCCGAAGCACGTTCCAGGTAAGCCGCCCGGCTCGCTCCCTTGGAGAGCCCGGAGCAGATTTTAAAAGGGGGGGGGGGGGGGATAAAGGTAAGTGGCTCGGTCCTTTTTGCCACGGGGGAAAGCGGGTTGTGTGCTTTTTGGACCTTTTGGAAAGCTCAAGGAGGAAGGAAGAGGATGAGAAAGGTTTGCAAAACCATGAACCTGGTTTGCGCATCTCCTTTGCGCGAAGAGCGGTCTCACGGTCCTGTCCTGGGATTCCCTGTTTGGAACCGGTTTTGGGGGGGAGGATTTGGGACAGAAGGTGACCTGGGCGTAAGAGCCCTTCTGGATCCATCTGGTCCGGAGTCATGGTTTCTCAAATGCCCCGTGGGAGGAGCGCAACAGCAGGACTCTGGTCTCCACTGGCGAGTCCTTGCTGCCTCCGTCCGTGGCGAGGGAAGGAAGGAATCGTGGCGAACAGCTGCTGCTGCTGCTGCCAGTCCAAGTCGAGCATCTTGGGCTGGATGGACCAATGGTCTGCTCCAGTATAAAGGCAGGGTTCCTAAATTCAGGATGAAAGCATGTCATGATTCCTGCACTTCAGGGGGCTGGACTAGATGATCCTTGGGGTCTCTTCCAGCTCTAGGTTTCTATGTGCTGCGGAAATCCCAATCATACTTGCCGGCAACATCCGTGCGCGTGAGGTTTGGGAATGGGGGTGCTTTGAAACAAACCAGCTCTGCTCCAACTTGAAAGGTCCCTGCCCGCAAAGAGCTTCCAGTCAGAAAGTCAACACAGCAGAGACTCCAGAGGAAAGAGATAAATTTGAGCGGGGGGGGGGGGGAGAGAAGATCTGCATTTATTTACACACACTCCGTATTTCAGTTACAACTGACTTTTGCTTTTGCTGCCTTTCATTTATACATACCTCGTCATTTACAGCTTTGAAAGAATCTATGTTGCAGATATAAAGATT